GCCGCCTCGACGGAGTCCATGCAAGATGGCATGAAAGCCACTCACATTCACAGTGGTTGGGACTGGAGTCCCGTTTTAAACTTCGACGGACACACTGCCGTTCTCCATAAGCGTCATATCGCCTATCTTACGCACATCGTTGGCAAGATCCGCCTCGTTGCCATGCTCCTGATGGTAAATCATGGATCCACTCGACTAATAGAGCATCAACAACCAGCGCCATTTAGCTCGCTCCATTCCACTTTGCTTACCCTTCCTACTTCAGAATGGTGGCCGTTGGACATTCAAGACAAGGCCATCACGGCAGCTTCCATTAGTCTGGTTTTTCGTCCCGCCTGTTGGTTAACGGTTTCTCCATCCTATGCGCAGCATCCGCATCTCCGAGACACTCAATGGAATCGGCGCTTGCTTAAACGGCTGAACGAAGTTGGTCAGCTGGGCTAGCAGCGTTTTGGATGACCGGATATTGCCCGGTCTATCCGGAAGGGTCTTCTGCATGGCGAAGGAAGTCCTGCCATCAGTACGACCTAACATCAGGGAAGAAGATGCAATGCCACTGTCTTCTTAACGTGTTGGCTGGCCTGAGCCTGCCCACTAGAGGCCCGAGTGTCGGGCTTGGTGGAAGCCTTTGGCAGCTGGCGTCATCGAGACCACAACCGATGAGGGAGTCGGTGCCGGAATACGGGAAACTCCGTATATGGTCGGCAGATACGGAGACACCAGGCAATTATGTGGCTTACGTTGTACGTCCTGCAGACCCACAATTCAGTTGCCGTTCCAGGGCTGATACTGAACCAGAGGGATATAGGTCGGCGACCTGATCAAAAGCCTTGCTGCAACATGCTCAGAAAGGCATTAAGTCAGCCCGCGGCTGCATCAAGGTCATCACGAATTCCGTGTGCGGCCGACCCCGCCCGGCCAAGCACATCTCATGCCGCAACCTTTCTTGTTCGCTCCCTGGTCCCCGGCCGGAGTCCAGATCTTCGACACTTTTATCCTGAGAGTCCACTGGACATCCATCTTTCTTCTGTTGCCACTATCGCTGAGAGAGGCCTCAAAGTGAGACATGAACAGGGTATGGATGCAAGAGATATGAAGGAGGGGGGAAGGTATGGATGCCAACGCACTTGTTCGTCGGTCCCATCCCCGTCCTACCTACTTCTTCTGATATGCGGTCTACCAAACTTTCCAGGATAAAGCAAGAATCCAGATGAGTGGAGGGCGGAGGCACCGCAAAAGTGCCGAAGCGATGTGTGACTTTTCTAAAGGCCGTTTAATTAGGCCGAGTTCCTTGAGAGAAGGCAGTTAACCCACCGCATACTTTATTTGCGCTCGGTTCCCTTCTCTCCTGGCTGGCTGTCAAGCTAAGCATGGGAATCTTTCCAGTCGCAGCGATATCCGACTAGGAGATGTCGGCAAAGCAGATAGCTTGGTCGCCGACTGCCGTGGCCCACTTGGGCTGTGCCTTCCCACTCAGTCAGCTAACTATTTGCATGAAAGGTGACGACAACCGGTGGTAGAAGCTTGAGACATGTCGACGGAATTGACTCCGTTCAGACGAGGTGTATCAACGCCGGAGCAATGGACCACACGACAGGGTGATTGGCGCACAGCACTCTGCTTGAACAATGCGTATTAAGACGATCTTGCTTTCAGAGACGGTTACAAACAGGAGTTCCGATATTTTTTTTGATTTCAAAGCGGGGGACGTGACAAGGAGCTCAATGAGTCTTGCCCAATGGAAGCTTTATGGCTGAAACTCTGTAAGTCCTCCACTTGACGCCATCTCAGCCATCTCAGCCATCTCTCGGTTTCGGGGTCTGACCAAATTCCCAAGATCTGGTTGGTTAGTTCCAAAAGAAGGCAATCAAGTCCCGGGATTGTGTATGAGCATTTGGATTGGTCAGTCCACATCTAGAGGGAAATTACACATTTTTTTTTTGGAAAAAAGATGCTATTCGTGAGCAACGACAGCAAGGCACAACTTTAGTATCATGAAGTAAGCCTAACCTAGACGTGTTGGACTGGGTTAGCAAGCTAATAAAAGGCCGTTATACCGGTGAGTACGGTTGAGACAGACCGTCTGCTCCACAAGAAAGGAGGACGGTTAAAAATGTACGTTGCCAAAGAGAGAGAACGGATGAGATGTGGGCGCGGCGGTTGTAAAAAGAAGGTGAATAACTGGGGTGGGTTTCATTCCACATCAAGGCTTGCAGTGAGAGGCAGAGGGGGAGCGCATCCAGAACAACTGGGATGTGATACCCAGGACTGGTTGAAGGGAGCATAGGCGGAAGCGGGGAGGTTGAAGGTGAGGGTCAGGGAACATTGCTGTTGGTTCTCCTCCCCCTTTTCCGTTCGTATCAGCCCCAACCCAACCGTTCTTATCAAGCGGCCAGCCTTTTGGTGTGATGGATGTCAACATGGTTGCATACCAACCTTGCCTCTTTGCTGAGACATGTTGGAGCGTCATTGGCTTGATGCTTCCATCCATCATTAACGGAACGCGTCACGACTCCCCCGATCACCAGAGACGGCTGGACCAGTTGAGCCAGGGAATACTACTTGTCTCCTTGCCCCTCACAAGGTGATCGTTTCCCAGAATGTACTTGTGTGGTAATTTTGTTTCTACGCTGGCTGCACTCTGAGCTGCTTGTCTCGGAATGAGGAGGCCGGTGGATCGGAGGGAGGGAGGGAGGACACTCCGACAATATGACGGGAGAGTTGACCTTTTTGGAATTGTGGGAGTACTGACTGCAATTAGCTTAGTACCAGGAACGAGTGACAAGTGAACTGAAGCTTCAGCATGCAGAAAAGCGGCATACATTGAGGTGATCATTCGTCGGTCTAAATCATCCATGAGGGGAAAACGCTTGCTGGTTCACTTGCTGATGCTTTGGTCATCCACGACTAGTAGAGGTACAAGCTGGAGCGGCTGCGAAACGGTCTATTTTCACGCAGGTTTGATACATGTACCTCTACGGTAGAGGTAAGGTAGGTACAAAGAAGTTTCACGTCTCATCATCTCAGCTGTTAGAAGGGGTAGTAGAGCGATTGATTTTCACATGATCGAGAAATGCCCTCACTAACAGCGGGTATATGGGAATTTCACTCGCCGTTAAATCTCGTACGAAGTGGAAAATACGAGTTCTTGTTCGTTTCATCTTGTCCTCACTGCAGCGCCGCGAACGAAAGAAGGAGCGATGCCCCTTTGCTTGCAATTGTGGTGGCCGCGGTTGGACATGAGAGTCAAGGCGGAAAGGACGAGCTGGGAATGCTCACTCGGACACGCCAGGGAAAGGACGGCTACTCGACCGTTGATTGCCCTGCTCGCAACGGTTCCCGGGAGGGAACCCATAAGGCCTCCTCCCATTCTAGGTGCAAGCCCGTGGAGGAGGTACACTGCAAGCGGAGGACAGAGAGGAAGCCGCAATGCAGTCACGGACAACTGCCCCTGAACTCTAAAGGACCCCGTCACTGCCGGCCTTGGGAACACCAACGGCAGTAACTGGGTGAACTGAAGCTGGAATGGAGTATCTGCTGATCTGGTACACCGACTGCGTGACCCGCGGCGGATGAGGGCGACTGGAGTGTTACACTCACTCATTTACTCGCTGTATGTCGTCGTTCGTCGTGACCATTGATCGTGTCGACTGGGCATTCAGCTGCACTTTTTGAGCCACTCGATCAGGGCAACTGCAATTCCAGTAGCCGGATATTTACTTACAGGTACCTACCTAGCTACCTAGAGGTAGAGTTGACCGTGCTGAGTGCAAGACAACAGCGTGAAAAACTGAATGAATTCCCTTCTTGATGGCCGGGAGCTGAAGGTGTTGGCAATGTCAGTGTCAGTGACCAAAATGGAGTTGTGCTGACCAGTTGGTGCGTCCGGTCTAGTCCAGTGAGGCCAACCCACCGGCTGAGTGCGTTCCATGCCGCTGCGGCATGATGATCTTGACGGACTCGATGAATAGTAGAGGTAACTCGGACATCCGCTCGTTGAGCACGAAGAACGCAGCCCGCAGTGCCACGGCTCCATTCCATGGTAACAGTTGAGTTGCTCGTCACCGTGGCCGCGACTGACTCTCACTATAAAGACAAGATTCCGGGACTGGAGCAGGAGACCTAAATGTCAACAACTTGAACGTCGTACAGGCAGCCAGCAGGTCCCGGTTCGTCTCCAAAGTCCAGTCCTCGAAAATCGGTTCTTGGATTCCGTCATGACACTGCCTCACTGAACTTGAACCTGTCGCAACCGACGAGTGTCAACAAGCGAATTACCTGGCCTCTTCTGCGTCCGTCCAGTCCGGTTAGCTGCTCATACCAGTAAGAAAGTGGTGAGTTCGGACTCCCAGCCTCAAGTGTCTCTGTCGAGGGGACCGGAACTCACGGCGGTGCGCGGCATGTGAAGTAAACCGCATCACATTCACATGGTGGACTAGATTTCGATGACTGACCTTCCAGTTGCCCCCAGTTGTTCTCGCTAGAGGCAGGGCACCTATAAAGTGGCCTTCTTCATACAGTAGACGCATTTCGAGTTGCTCGACGTCGGGAAAAATGCCGTACTGCCTTTATTTCGTGTCATACATGCAGGGATGAAGTTCGGGAAAAGAGAAGACAGAACGATGGTACCGCTAGACAGACTACAAGATGGGAGTGTCCGAGTGGGGTGAAGACATTACACGAACTGATTCCGCGGCGTGGTGTGTCAAGAAGAGTCGTTGTATTTGGACATTCATTCCCTGTAAGTCCAGCTCGCGCTGTGTCTTCCCACGCCACCAAAATTTGTTGAAAATAAGTATTATCTCGGTTGAAATGTGCACATATTTTGTGCAGATGACTTCCAGTTCCTCCCCCAGCAACTCCGCCAAATCTACCAAAAAACCCTGCCTAGAGGTAACCACAACAAAAGCAGAAAACGAGAAAGCCTGAGATTCTAATCCTGCTAAAAGATGACGAAACCCGCCGACAGTAACCCAAGTGGCCCTTTACCCACCCAGCGCTCAAAGATAAATATCCCCTCCAACGCCATCAACCCATCTCTGCCACGCCATAGCATATGCGTTTTCCAGATCTCTAACCCATCTCCGCGTATCAAACAACGCACAGGTCCATTTGCTCTCCCACAGCAGTTTTCTCAACTCGGCAAGCCTTCCGACCGGTTTACCATAGTAACCAGCCTTGTAACCACCGTGACCGCCGCCAGCACCGTTATTCCCAGACATAGGAAAGCCATCCACAACCAACTCATAAGTCAACCCATTCGCAAGCTCAATAGCCTTGTTCTCATATTCATAATCATCATCGGCAATCAGGTCCTCTGCCGCCCGTCTTCCCGCTTCACTCTTCGGAAGAGCTCCCTTGAGGATGGACGCTGCCATGCGTGAGCACATCTTGTACTCGTACCGCGGCAGGGTCAGGAGGGGCGTGCTTGACCACAAGACATCAGCGGCGGTCGTATGCGCGTTGCACTCGGGAGTGTCGAGGAAGAGGTCACACACGCGGGCGCGGGCGATGTGTTGCTGTTTGGGAGCCACGTCTGTGAAGATGATGCGGCTGGCTACCTCTTCACCGGCCCATTGCTTAGCGGTTCGGCGGAGGTTATTTTCGCCGAGCTCGGGGAACCGGAGAAGCCACAAGACGGCTTTCGGAACATCTTGTAGGATGCGAAGCCAGGATCGGAACGTAGTGGGATCGATCTGTTGTACGAGAGTGTCTGTTAGCTGGGCTGCACATGCAATCTCCCTTGCAGAATTAAGAACACGTACCTTGTACAGTTGATTAAAATTTCCGAGGATGATCCTGTCGTCTGGGAGATTGGGGAACAGCATCTTGCGCATATTCCATCGCCTCCTTTGTTCTTCTTCCCAAGACATCCCTCTCTCATCCGAGCCATCGGCAGACTGTTTGTGATCGCAGCAGAAGAATGTGTCCTTGCAATAGATCAGATTCTCAGAGTATACCCAATCTTCGGCCTCGGCATCAGCTTCATCGCGGAATACATCCTCTATACTTAGGTTGTTTCGATGTGGACGCAATGTCGATGGCGGCACTGAAGTTGTATCTGCGAGCAGATAATCGCACCACTCAGCCCCCAGTGTTCCTGCGAATCCCATGAAGGCCATTTGAATCGGCGCGGGCCGTGCTGCGAAGACCTCATTGCGAGCTCCCCTAGTATAGCCGTTGAGATTTATGAGGATATGAATTCCATCCGCAACAATCTGCTGCACCAGCCTGTCGGATGACCAGGTGCTCACATCTCGGAAAACTGGTGCCTCGCGCTCAATTTGTTGGCGGTGAATCGACTTATCGCTGGCTGTAGTCGCATAACAGAACGCCCTCACCCGCGTTTTATCGTGGAATCCAAAGACAGATTGCATCAAGTGTGCCAAAGGATGGTTGTTGAAGTCGGAAGATACATAGCCTATGTTGAGCTGTGGACTTGGTGGCCTCGGAGGTTCATATACTGCGGCGGGGATCCATGATGATCTGAGGGTAGAACACGAGATCCTAAGTGCGTTCCTCTGCGAGATCATGCGGACATCCTTGGCTGTGAGAGGGCATGTAAAAGTGTGGAATGGTAGGACTGTGGGCGCGGTTGGAACCGTGAGAGTAACGGGAAGCCTTGGCCGAGCGTATCCAGAAGCCGACTCTGTGCCGTGAATGTATCTGTCCCGATACCAGGACCGCATGGTAGCTCTTGTAGCTCGTTCAATAAGCCGTAATACCCGGGAGCCTTCCCATGATCGACCAGACCACTTACGCAATTCCGCATCCAGGTCCAGTGAACCATCGGCGATAGCAGCTCTGGCAGTCCTGAGATAACACATCAACTGCATAGTGGATTGTTCTTGCAAGACACCGCAACCCCAGGCAGAAGCTTCCCTCAATTGCTGGGCAACAATATCAACCACGCGCTGCATGAGGCCGCTTCCCTTGCCCTGCATCATCACGACGTCCTCAAACATTCCTTCTTCGTTAACATGATATCGATCATACCTGCCGTTGGCAAGCAGAACTCCCCCACGCCCCCTCCAGTCGCACACTGAGTTGAGAGCTGTAGAAAGTCCACAGACGGCTTCAGCGAAATCCGGGTTGGAGGTTACGGCCCGCTTGTAGTAGATGATGGCATCGTTGGTGCGACCCCTGTCCTTGACCGCATTTGCAAGGTTCGTCAAGGCAATGTCGAAGGTGCCATCACAGGCCACTGCCTTTTCGTACATAGAGATGGCTAGATCGAGTTGGCCGATATCCTTGAGAAGGCTGCCCAGATTCGTATGAAGATGCACATGTTTCGGATCCAATGTGAGTCCGTACTGATAGTAAGCCAGAGCTAAAGCAAGCCCGCTTCCAGGCACAATGCCAGGGATCGTTGCCGCCATAGAGGCATCTGGGACAGACACCTGTTGTGGCGCCGTGAGTTGGACGCTCGCAAGAAGAATACCCACGTTATTAGCTGTGGATGGACTTTCCTGGAGAGAAAGAGACAGGTAGTAAAGAGCCAGAATATCACCAACGCTGGGTGACTGCTGGGAGACACCTGCACCAGAACCGCCATTGGACATGGCATCTTGCAAGATCTTGGCCAGTGAAAGCAGAGCGTTGCTTGTCGTTGATACGGCCGATCTCCTCTGACTACTCGATACGACGTATTGAAGCCCAGGGAGATGACCACCGCTAGCCGCAAAAACGAGCTTTGCAGTGTGCTTTGCTCTCTCAGGAGGTAGCAGTAGCGGCGCAGATAGATTCTTTCGTGTCGGATTCTGTAGCGATACCATCCCACCACTGCCTGGAATGAGGACACTCTGTATCAGGCGAATAAGTGACCGGAGACCCTTGACTTGTCGTCCGGCACTAATCAGAACAGCCTCCTCAAATGCTTTGGACGCGCCGTCTATGTTCTTCAGAGAGTAGAGGATGTTCCCTTTGGCATGGATAATGCTAATCATCCGACCATTCTCGCTCCCAGGAATCGCATAGCCACTGGAACCAAAACCTGGTTGCCTGCTATTCTCCGCAGTGACAGCAAAGAACGTCTCGGGACTGTCGGTTTTATCCCCATCATGCAGAAATGGGTCAGGGCTAGAGTCTGTGACGGTTGCTGTCGATGCTGTATCCGCTTCGCTCCCAGTCTCGCTGGCTTGATCATGTGCTAAACCACGACTGGGCATCCTCAAAGAGCGTTGGACGAAGTCGATCACCTTGACCGCCTCCGGGCTCTTGTGTCTATAGATTAGCATATTCACCAAGCTCTCCACCGCCTCCAAATAGCTCGGTCGTTTCTTGACGGCTTGCGTCCAATGGTGCTCGGCTTCTTCAGGTCTATTCATGGAGTAAAGTGTTGCTGCCATGTGGGAAATGGCTTCAACATGGCTTTCATCAATGCTCAGCACCCGTCTAAACCACTCGAGTGCCTGATCGTAACGCTCGAGTGCGTAATGAAGGCACCCGCCAAGCAACATACCATCCACCCACTTCCACCCACTCTGCTCGCACAGGTTTGACAACACATCCAAGGTAGTCTTGGCTGCGCCAGGAGGTGAGTTAAACTCATGTTGACGCTTAGGCAGTTTGGCCTGATAGTAATGCCCTTGTGAGCCAGGTTTTGGATGGCCGTTGACATTATCAAGATAGAGCGAGCGAAGATTAGAGCGGCCGGAGGTATAACTCAGGGGCCGCGAGGTAGCGTCATTTTGGTTCGAGTGCTGGGGATAGCTACCGAGTGCGTCTGGACGCATGGAAGGGGCGGCGAACTGGGGACTCAAAAGAGCAAGCGTCCTGGGCGGTCTCGGATAGGCAATCCGGTGCCGACTTCCTGGCTTAATGCCTTCGCCATGATGTAGGTGATTCAGATACAAGACTAGGTCATTATATGCCTTGTGGGCTAAATGTAGTGCCCGATCCTTGAAGTGAGCTGGTGACGAGGCCTCCCCATTGCCTTCCCGAGAGCGGCCGTCTGGTTTGGAGTTCATATACTGCGTGGTGCCACCAACATATGTGGCATGTGGCGTGAAGGGCCCTTGACCATAGTGCGAGAAGCCATCATCAAGAGGGTAGGCTGAAAACGGCAATCTGAGTGAGTGTGCGTAACCCGGCCCGTAGACTTGAGGAAGACTCTGCTGGATAGCCGAGTTCGGGGGAACGAAAGCGCTGTCAACGACTGCACTTGGCTGTGCGTAATTACCCCCAAGATTAAACGAGTTTCGAAAGTCAGGAAAGACACCGTCTCTGTATACCGAAGGTTGTGGGAGCGCCGCGGGACTGTACACTCCTGGAGTCATGAACTGGTTGTAATAGCCAGGCCCCAGAAGCGGTTGCAGATTGGATACGGTATGGTGACCAAACTGGGGGATGGGCGGCGTAAGAAGGTTGCAATCTGCGGCACCAAACCCTTGCCCAACGTTTGACGGACCAACTCCCCAGCCCAGCGGTGTGACGGGACCCGACTTGAGCGAAAGGGTTTCGGTGGCTGAAGCGAGGCTTCCTGGGGTCAGTGGGACGGAATACGGCCAGGGACTGGCTGGTACTGGATGCTGAAGGTTGCTTGATGTTGAAGGGCCAGAGAGCCCAGGATCAACAGTGGCGGGAAAGAGCCTTGATGGACCCGGAAGGGCCATCTGCTTCAAGGGAGGTGGCCCGGATGCCAGGTGTGTTAGTGAGCCATCGTAACCATTATCGATAGTTCCTCTCGGAGTTTTTCGTCGGAGTGAATGTTCGGCGCTGTGGTCCGGTGCGTGGGGTCGGTGAAAGGTGGTCGTGATGCGGTGCAAGGTCGGCTGGGTGCTCCGGGAAGGGAACGACCGGGGTGTCGGGTTCAAGTTGCTAAGGTGGTGTTCATGAAGATTCGACGGCTGTTGGTGGCTTTGTTGGTGGCCTTGTTGGTGATTCTGTTGGTGGTGCCTTTGATGCCCTTGATGCCCTTCGTTGGGTAGTGCGAAAAGCCCTGATGGTGAGTGAAGTAGTCTTGTTCGTGCGAGTGCCCATGGCCATGCCCATGTTGTGCTTGAAAGGAGCCCCGGTGGTCGAACGACGGCGGCACCATATGGTGCATCTGGACAAGATGTGTCATTGTATCATCTAACGATAGCCAGGTCGAACGCGTGTAAACCTTTGCGAAAGCTGATCAGGGCTGGTAAGTAACTTGTAGATGTGATGGCGAGGAAGATGGAGAACGAGAACAGGTCCAAGGACGGGGTATAGATCTCCGGGTTAAGCAGGTATTCGAATCATGGAAAACGTGCGAGACTAGAAAGGAGTGACGAGGAGCTGAGCTGGCGAAGAGCTTAAAGCCTGTCGAGTTGATCAGGCCGAATACTTGGTTCCTTGCCGGTCAACGCATCCTGATGTTGATGGTGATTTAACGAGCGGCCATCCAGAACTCGAACGTGAGCGAACCGGTCGGACCAGGCACAAGACCCGTTATCATCTGATACCAGTGGAGATACTGAGACGACAGTTTCTGTATCCTTTGGTCCCAAGTCTTGCCTTCCTCCTTCTCACCTTTCTGCTTGTCCAAACTCCCGTCAAGAGCGGTCCCGCACGTGGGGGGTTTCTCGCACAACACGAAGCAAAATTCTGTGATGATCCGTGATGGCCAAGCAACCAGCAATCCTGGCCAATCAACCAGCCCCGATTGCCGGTGCCAGCACCCTGCGCGCCCGTACCAGAGGCCGAGAGACGATAGACAGACAACAGCGCCGAGTAGGGCGTGAGATTCTTTAAATTCGTGGGTTCGCGAATTGACAAGTCTGGGTGCGGTGCGATGTGGATGTGGGTGCGGGTGCGGGGACCTTCGGCGAGCGGAGCGAACAAGTGTGGATCAGGTCTGCCGGCGGCGACGACGTCCAGAGTTACGGTATAAACGGAGACGGCGAGGACGGGGCTCGAACGCGGGACTCCGGACTCGAAAGGTAGAAATAGCGCCGGAAGGTGGAGCAATGGGGTCCGATTGTCTAACGCGCGTACTGTGTGTCGATTCGTACTTTAAAGCACTTGCGCCCGGCACTGACTGCGGCCCATTGAACAGCAGGTGTCCTGTAATGCAGCCTCGAGGCAGGTATTGAAAGAGATGGGATGGAGGTGATCGCAGGGAGAACCAAGCGGTTTGGAGGTCGGCTTTGCAGTTTGTTGCAGCAGGAGAAAGTTGAGGTGTGAGTTCTGTTGGAGGTGTCGACCGGAGTTGGTAGGGTAAGTACGAGTTTCCTTAGAGGTACACACCACCAACAACTCCACTGCATTTACAATTGAAGATTGGAAGGACTACCTAGCCCGGTCTCCATGTGCCTGCCGTGCTGCCCTACCCTATACGCGGCAAGAGCCAATGTCTGATATTCTCGATCCAGTAAAGCGGCCGAAGAGCAAAAGGCACCAAGAGCGACCAAGAGGCACCAAAAGGCATCAGGCGGTGCACATTCGCACCTGCGGCCTGCCAACGGAACCACACGGAACTTCCCTGCCTGGCTCGCCTGGGACGCTATCAATCCGGGGACCCTGCTGTCCGCCTGTTGCACCCCTGTCGCCTTCCACCTAACCCCCCGGTTTGGCGTGCTCCAGTGGGAAGGAACCTGCGACTAGAGGGGGCGTGGGGGACGCTAATTAGCTGGTCAGGAACGATAACTGCGACGATGTCAATTCATGGGGATCCTCCATGCATATTCGACCATAATTCTCTCAACACTGGACGCTTCTGTACGCTTCAATAATCATTATTGAGATCGTGTCCTATGTGTGTTTCCAAAACTGAAGCCTTTCGAGACCTCATTTCTCGGTGTATAAGCGACAAACGCACAAGGTACAGGTATCAAGAGGCGATGTACACACGGACAGAGTCGAAGCACCTTCACTTTCAGTGCCACCACCATCACCCACTTCAGCATCAGCAACGGGAAAGCCGTCACCAATAGAGCGCCATGCGAGACGTATGCAGGCTTTCAACAGGCAACATGAGGTGGGAAACAGGGTTGCACTCTGCATCTTGTCACTCCATTTGATTTGCCTCTCCATCGGTGGCCTAGCCCGCCCAGCAACTGCGCCCACTACCCAAGAGCGACTACAAAAAGAAGAGGTATACCTATCTCCTGCTCTCGTCCAACTAACACGACATGAGCAGAAGCAATCCATAGTAACCCTACGGACGTGAAGCCCTGAACATCGTCCTTGACGAGACCAAAAGGGTCCTCTTGGGTCCTCACCTCTCCTCTGACGGGAGTCCTCTCTGTCTTGCCCCTCCAAAGCTACCCAACCCCTCCTGGCTCTGACTGTCATCAGCGAAATGCTGACCGGGAACAGGGGAGAAGGATCGAAGCAGCATGGCCGGGCGGACTCCCCGCCGGTGCAAAAGGGTTCCATATTGTGGACAAGTACCCCGTAATCATATTCAGCTTTTTACATAAAGTACCTCCGCTTCGCTTTACCAATTGTTATATCCATCGTCCCCGGTCACACAAGACACCGGCCGTTGTATGTAACTGCTCCCAATGACTGCGGCGATCCGCATGGCTATTTTCATCCATGAGCCACCACCGGAACCAAGGAAAGATTCAGAAGATCAGGAAGTCCACCAGAAGCTTTAGGCTTGTCACTCCAGTCACCCGCAAGAAGGGCGAAACAGAAATCCTACTGGCTCAAAATCCCTCGATAGAGGGTGAGCCTTGCCCAAGCTCTCGCATCCTCCCAAAGAAACCTGCATCTTCTTCCCTTTTCTCCCCGTCATCGACATTTGACAGGCCAGCCCACCACTTCCATCACAACGCTAGATCTTTTCTCGGCACCTCGGCAGCCCCTAATGAGCTTGCCCCTTGGCGCCCTGTGGCGCCCTGGATCTGCTGAATGGATGGAACCATGGGAACCGAATCCATCGTGGTGCAGCACGTCTATCACATTCGCTTCTCTTCTCATTACCCATTCTCGCCATTATCGGATGAGCTGGAGGGAGTCATCTTTGCTTACCTGTTCTCCTCAATTAACCATCACCGCCGTTGCCGGCTGAGTTGCTTTTGCCGCACCAAAACATGCTTCTGCTTCGTTGTCTTTTCCGAAGAGATGCTTTGGAATAAGCAGCGACAACAGAAACACCCTCATCGCTGAAACAACGAAAAAAGGGGTGGGCTTCAGCTGTCTCAGGCCTTACGATACCTCCCTCCTTCCACACCTTTCTGGACAGATCTTGGTGGGTTTGTCAAGAAAGGGTGGTCCGGTCACATAACCCGGACCCGGCGGTGGTGTCCTGGGTTGCGGCCAGCCAACGGTGGCCAAGAGTCCGGGGTCCATATTCAGCGGACGCGCAACCGACATGTGTCACACACATATACACGAGGCACAGATGAAGAGCCAAGTCGGATCTTTACACAGGCGGACAGGCTTGTGACATGGAGAGTAACTTGTGAAGTATCCCGTTGCCGCCGCAATTTTGTTCAGTCAGGGAAGAAAATCCACCGGCCATCTCACCTATCTAAGCGGATGAATCGCTGACATCGACAGGTACTTTCATGAGAACTTCCCTGGACCAGCTGAATGAGTTCCGAACGATCAAACGCCGCTTTCACCACGGATCCATCCGAAGTTGCCTGACAAGCTGGCCGTTTGATGACATTAAACACCTGTTGGACAAGCAGGGCTCTTGACGAACTTCGCTTTTTGTTTGTGGGTTTCTTCCCTGTTTGGAAGATAGGAAGGGTGGATACTTCTGCCGGCCTCACCTCCAGGAACGTTTCGTTATACAGGGCGGACCACCGAAGTTATTACGTGCCGCACACGTTTGAGACGACTTATAATGCTGTACCACCAAAAGCCCCGTACTGTAACCAGTGCCAAAGCACCAAGCACTGAGCAGTGTATATATGGCAAGCCAACTTAATCTTCCCTACATAGCACGATTACGATGTCTACCTACACCCACCGACGGACATACCTTTGCTATCAAGTGCTACCTACAGACGGAAGTAAGCTGTTGCGCATACATATATCTATAGACAGCACGCACACATACAATGTGTGATCCGGATTCTCACAGGTAGGTATCACACAGCCGCAATGCGGGCAATCTAAAACATCAGGACAAGTGGACGGTCAAGTCACTTACCGTACCGTCGCTACCAACATCCCGATATTCCAAGAATCTGGATCCCATGTTCTATCTAGCGGTGGGGGGTGCCAGATAATGATTCAACACGAAACACATGATCAAGGTTATATAGAACCCAAAAGGTCGATGAAACGTCTTGTTTTATGCCCTGGTAGATGAAATGGTGGAAATGGACGAAACAGACAGAGACAGGCAAGCATTGTTCTCCCGAGTCAGCACACCAAGGATTATATTCCTACACACGTCCTAATTGATCTCCGTCGAAACAATCGAGAGAGAAAAAACAAAACGAATAGAATATCATCAAGAAAACCTAGGAGTTCAACACAGTAACACATTAAAAGCTCCACGCCATCGGTCAGCTACGACCGTGGAGATATATATCATAAGCCCAGTGTATAGTTGCTGTTTCACAATCTCCAAGTGATCTCGAGCCTCAATCCCAAACGCTATCTCTTTCGGTTCATACATGAATAAGGTTTTGACGCCCCGAGGAAGGGTAGCATGGAACTTAACGACAAACTACCTTAAACCATGAGTGTCCAAGTAGGTAGTAGGTAGGTGGGTCGTATCCTGCGTACAATATTACCTACCACGGTAGTCTATACATTACAAAGTTGAGACTGGTCGGTCACAATGAACGGAGCCGATCCTTTTCAATACTCCTTCCATTTTATTTTTATTTGTTTTCCTTTCGAACGAACACGGAAGTAACCCAAAAGAACTAGTTGCACTACGAGTGTCAACAGTTGTCAGCGCCATGATGAGGTTCAGTTTTCCGGAAAGCCTTCTTTTTTTTCACAGATCTCGTATCACGAGTAGGTATGGGAAATTCCATAAAAGCAAAAACATCGTCGGTCCGCCTAGGTATGTATACCCAAGAGGCAATGCCATCAACGAACGGCCACCTAAGCGCATCAAATCCACATCTAGATCTACTGCGTACATCAGCCACATTATATCGTCTCATGTCGTATCGCATCACGCACATCATTATCTATCGCATACCTAGAATACCTGACTTAGGTTACCTTGCTTTCCTTATCTCGTATGTATGCACACTTCTTCATCTATCTTGACGTACCGGCTTTGTTGGCTCTAAGCGGAAACTTGCTAGCCCGACACAGTACAAAGTCGATGATGTAAGAGTATCAGTACAGTGAAATAAGATGATGATTTATCCGGTCGAGCTATTTTGAAGTGTCCGCATATACATGAAGGGTAGTGAATGGTGAGTAGCCTGAAGGTGTGGTTTACCCAACCCAACGTTGGATAGCTACTTGCACTATAGTCTAGCCTAGTTGCTGGGTCATAGACCGACACATGATGATTTCTTAGTCCACATCACCCAAGCTAGCAGATATGTGCTAATATGTCTACAGAGGGGGAAGAGAAATATTGCCTGGAGGATATAAGTTGCGGCGGATGGGGAAGGCATGGTCTTTAGTCTAGATGTGATGTTGGAGACGATAGGCAGGAATCAAGAGGGCAGACCGAGGAGCGGATGGGAAGCATCTTGTCATCATTAGACCGAATCGAAGTGCACACCAGTTCAACGGGACGGCGTGAACATGAACCGTGGTTGTCTATCCCTGATATGGTACCGAGCTACACTGATGCTGAACAGAGGTTGGAATACCAACCCGGTTCATCACCCAAGCATTCCGGTAGTCATCCCCCGTCGCGCATCCAGACACACCATCTCAAAAGCAACACTGCTCATTGGGACCATTGTTCTTCGAAATCATATTTGTATTTTTCTATCTCTGTGTTGACGTAATCGCTCGATGGGAAAAGAAATAGTAGGTGGGGTTGGTATATCGATCGGCAAGGCGACAAACATTCGGCGAGAGGGGGTGTAGACCTAAATATGGACCTCGATCTTCCATAGCAAATGCCAACGGAACCCGTGGTGAGTAAATGGACGTTTAATCTTCCTGAGTTGAAAAATAAAACCGGGAGTGACCATGGAGAAGGAGCCAAACTCGGGTGAACTTCAGGGACTGCATAGTCAGTTGGAGGGGCGGAAACATATCAACACACGAAACAGACGGGGGAAATGGTTGGAGGCAATGAGTAGGGGTTCGGCGCTGCGCTTATTCCTCGAGTGTCTCGCAAACCTAGATACCATGTCCAATGTCGTAATGGACGGCTGTATACACGTGCACACATCATAAGGCGAGGAACACGACGGCTCGGCCTTCAAATCGTCTTTGGTGATTTTTGATTTGCCGTCGTTTGGCAAGCCTGATCGTAAAGCAAGCCCTGAACTCCTAAACACATGCCAAGAATCCCAATCCGACCTTTTGTAGCCGAAATTTACTCCTCGGGGACTGTAACAAGTCAGCAGGGGCGCTCACAACCGAAGCCAAGGGGAGAGACAAGCGCAAGACGCGCCCATCATGGCGGCACATGAAGCGCATTGGTGGGTAACGTACTATCGATCTCGCCGGCGTGGATAGCCTCCTGGATGGCCTTGGGGCTCTTGCCATCGACCTGGCAGCCGACGGAGAAAGCGGTACCGAGAACCTCGAGGACGGTGCCCTTAAGCTCCTTGGAGAAGGACTTGTAGCGCATGGTGCGGGCGATCTCAATGATCTCATCAAGCGAAACAGACTTGTTGTGCTTGATGTTCTTCTCCTTCTTGCGATCCCTGGGGGGGCTCCTTGAGCGCACGGATGACGAGCGCGGAGGCGGTAGGGACGACGGAGACGGCCGCCTGACGGTTCTGGATGGTGAGCTTGACGGTCACGCGGAGACCCTTCTGTATTCGTTGAAAATCCCATTGTCAGAACTCTGTTTCCCATTCGTTTCGCTCATGAAGTCGTTCATGTAGAGTCGGATAGAGAGCCAGAATTTCGTACCCAGTCACCAGTAGCCTTGGCGATATCTTCGCCGACCTTCTTGGGGGAGAGACCAAGAGGACCGATCTTGGGGGCAAGAGCCGACGAGGCACCAACCTCACCACCGGTGGCCCGGAGGGTGCTGCACACAGAAATCGTCCGTCAGTATGTCTGTAATTCGTGTTCGTCGCGGATATCGGTGTCGCATCGAGTCGCCTCGAGCGACGGATCGTCGGGTGTGTTCTTACATAACCTTCACCTCATTAGGATCAAACTTGGGAGCTGCAAATTGGCCATATTGTCAGTTTCGTGTCGTCAATCATTGCCAGGCAAATAGTAGGGCCATAACTTACGCATGGTGACGGCTGGTGATTGTCAAGATGCACTTGGATGGTGTTCGTGGGAAGGAGGAGACCGTACCGAGGATCCAAGACAACAACGAAATCGAAAAAATCCCAGTTGTGGGATCTGGACCTGCCTGCCCTAAGATTTTGGCGGTGTGTGGCTGGTGCTTTTGGCGGGGTACCAGCCACAATGTGACAACTTTCAGCCACAATCCATCCCGTTTCATGCTTGGTCAGCGCCGTGCAGCCCGTGCTGCAACCGCTACGTTCGCCTGCCAACACCTGCCAAACCTGGGAAAACAACCCCCTGAATGTGAATGGGGACAGAAGGCCAAGGTCTCCAATCTGCCGCCCAGAAAACCACAACGACATCCATCCCGTCCCATCGGTGGCAAAACTCCAAATAGAACGAGTGAGGATGTAACAGAACAGCGCACTGAATTCATATTAATGATGGGATCTATTTTTGTGCTCGTATAAGTCCACATAAAACTAACGCTAGGTAATTCCAACAAAGTCGTCAACCGCTTTCGGGGCTTGCATTCAACTTCTTCACCCCCTTCCAACACTTCATTCGGCCTGTCCACTGCCCTCACATTTAGTTGGTTCCACTGACGGCAAGCTTCATGAGATGCTCCATGAAAGTCTGCAGAGAAACATCGTCCGTGAAGATAGTCTGGGCACTCTGAGCTCCAACACCGCCATAGGCGCCAGCACCTGATGTATGGGTAGTGGAAGGGTTAAGCTTGGAAAGCAGGAAACGAGCTTGAGAACCGCCTTGGTCGCAAACAATGAAACGAGGGAGAGGGAAACGGTCCGTGATGAGATCCTGTGCATAATTAGTAAAAGCCCCAACATAGATCGATTAAGATTGAACAGGGGAACAACTTACCCTTGCATCTTCCTTGGGCTGTTCCAAAAGTGCAGCAAAGTTCTCGTATCCCTCTTGTTCTTGATAGCCGGCCTTTCTCCATTCCGCGATCGTCTCGCCATGGAAGATCAAAATATGGAAGAAGGTATCGAGCAGAAGGATATGCGTGGGCTGGATGGAAGTAGAGTCGAGCAGAACGGGGACACCGCCTTCTTGGTCGAATGTGTAGGAGTCAAGCGTTGGTTGAATCATGATGAGGGAGTTGCTAACATCCTCATGGTTGAGAACATGTCGGTAGAATGCGGTCTCATCGGGAGAGTTGTTAAAGACTTGCAAGAACTGACTCCTGCGCAAGTGGAACATGAACTGTGGGTATAGCGTAAAGTTCTTTTCCAAACGGAACGATGACGGGTCGTCCTTGCGGTAATCGGCAAATCTGGCACAGAGCCTGATGAGCATGCGGTCAACCCATCGGAGCACATCAGGCCCATCATCAACCTCTGCCTTGAAAACGGCAATACGCGACATGAGAACGGCTGCCGCCTCTTGGTCGAATGATTGCGCGATGGCGGGGTCGCCGGCAGGGCCGCTGAGGTTCCGGGCAATGGTGGTCACCCGAAGGTGGAAGTGGCCTGACGAGTGCTGGTAATAAGTCAGGAACTGCATCATGCCCTTCTGAGGACTCTGAATGTTCTGAGATGGGCCACCCTGGTTGGCGATTTCGAAGTAGATGCCGTAGCTGGAGCTGGGGTCGATACCGCACATCTTCCACGTGCAAGTGTTACCGATGCCGCACTCGGTTTCACCGACGGAAGTTGACTTCTTGTTGAGCGAAACGGCGTGACCAATCAACCCAGTAACCTTGAGTTCCTTCGTCGTCAAAACCTCCAAAACGGCATTGAAGCCCATCAGCAGATTATCATCTGCGTCCTTTTCGAAAATGCGAACAAATGACTGCTTGAACATGGATGAGGTGAAGCTGTCCGTCAGAATCATGTGGCCACCAGTCGAGTTGCACAGACCCTTCATTTCAAGCAGACCGACTTGATCGAGACAGCCGGCAAAGATATCGATGGTGTGGCCGTTATGCGCAGTGCGCTTAGCGAGGTTATCGTAAAACTATAACGAATGTTAGCATGACATGGACTGCGTTCCGTGCCTTGCGTTGAAGAAAGACGTACCTTAAGCGCCTTCTTGTAATACTTGATGTTGTCACGGTCAATATCGTGATGGGAGCGGATGGGCTCTCTCAGCTCAGGGCCAACAACCATGCCAGGGCCCTCGGTAGCCGGGCCACCAGAAAAGAGCATAATGCGACCACCGGCATTCTGGAATGAAGTCTCAAGCAGGCCAACAGCAACGGACAAAGCAACACCGGTGCAGCGCAAGGCCCTGAGGTTGCCGGCAACAGGCCAAGGATCCTTCTGAAGCTGTTCGATGGCCTTGGTCAACTGGAACTCGGCCTGAGAGACCGGGAGCAAGAACCTTGAAGCAGGGCCGGCCGGGAAGGGCCTGCCAGGCTGCTGCATAGGCATACCTGGGCGCATCGCGGGTTGTACGAGCCCAAGCATCTCCTGAACCTGTTTGGCCGCGTACTCCTTGTTACCGCGGAAGACATATGACTTGGGGCACTCGGTATAGCCGATCTCGTGGACCTGGGCCATGGTGCCATATGTGATCAGACCGACGAGGGCGTGCTCGGGCAAGAGGCTCAAGCTCATGATGAGCGACTCCTTGAGGGCAGCCAAGCTGTCCTCCTCCTGGCACGTATCGACGACATAGAGGAAGATCGGGGGGGCGGGAGCGGGCCGCGAGAGTCTGTACTCGATGGTGGTGTTGGAGGGGTGCAGCTCGGGCGGGATCGCATTTTGGGTGATGTCCTTGTAGTGTGGCGGGAGGGGATTCCTCGAAAGACAGAAGGGGCAGATCCACAGACGGGCGCGCACATCAACTTGGCTGGGCGAGGAGAGGGTATCAGCAACATGCGCAACAACTCGGGGCGAATAGAGGGCTCACCAGTAGGGGTTCAACACGGAGCGGCAGGGCTGCTTGCAACTAACAGGGTCGAACTGCAGCAAAGGTGTGTCGGGCTTCTCCTTGAGAGGGGTATAAAGGGCGCCGATGGGGACGACGAGCCTGGAAGCTTCCTGTGGAAAGGGTCAGCGATGGATGATTAAGGGGCTGGGCGAAGTAGTAGCTATGCGAAAGAGCAGAACTGACCATGCGGGTGCTGGGGAAGACATTCCAGCTCAGACGAACGCCATCACGGTCCTCGACCTCGCCCCATTGCTCCTTGAGCGCTTCGTAATCCATATTGATGTCGACGGCGTCCTCGGTGGGTGAGAGCTCGCAGTCGGGGATAAAGAGGAACAAGGGGTGGTGGTGTCGGTGGTTGACGGTTGATTAGAGGATTAAGGGAATTAATGTGGACGGGATGATCGTCTACGCGGTGGTAGCTCCAGAGATACGGGGCGGGCGGCGGGCAACGGGCAACGTCGTCGGGCGGCTACGTGCAAGGTGTCATTAGCTCCGAGACCTGGAATGCACGAGACACTCTCGACATCCACCTTCCACCACAGCAGCTGTTGCGGCAGGCGGGACCTGAGGCTGGATGTGGAAGCTAGGGGGGAAAAGCGGGCTCCGTGCGAGTACCGCGGGGGAAGCAATGAGGTACGTACGGGATCCCAGCACGTGTGTCTCGCCAGGAAGATTGACAGCAATTAAGAACTTCTTTCTTTCGAAGCTCCTGAAAATTCAAGGTCCACTTTTAAAGTGTTGACCGCCGTCCAGGAAGCCTTGCTCAAGATCGAAAAGTTGGTGACACGCTGCTCTGCTGCAATCGGGCCAGGTGGTTTCGACTAGTGATGGGACGAAAGGTGTTCAAGAAATATCCCAATTGCTTTTCCTGAACTGATGCCGACTGCAGCGGGCGATATCAATTCCTGATTTGCGGCTCTGTTGTCATTCGCTCCCCTCCAGTTGTCGAAAAGGACAGGTAGGTTTCTTTCTTGCCCGCAAAAGGCTAGCTCTACTGACAGGCGGCAGGAAACTTCTTGGCAGCTGGCAGGCACCTTGCTTGACGAGCTGACGCCACTCACCCACTCACACTCACACTCACCCACTCACACCCACTTCACCCTCTCACCGTGGTGAACTGCATCTCATCAATCCTAGAACACCCGCAACCTCTTCCGTCAGCACACCTTCCCGGATGTGTCAAGTGTTTTCCCGGTGCGGTGATATTCCCGCGCCGTTGGACCACGAACGACAGATACAATTGGCGGGTTGCGGTATCAAACATCCAAAATGGAAGTCATACTCAGCATCATATGCTCGCCATTACCATCATCCTTCAAAACCTGGGGAGGCATCAGCCTTTTGATTCCGATGCCCATCGGCGCCAGCCATGAGTCTTACCAGTGACCGTTGACTATCAGCTAGTTCTGATTGGGCTGTTCGCATCTAAACTCGAAAGCTCGGTCTCATAACGATGCCTATCACCATGCCAGCTTTTGGTGTTCTTGAAGGAATCGTACCCCTGTTTCAGCCCACCGTGACGAATTCTGCTCCGGTGCATGACCAGATTACCTTTCGTGCTACCGTTGGGGAATCCTCAACAAGTCCATCTGTCGCGGAAAAGTCCATCAAATCGCCGTTCACTTGCTCCCTCAGTCAATCATCCTATCAGAGTGCCACAGCTTGGTGAAATTGCGGCTTGTGCTGCATAGCACGAACGCTCTCGGGCGATCACCTCCTTTCCAGGCAGGCTCATTCCCACCTGTTACACGACGAGTAGTGATCAGCCGTATTTTGGGCGACTTCATGATGTAGTGCTGACTTGATTGCAACACCTGGGTACGCTAAGATACGGGGGTAGGCGAGCAGTCACCAGGTAACAGTCAACCATCGACGATGATCTGACCGTGGCTCACATCTCCCGCCCTCGTCTATAATCACAGTCGGATCCTATAGGTTCCTCACCTACCACCATGTCTCAATGGCGCTTCAGGGGATCTAGCCCTTTCTGTGCGTAGGAAGCTGACGCGGTGAGTATGGTTTCCAAGAATTTTATTCTTCTCCCCCATTGTTCTTTCTTTTCCCTCCACACTCTTGTTGCAGTTTTTTCATATCTCCGGTGAAATCAGACATTATGGTCAGGAGGTCGACTCCCCTTTTATGGTGTGTAATACAGCCATGGATCTGCCAGGCGGCTACCATTACCACCCTCCCCGAACCAGAGGATCCAGTTGTTCTTCCACGACAGGTGAACGGCGCTGTCAGTTCGTCAACTTTTCTGCGAAGAGGCTATCATACGTGTTAGTAATGTCATCAAAGTCTCTTCCTCAGCGCTCCATGACAATCGGGCTAATCGAACCAAAGCCGCGGTCTTGGACGGGCGAGTGTACATTGACGGTGGCGAAGTCTCGTATTACAGCGGTACCAACATCAACTTTCAATACTGTAAGCCTATTCATGAACGAATTATTGAGCTTACAGCACCACCCTAACTCTAGTCTAGCTAATTCCTTGCTATCTATCGATCTGTCCAAGGACTGGACAAGTGATTCAGTCCGGTTCGACTCAACATCCAAACCGACCGGTGCCGCCAACCTCGCTGGCGCAGGAATCTGGGTAGACGAGACTGAAGGTGTCCTATACACGGGGTTCGCCGGCGTCAAGTCGAGCTTTGGGGACAACGCCAATCAACCTCAAGGTCTATGGTCATTTAAGCCAGATGGTAAAGGCGGCGGAACCTGGCAAAACCTGAACAGCACTGCGGATAAGACGTTTACAGAAAAGCCGAGACCGTTCAAAGGGAAAACAGCTAGTGGCAATGGTGTTGGTTACTTCCTCGGAGGTACGCAACCCTCCCTCCCCAGTCTTAGAAACTTTTGAGGAGATTCGCTAAGCTGACCTTGATCACAACAGGATTTAATAGGTGGAGCACCAATGAATCTGACTTCCGCGAGGGACCGGTGAGTGGCCTTCTCACGTACGACTTCGCGTCGAAGACGGCCACCAATACATCCGTCTCCATTGCTTCCACAGAAGGATCGGAACAATTTGGCAGCATACTCTATGTTCCCAACTTCGGCAAAAAGGGGATCCTGGTTTCCGTGGGAGGTTTCATAGGGGCCATGAAGGCAGGCGAAGACGACGAGAAGCTGGTTTCCATGGACACCGCACGCATCTTCGACATCGACAGCAATGCGTGGTTCGAACAAAGCACATCAGGCACTTCGCCTGCTCCAAGACAGGAATATTGTATGGCAGGCGTGGCGTCGGACAACCAGACCTACGAAATTCTCATCTACGCCGGCTGGGGTCGTCATCTGGGCAGCTCATCTGTATCTTTCGACGATGCATACGTGCTCACATTGCCTGGGTTCTACTGGACCAAAGTCCCCTACACGGCACGGAACCCCAGACACTCGCTCAGCTGCAACGGCGTCGGTGGTGGTCAGATCATAACAATCGGAGGCGTCGACAGTACCAGAGAAGGGCCCGGAACATTGTATAAGGGTACATTCACGACCAGCGATCCCTTCCCACAGGGCATCGCGGTATTTGATCTGGCTACCTTGAAAATTACAGACACTTACAAAGCGAACCGAACCTCGTACTCGCCTGCCTCGGCTATTCAGTCATATTACGACGACAAGTAAGTGACTGACCTTTCGACACCCTTCAGGGAAAAACATAGCAAAACACAGTAGAAAAAAATCACTAACCAGTCCCCCATTGCACCACAGAGGCAGAAAACCCGAATCCGGCTTCACGAACAGCCAATTAGAATCCGTCTTCGCACAACAATACTTCAAAGCCACCAACAACAGCGACGCCTCCTCGCCATCGACTCCCTCCGACCCCTCTTCGCCATCTGCCTCCGGCTCAACAAATGACCCCTCCGACAGCAACGGAAGCAAAAGCGGCGGCGGCAGCAGCAGCAACGCAGGGGCCATTGCCGGCGGCGTGGTAGGCGGCGTGGCAGCCATTGCTGCCGGGATAGCGCTGGGTTATTTTCTCGCTCGAAGACGTACGAAGAAGAGGGGGCTGATGGAGGAGAATGCGGAACAATCGCAAGGGCAGCCAGGGCTGCCTGGACAGCAGCAGCAGCAGCAGCAGCATCAACAACAATCGTCGCTGGGACCCGGACAGCAGCAAGTACAGGAAAGCAAGTGGCAGCCGGGGGCTTACGAACCTTACCCTGGTGGTAATGGGTATGGTGTAGATGGGTACCATCAACAGCCGGTTCATGAGCTTCCGCCGGATCATGTTGTTCATGAGATGCCGGAGAGGAGAAATGTTAGTGAGATGCCTTGAGTAAGGCTGGTAATGGTAATGGCAATGGCGAAAGGTGTGAAGTTATCACCGCGATGAGACGATAGAACCGAGACTTGACAAGGAAGGGATGGCGCCATTTAAGGACACACATAGATTATACCATACCAACTTGGTTGCGTTTAGACCCTGATTCGTGGCGAGCAACACAACTAGAGATAGACAGTTGACATCCGATAAACTGAATATAAGTTTCGAATAGGACGACTGAAGTTTCCATTTCCATTTTGTACTTCTAGTTTTTATCTACCCATCTGCACCGCTTCAACACACACCCCATTCATACCCACCTCTCGTCGTCTAGTACTTGCCCGCAAAAGCAATCTGCACGGCCGTATACGCCGCCGTCAACTTAAGCGTAAGCAAGCTCAGCGAGCTGACAACACCAAACTTGGTGCGGCCCTGGGGTCCGCCCTTGGTGTAGCCGATGGTGTAGAACACCCTGCTCAAGCTCCACAGGCCACCGAGAGCACCGGCGAGGACGGGGTACTTGAGGCCCGCGATGAGCATGGCGCCAATGGCGGGGGTGAGGTTCTCGGTGAAGTTGGCGTGGGCGCGTTGGGCTTTTTTTGAGGGAGGTATGTTAGTTTTTGCCTGCCAAAAGCTCTGTCTGGCCCAGGGGAGAGGGGAAGGGAAGAAGAGGGCATGGGAGAGGTAGAAAAAGAGACATACCGCAGTTAAAGGCAAAAGCCTTGGGGTCCTTCTCGGCTACCTCCTGAGAGGCATAGGCGGCGGGATACTTGACGCCCGAGGCCTTGCGCTGCGCCCCGGTGTTGAGGGAGTGGAAGACGTTGACGAAGAAGGTGGAGACGGTGGCTAGGAGGACGTAGCTGTGGTTTGTGTGTGTTAGTTATTGCGAGACCATAATATGAAGGATGGTGGTGAGGGTGTTAACTTACCCGTACTCGTCGGGGAGTGTCACGATGATAGCCATTTTGCTTGTTTGTTTATGTTGATCTGCTGACCTGGGAGAGGTAACGAGGAAGAAGGGTAAGTAAAGATAACGGAGTTCGACAAGTCCAAACAGGAAGATGGTTCACGAAAAGAATGGGAAGGAAGTAAGAACCACTCACGACTATCTTTTGGGTATTTAACTGTTTTATTATTCTGTCTTTTTCCCAACCTCTTTCCACTTCTTCAATAATATGAGAAGTTCACTCTTATACCCTAGTAAACTTGATTAGTCAACCACGTCGTGTTTCTATGATGAACGCATTGTATCCGTCCGCTCCCGCAAAACTGACCAGGTAACACCCGGGACCCTGCCGACTCCTCTGTTCCCTCATTAAGAGAGGTGGTCATCTGTGGAGTTTCCAGCTGCTTCCAACGCTAGCCATTGGCCAATCATGTGTGACCTCGGGCTCTATATCACCCCGGCGGCAGAAAGGACACGGTGCGATTCTGTGCACCTTTTCCGTGCAATGGGGATCGGGTTGCCCCGGCCGACCGACTGTTGTGGTACTCGGTGAAATGAATTCCAGAGGTGATTTTACTCTTCGGCGTCATGCTCCTGGTTCATTGCTGCTGACGAGTGCCGGTCTTAGTACATATGTTCTGTCAATCATTGTCTCGGGCTTTTCACGGCACCACGGTTGCGGATATCGAAAACCATACACCAGGCAGTTGAAGATGAGATGGCTGGCATCAATGCATCTGGAGGATATCGTCATGGCTTGCATAACCGTTATCCCGCTACCACCCTAAACTCTAATTCCCCTGAAAATCGAGCGGGAAACGGGTGATTTCAGGGCCATCCAGATCCCCGGGTGCGGCACAGCGCTGAAGGACATCTCGCAGCCAACCATCCCGAATAGCGATATCTGTCAGAGGGATTGCATCATTTCAGCCCTATAACAGAAGGCCCCTTTGCTTCAAATATGGCCTTACATAACCAACTCCAAGGGTAGGTATACAATGACCACAACTCCAATGCTCAAACCCGATCAACCAGTGCATCTCTCCTCCGGCGGCCGCCACTCCAGCTCCAACCCTTCAAGCACCCGTCTCTCCGCCGTCAACATATCCGGCGCCGGCTCACCATTCGGTCCACTCTCATAATTAACCCACCTCCCATCAGCCCTACTCCGGATCCCACTGCTATCAAACTTGAGCGACCTCTCCTTCTTGCAGTATCTCCTCAGATCCCTCTGGAAGGTCGTCCCGCTCGTCCACCCCAGCACCGCGCACCCGGCCGTCTTCCACGGGCTGATGATGATATCCACCCTCCTGTGCGGATTTGGATTCTTCTTCTCGCCCGTTGTCCAGTGCGGATCCTGCCACACCACGAGCGCCTTATCCAGCGTGTCGAATCCCGTCCCGGCCTTCTTCTCGTTCCCCTTCCATGCAACAGGCACCTGCCCGCGCTCCGTGTTCTTGGTGCTCAGGATCAGTGTATGCGTGATGTAGTTCGACTGTTCCAGAGCGACAACAATTTGTTCGACGAAGCCCTTAGTCGCGGCCTCGTCCGGGTGGCTCAGCACGACGTCCACGTCGCCGCTCGACAGCTTGCCGCGCCGGTGCCCACCTACGATGACCATCTGAAAGCCCGGGTGGATCTTGTTGGCATGCTCTAGGATGATTTGGGAGATGGACTCGACCTCGCCGCGAGGGACCTTTTGCTGGAACTCGTCGTAGTACTTGACGCCAATCTGCTGGACGCGCGTGAGCGTGTCCCAGCCGTACTCGACAATGTCGTCGAGGTCGCGCCAGCCTTTGTTGTAGAACTCGCGGGCGGTGGTCTCGGCAACGCCCCAGATCTCGTAGAAGAGCTTGAGCACGGCGATGCGGGGGTCGGACTCATCTTCTTTGGTTTCCTGCAGCTCGCCGTGTTCTCGGAATTCTCCGTATAACTGGGCGATCTTGAAGCCGCAACCTGGTAGTCTTGCTACTTCGAGAGTGCTCTGGAGAGGATAGGGATAGGAAGTTAGAGCGGCTATGGCGGTTGAATATGCGCGCACTCCGATCTTGTCGCCTAGTAATGTCCTGGCCGTTCTGATCTTCATCAGCTCCTCGATGAAGGGCTCGTTAGGCGGATGCATGGGTGCAGGACGCTGGCACGCATATGTGGTGTGCAAGTAGGCCGGTATGGGAGGCAACTCTATATCGTGCTCTGATGTGGTCATATGGAGCAATGCCGGGGCTTTGGGGAGGAAGTGATCGCGTCGACCATGGCTGGCGGTGCTGTGAGAAGACCCGGGCCGTGAGCCATGGAAAGAAGGCTTTGGGTCTGCTAGGGCTCGCTTGATGACATCTGCTGCCTTTGCTGGTGAAGCTTCCTTCGTTTTGGCGGGTTTGCTCTGCTTCTGCTGTTTTCGGCCTCTGTACAAGGTGTAGTCATCTATCGGGAGGACTATGCCGGCTTTGAGAGACTCGGTAAACCATGCGAGCTTCACCACCTTGACAATGGTGGGAGATTCTTTCAGAGTTGACTGCGTCGACTGTGATAGGAGAGGATGAAACTCGCCATCTGACGCAGTGTCTGAGTCTTCTGTGGCGACAGAAGCCGGTGTCTGGAATATCCTTCGCTTCGGATTTGGAGATGTAGGTTCGTCTGCCTCCTCTGTCGATATCTCCTCAGTTGCAAGCATGTGTTTTCTAAGCTCGAACTTGGCTCGTTCTTTCCTGTGCACCTTTCCCAAGATAACTTCGGCCTCGTTGATGTCGTAGGTGAGGGTTGGTATCTGCTCTTCCAGCTTGTGGAGCTCATCCACTCCTAGGTTGGTGGGTAGCAGAAAAATAGCCGGGAATATCAGCGTCATTGTGGCCAAATGTCAACAATTCCAACGCCCAAATATCTCGACATTATTCAATGGCGATGTCCAAAGGGTCGAAAGTTTTGGAGTGTTGCCCGTGTATTGCTAGGACCAAATCCCGCGATATCCAGAAAGTGACAGTCCAAAACAGTTGATATCAAATCGACACCAAGGTTTTAGTCCAAGACAGTCAACAAGTCAGGTTTGATACCGGTAGTCGGGGAGTCTTCACCGGCCTGTGACGTGCATCAGTGTTGAGCCTTGAGCGAACCTTGCAGACGCCTTGAAGATGGGATGAGAAGATTAAGGTAACCACCAAAAAAGAAAGTAAAGATCGTAAGTTAGCCGTGAAAATCAAGCATGCGAAATCACCACTTCAGTTGAATTTGTATGGTGTTTCCAAAAAGCAGAACAATACGGAGTTCTGTTTGTCGGTTTCGGGCATGATGAAATGGATTGGTTCGAGTCTCGAAGAGCGCAGTGACGGAGATGACTGCAGATGTACTCCGTGCAAGTTCTCGATCTGTAACTGTGCTTAACATTTCAAGAGAAGGTGGTCCATGCGCCTGTTCGAGAAACTTCAAGTACCGTATCTTACAAATCTTACGGGATCTCTTCGTCTCAGTTTAAATTCCTTCAAATACTTCAACAGAGTCGCCGATGTAGTTGATACCCCAGACTTGGATTTGATTGAACTCTCCTTTCCGGTTGGGATATCTCTATTGACTGTTTGTCTTTAAGGTAATCCAAAGGTACAATACAGATACCAAGGAGCATCTGCATGCAATGCGGGCGTCGAGTATTTGATGCAGCGGCGGCCATCCACTACTATGTAATATTTCTTGGCGCTGTTTAAGACCGCCTCAACCTTCAACCTCAAACCTTCATTTCACTTCAACTTTTGATCCATCCTCAACCGGCTTCATTCATTTGCGCCCACAGGCTTCCAGTGCCTCAACCATCGACGTGACTTTAGCAGATTAGAAGACTCGAGGTTTTCAAACGGCCGGCCTTTCTTTAACGGACTGTAATTACGAATCTTTCTTTGGACCGGCGTCGGGCAGACCTCTCCCTTCGGTCCTTCGATTTCTTTCTCGTAACTCCTCGGAGCCTCCATTTCGAGACTGACATTCCAGGCGGGCAACACTCTTTTGTGTATTACCATTGCCAAACTTCTTATCGCCGCCGGGTGACTGTTTCTCGCCGACCTTCGTCCCATATCAGCATTCCTCTCGTCATCTTCCACTGAAAAGACAGCATTCCACCAAACCTCAACTCATCAACATACGCCGCACACCACTTTGAAAGGAAACCAACCACCACCAAGGGAGAGCGCACCCGAAAAGGGGTCAACCGTCTTTCAAAATGGACATCGCCAAAACCCTCATCCGCTGCGTCATGCGCGCCTTCTACTCCACGCAAGAAATCCTCATCATCGACGCCCTGGTGCAACACTCCTGCCTGCGCGACGACGACCTAGGCCACCTAATGAAGCTGGGCAACAAAGACCTACACAAAGCGTGCGCGGGCCTCCGCGACACGCGCTTCCTCGTGGTGCACACGCGCCCCGAGCTCCAGGCCGGCAAGTCCCGCCCGCAGAACAAGACGTACTACTACATCGACTACCGGCAGACCATCGACGCCATCAAGTGGCGCGTATACAAGACCGACAAGGACATGCAGGGCATCGCCAAGCCGTCCGAGGAAAACAAGGAGTACGTGTGCCCGCGCGTGGGCTGTGAGGCGCAGTGGAGCCAGATGGAGGTCTTGGACAGCGTCTCCTCACGCGGCTTCACCTGTCAGAGGTGCGGCTCGGTGCTGGAGCAGGCGAAGGAGCGGGAGGCGCCCGGTCATCAGCAGCTGTCGAGGATGAACAACCAGTTCAAGTTCATGACGGACATGTTGCAGGAGGTCGACAAGGTGGTGATCCCGGAATGCAACTTTGATTTGGCGCTGGCGAACGCCAGGCCTATCGTCCGGCTGGAGACGCACGAGGTGGCGATTAGCGTGCCGGTGGACTCGGCGCTGAACAAGCCCAGCGCTGTCAAGGGTCTGGCGAACACGGGACCCAAGACGATGCAGGTTATCATTTCCACGGGCGACGACGATGCGGAGCAGGCGGAGGCGGCGAGGAAGAGGCAGGAGGAGCTGCTGAGGCAGAACGCACTGCCGGAGTGGATAACGTCCAGCTCGGTGCCGACAACAGGTGGGTCCAAGCCTACTGGGCCTGCTGCGGCGTCGCTGCTTGATTCATCGTCGGCAGTTAAGGATGAGACGGCGGTAGATGAGCCGCCCGCTAAGAAGGTCAAACTGGAGATCCAGGGCGATATTTCGGTCAAGGATGAGGATCCCATGCCGATGAGCTTCAAGATGGAGGGCGGGGATGATGAAGAGGATGATCTCGAGTTTGAGGACGTCATGTGAGGAGCGGAGTGAATAGATCGGGAACATTTGAATGGATGAAGAAAACCCAGAGAAGTCCTACGGGGCCTACGAAAAGACACAAGCATAACATGCCTTGGCGAAAGATATCATTGTTCGCTCTGGCATCACCACGATGGCTCCTGGTGATATGGGGTTGGCCATAGAGCCTCTTCATACGGTACCTGGAGGCACCCATTACTGCCGGTGTTCATCAGGAGTTATCTAAGCTCCGATGTAGCAGGAAACCAGTCCGCTTTGGCTACTGAAAGAGAGTTAAGAAGCATCAGCATGATTTTTCGGCAAAGAAGGTTGGGTACGGTACGCACCATAAAAAGCACAGCAGACGTCAAAGACGGATGTACGAGGCATTGTGGCGGATGCCTCAAAATAGAGGGGAAGCCTGCTGTTACTTAAGCATTAGGAGTTGGAAGTAAAGCATCAATCTGGTTGGCACGAGTGAAAACTCTCACAATCTTCGGGGAGAAGACATCGGCCCGCCTCTTCTTGAAGCTCTTATTTTTCGATAACAAATTGCACCTGGCGGAAGGCCTAGTTCGTCACTGCTTTTCTTATATACATTGAGCAAAAGACAAATTGTACATAGACGTCCCACAAGCACATAAAGAAACGACCGAAAGAAACCGCACAAGACCAGGATGGGAAGGGGAATCATCTAAACAAATATCAAGAAAGGAAATTTTCAGGCCACGTCCTTCAAGCCACATTGCAGTTAAAACTACCATTTGATTGATCATGTCTTCCCTAAAACTCCTTCCGTTCGCTTTGTTGACTAACAGAACCACCACCCCAACCGCCTTGAAGTAATGGAAGGCCATACATGACATGACGTTACAAGGGTTCCTCCTCTACCAGCGACTCGGAGTCCTCCTTTTCCAACGATTAGTTGTACTTGCGAAGCTGTATTAAGAAACCTTTGTCAGTAAACCATCCAAAAGGTAGTGAGTGATAAGAAGGGGGCAGTAAGTAACTTACATCCAAAGTCAAAGTCTTTGAGCTATTCACATCCTGATCACGATAAACGCCCACCAGACTCTCGCTATCCTGGAACAGCCCGGCCTTGAGACTGATGACGATGAACTGCATTCCGGGCCCGGCATGCTCGCGGATGTACTTCTTGATCTTCTCCACGTTGGCGTTGTCGAGCGCCGCGTCCACCTCGTCCAGCACGAAGAAGGGCGACGGCTGGTAGCTGTGGATGGCGAACAGCAGCGCCAGCGCCGCCATGGTCTTCTCGCCTCCGGACAGGTGCTCCATGTCGCGGAACCGCTTGAGCGGCGGCATGGCGTGGTACTTGATGCCCGACAGGTAAGGGGTGTCGGTGTCCTCCTCGATGTCCAGGTACGCCTGGCCGCCGAGCGGGTACGCGTCGGAGCGTGTGAGGTCTTTGTACACGTGCGTGATCTGCTCCTGGATGTGCGTGAAGGCCTTGTTGAAGAGCTCGAAGCGCTTGTCCTTGACCTGGTTGAAGGCGTCGCGGGCGGCCTTGAGGGCGGCGCGCGAGTCCTCAAAGTCCTTTTCGGTCGACTCGAGGCGCGACTTGACCGATTCGAGACGCTCGATGGCGCGCATGTTGGGGTTGAGCTTCTCGATCTCGGCGGTGAGTGCCGAGATCTTTTCTTGCAGCTTGTCTTCGACTTCATCATTCGCGTCTTCCAGTAGTGCGTCATCGAGGTTGTCGTAGTTGATCTCGATGCCGTAGTCGTCCATGGCAGCCTCCATAAGTTGCGCTTCCTGGTTTTCGTCTTCGCCATCGATGTCCATAGCATCCTGGTCCTTCTGGAGCAGTACGTCCTCATTGGGAATGTCGTCAAGCGAGCCTTCTTGAAGAGGAATTTGAATCTGCTCAAGCTTGCATCTCCTTAGCAGGGCGAGTTTCTGGGCACTACTCTGCTGTACTTCAGCCTCCAGGTTGCTGATCTCCTTTAACCTGACTTCAATGTCTCTGCTCCTCCTCTGTAGGTCTTGCTTAGCCTCCTGTACCTTCTTGGTCTTTTCTGCATGGGAAACCTTCAGCTCTTCTAGATTCTGTTCAAGCTCCCCGAGCGCCTCCCGGTCTTCCGCCATCTCCTCCTCAATGGAGGCCTTCTCTTGTCGGTATGAATTCAGATCTCGTTCGTGCCGTTTCAGGGTCTTTTCTAGTGACTGTATCCTGTCGCTGGTCGCCGTGTGTTGTGAGGTTTCCCATGTGATATTGCTCTGGATGCGTTGTTTCTGGATGTCAAAATCCTGCCGCTTCTGGGCAGCTTCTTGTTCCAAGGTGCCCTGTTGGGCTTCATAGGCACGGACATTCTCGTAGCCCAGCCTCTTGCAGAAATCTTTGAAGATCTTATCTTCGACGTCTGAGATGGCCTTTTCGAACTTTTGTACCGTTGCCCGCGTCCGCTCCAGCTCACCGTGCTTTTCCTCATACTTGGGGTCATAGTCGTCCAGCTGCCGCTCCTGATGATTGAGCTCTTTCTGTTTGCTCTTGAGATTCTTCTCGAAGGCGGCCAGCTCAGCTTCCTGAATCTTGAGGCGTTGTTCAAGCGCTGTGAACTCGACGAACAAAGCATCCTCCTTAGCACTTCGTCGCCCAGACTGCGCCAGAGCTGCCACCTCGTCTTTCAGGGACTGTGCCATCCGTTGCAGGTTCTGAATGTCATGTTCTTCAAAGCGACGCTTGCCGCCCTTCTCATTAGGCAAGCGGCCACCGGTCATGGTACCAGCCTTGTGGATTACGAAACCTTCCAGGGTGACAGCCTTGACTTGGATCTTTCTGCCGTATACGATGTCCTTTGCGATATGGAGGTTATCGCAAACAACAGATCCACCGCATGCGTAGCTGATGGCACGCTCGAGGGAAGGATCAAAGTCGATTGTATCAATGGTCAGTCGTGCTCCGGAAATGCCTTTAACTGCCGAAACTGAGCTGTTGACCTTGATATTGTCGAGCGGAATAAACGTCAAGGGAGGGAATCGCTGCTCCTTGAGATACTGCACGCAATCCATACCGACCTTCTCGGTGTCCACGACGACTGCATCGAAGTCACGTCCAAGGGCTGTGATAACCGCCTCGTCGAACTTTTTCTGTTTGGGTTTGCAGAGATCGCCAACCCGGCCTCGGACACCTGGGTAAATGCGCCTGAGGTCGCTGATCATGTTCCTCAACCTCGTCTCCTTTTCATTCTGACGCCGGCCAGATTCCGCATCGTCCAGTTTGCGAAGGATTTCCTTCAGCTTCTCCTCCTGGGCAGTTCGGGTCTGGTTTATCCTTACGCGCTCAGACTGGAGTTTGTTATACTCCTTCTTCTTGTCGGCGATATCGGTTTTGAGTTGTTTTACCGCATCCTGGCTGGCGTCTCTTCGATCCTTGATCGACTTAACCTCGGTCTGCAGCTTTTCGATAGCGGCCTCAAAGTTGTCGATTTTACCTTTCAGGTTGTTGACGGTGACCTCGTCGCTCTTGAGCTGGCGCGTGAGGTTGGCCAGCTTGGCCCGGTTGTCGGCAGTTTTCTTCATAGCCTCGGCTTGGAGACTAGTGTATTCCTTGCGGTCTTCATCACTGAGCTCCTTGCCTTGCTTCTTGAGTGTCTCGGCCCATTGTTTTTCGAATTGCTGCTGCGCTTTCTCCACGGTGGCGAGGTCCTTTTGCAATTTGGAGATGTTGGATGCTTGGCTGTCGCGGTCCTTTTTCACCTCGATAATGCGCTTCCGTAGCACACCCATATCTTGGGTGCTTTGCGCAACCTTTTCATCGATTGGCACAAGACTGTTTTCCTTGTCTTCGATGTCCTTTTCCTTGGCCTTGATGCTCCTCTCCACCTTGCCCATCTCACGCCCTACCGTAGCCTGCTCCTTACGAGCAGCATCCAGTTTGTTTTCGAAGGCTTCAACGTTGCGACGGAACTCCTTCAGATTTTCCTGGTGCTCCTGGATTTGCGCGCTAGACTCATCCATGACCCTCTGAAAGTGGTACAGCTTCCACAAAATATGAGTGATGACGGCCTCGTCTCGTTCCTCGGTTTTCCGCTGGAAGTTTTCAGCTTCCTTCTTTTGCTCCTGATACTGCTTGATTTCCGAGTTGATACCTCTTCTCCGGTGTAGCTGGAAATTCTGGTTCTCGGCAGCCTGCTCAACCTCGGCCTGCAACTTCTCATATTCGGCCTTGTATTCGAGACTTCCGGATATTTGTTCGATCAAGCGTGTAAGGTCCTGAGGTGACTGCGAGGCAATGGCTTCAACGTCTCCCTGGAAGACCAGGAAGTTACGGGCCTTGATCAGGATATTTTCGGCCTCGAGCGCATCGTTGTACTGCTGGGCGGTGACCACTCTGTCGTTAATGCGGTACTCGCTGGAGCCACTGTTTGTAATGGTTCGCTTCCACCGTTGCTCGTCGCCAGCATCGTCTTCGTAAACGGCCATGACCCAGGCCGTCTTGGGGTCATTCCTAGATGACCGCTGGGAAGGGTCTTCGTCTTCGCCATCTTCGTGCCCGTTGACGCCGTTAGTAGCGGGGGCAGCTGTGCCATCTTCTTGGATTTTCGAGGTTTTCATAACACGGCCACGGTAGACCAGGTCTCGAAGATGGGTCGATCGGAGGTGTGATGATTTGATGCCCAAGACGAAGGAGATGGCATCCATCCTAGCAACGCGCGCGCCTGTCAATACGAAAGCAGCCCCTATCGCGATCGCAACCCGGCGCAACTTACGAGTTTGACTTTCCAGAGCCATTGGGACCGATAATGGAGGTGAAGTAGGAGTCGCCAAACAAGAGGGTATGGTGGCCCTTGTAGGACTTGAAGTCTAGTTTACGGCAAACATGGTGAGTTTCGGCACGCTCCCAACCAAGTGTCGTGCTTCGGAGCAAAAATCAAGACCTACTGAAAAGCTCGAGACGGATGAGCTTGCCCATGTTTGCGGTTGCTGGTCTCCTGCAGGAGGACGCGCCGGAGGTATGCGAACGGGATACTGGTTATAGTGCTGTGGTGCTAGCGCAGATGATACTCGCTAGAAATGGAGACTCGACGCGCTGCGACATGAATTCGCGGTGGCGGCGCGATCGGGAAACATACAAAGGCGCGTAAATTGGTCGAGGGTGTTGCTCTGGGTTGGAATCGCAAGCCTTGTAATCGCAGGCAGACGTGGGCGCGGTAGCGGCAACAATGTCGACCGGGTCAATCCAGTGTCGCGACTCTCCCCAATAATTTGCCCAGGGCAGGTCGCCAAGGTCGAGCATCTGTCGCATGCAGGAGGTGGGGGAGCACTGAGCGGTTGAAGGACACAGACGGAAGCTCGGACCATGCAATCCATCCTTAGCTCCAACGACTACATCTAAGGGTTAGGGTTATATCGCATATTCATGGGCTTTTGCATTACTGGGAGCTGAAGGAGACGAGGTCCCCAAGTTCTTGAGAATGACATTGCAATTTTTGTACTCGGTAGAAATTTGTTCCAGACTGACCAGCAAAGATACGTTTGAATTCTGACAACATCTCCTTGGTTCAAGACAGCTGCGGGCAATGCACAGTTTACCGGCCCGTATGTACAAAGAAGCAATAAGACGTTCTGGACCTGCCTCTGTGGAACTTATCCATCAAGCCAAGGATGCCACGGATCTTTCCAGCCTTATGAAACAGACGAAATCAAGCTTTCAAAATTCCGGATCTAATCGGATCTCTTGGACGAAGACCTGTTGTGTTCGATGGATTTCGAACAGTCCCGTCAGTTGGCAGAAAAACAACAAGATGTGGCGTGGATGGCTTGACTGACATGACAGACTTGGCAACAGCTCTCCAGGGTTCTGAAAGCAGGACACTAAAATCTGCAACAACAACGTCAGCAGCGATCGGATCGCCAATGGTCCAGCATTCCCTGCCAATGTTAGGCCTGCTTGCATCACATGCTGGGAGAATATGCATCCGTACACCGTCATTGGAGTCCTCGCACTAACAACACTAACACGCAACCTCTCTGGCCATCCCGTTGTCGTCAGTTGTCACAAGGCCTTCTTTTTCCAGCTTCGAATCTGAGACATCGAGAGTCACACGCTGTCCTTTCTTTTTCTCTTATCATCTAACCTACTCCCTCCCATCTTTCCAGCCTTTGATCTGATCAATTCAGACCACGTGTTTCCATCTCATCCAAGTCGCTTATTTCTCCTCCAGGTCGATGCCAGCATCGTGAAATCTATCTGAAGCAATATCATCGGAGTTAAAGCATAAGTCATTTTTCCCTAGCATAGCTGTTTGACGGGAGCCAACAAAAGACCCTGGCCCGCCACTGCCCGCATACCGGAAACACAACACAGCTTCTGCGACGCGCTGCAGCCCAATCTTGACGACATCATCTCGTCTCGACCTTGCTGCTCCACATTTGATCATCTAGAAATAGCTACCACGTCCCCTCGACCCCGAAAACGCCGGCTGCTGGTTTCATTTCTGCCAACTACGAGTCTTCTCCATCCATTGACGTCGCCATTTGGAGGCTGTGTAAGTAAATCTCCACATATGACCGGTCCTGACCAGCACATATCAAGCATATATGTCTACCATTGCCCACCGCGATACTGCCAAGTTTTGCGGACTCATTCTAACCTACTTCTCCGTCACAGAAACTTTGTTCCTTTCCACATCTCCGATATCAATGATTTCGTCGCATAACAACATACAACAAGCATAGAACAAGAACCATCAGCCATGGCAGATCTGGCGGAACCGGAGATCAGTCTCCCGGTGCCGGGACTGAGCCACAAGTCAGAAGGCGCACCATCTACCGATGGCGAGGCCATCTTGACACCAGACACCACCTCAACACCACCCCTGAACTCTTCGCCAGGAGACCATGATCCGGATACCCCGACTCTCGATGTCACGACCCCGAAAAGTCCACCAGTATTATCGAGGAATCCGTCGTTTTCCGGGAGCATGAGCAGCACTCTCCACGACGAGTGGGATGTCTTTCCGCCTCTCGATCGCTTGACCGTTCTCGACCTCCTCGATAACTTTGCGCTCCCCCAGCAACTGGAGAAATTGCAGAGAGGCATCCATGCCCGAACGGAGAAGATGCGTAAGTCGGGCGAGGCCTTGAAAGAAAAGAGTGCGATTGCTCGAGAGCGCATGGTGGATGAATGGCGCAAACGAGTCCCTACGGCCGAGGAGCAGCTAGAGCGATACAAAAAGCGGATGCGCACCAACGTTGATAAGCTAGGAAAGCGCTGGAACGACACCAAAGCCATTACTCTCCGCGAGAAGCTAGCCTTCATCTTCGGCGTCATGAACATCTTTATCAGCGGCTACTTAATCGGCGCCTTCCCCGAATGGTTCCATATCTGGTACACGGTTCAGATACTCTACTTCATGCCCATACGCTTCTACAGCTACCACAAGCAAGGATACCACTACTTCCTTGCCGATCTCTGCTACTTCGTCAACTTCCTCCTACTCCTCAGCCTATGGGTGTTCCCGGGTTCGAAGCGCCTCTTCACAGCCGTCTACTGTTTGGCCTACGGCAACAACGCTGTAGCCATCATCATGTGGCGCAACTCCCTGGTTTTCCACAGTCTCGACAAGGTCACCTCACTCTTCATTCACATCATGCCGTGCGCCACCTTGCACTGCATCGTGCACCTCCTCGACCCAGCCGAGCAGCGCGAGCGCTTCCCCTCCATCTGGACCATCAAGACCTCTCCTCCCGGCTCCCCAACCGCCTACGCCAACGTTATCTCCATGCTGGCTTGGTCCACGATTCCGTACGCCATCTGGCAACTCTCGTACTACTTCTTCATCACAGTCCGACGTCGCGACAAGATCGCCGCCGGCCGCCCGACCTCTTTCACCTGGCTGCGCAAATCGTACTCGAAGAACTGGCTCGGCAAGGCGATCCTAAACTTGCCCGAATCGCTGCAGGAGTCCGCCTTCATGCTGATCCAGTATACGTACGCGGTCCTCACGATGCTGCCCTGCCCGCTCTGGTTCTACTACCGCTGGCTGTCGGCCGCCTTCCTCATGGGCGTCTTCACCTGGTCCGTCTACAACGGGTCTACTTACTACATCGACGTGTTCGGCAAGCGCTTCCAGAAGGAGCTCGAGGCTATGAAGGCCGAGGTGGCCAAGTGGCAGAACTCTCCCGATGGCATGATGCATAGCCCGATGTTGACCCCTCATGCCGGAACGCACGATGACGAGAGTAAGAGGCTTGGCGAAGCCCTGAAGAGCGAGGATAACGGCAATGGCAGCTCTAGCTCGAGCACAAGCAGCTTGGACAACATTCCGCTTTTGACCGAGGAGAAGGGCGAGCTACCTGCTAGCGCGAACGCGACTGGTGCGGAAGTGGATGGCGGTGCGAAGGATGTTGCGAGGGCAAGAAGGCCGGGTGCGGAGTTGTTTACCGCTGGAGCGGCGCCGTCTTGATTTGGTGTGGTTTGTTTGTATAGCGAGCATGTTATTACGATTTGATGGGGTTTTGAGATATGGTTGTTTTTCTTGGTTTTCGTTTACAGAGGGGCACTTTTAAGTTATGTTGAAGTGAGGCAGTACAGCGGCGGTATTGTACGAGTTGTATGGACATGGCTTGGTGCAGCAGAACTAAACTGGTTGGGTGAAAGTTGAAATACCCATATCTATTTACGTTTTAATATCATCAATGTTGACTACCTGATCTGTTTACGGGTGTTTTCTGTTCTGCCTTGACCAAGTGATGATGTTTGGTTACTATATCGCGTATATATGTAGACCCGGCGCACCTTTTTCTTTGGTTTTCTTTTTCTATTTCTGTCAAACAAAAAAGGGCCTCGTTGTGAGCACCGAGGCCACGCGAATATGCGGCTTGAATCACGAAGGGTGGTTAGTGCTGCATTCTAAACGATCAAATCAAGTTGTTAAAGTAGCTAACTTTCTATATACCTAGCGTGGAATCTGCGAAACCCCAGACCGGTACCGACTGCGAAGATTTTCCACATCGAATTCCAACCACTCGATCACGGGTATCTCCGGATTCATCATGTGTGCATGACCGAGACCCGCCCCGAGAATCCCGAGCCATTGTGTCCTCTGCGCTGAGAGAGGTGATCGTACTACGTAGATATAAGATGAGCCCTGTACCTCCTGATCCTGCGCCTGTGCCCTGAAATGTGCCGACTGCCGATAACTTGAATGGTGTAAGTATTATCATGTCGTCTTTTGAATGAACTGTGGAAGAAATGAGTGTGTGTTGGTTGAATTGAAGTTGAACTCCCGTATCATGTCGTCTGTTGACCCGATATGGAAGAAAAAAAGTGTCTGTGTTGGTTTTGAGTTTTCCGTATCATGTCGTAAGTTGAATGAACTGTGAAAGAAAAGAAAGTGTGTTGGTTGAGTTGAACTTCCCGTATCATGTAGTTAGTTGAACTGAGACGGAAGAAAAAAGTATTCGTGTTGGTTGAGTTGATATTCCGTATCATGTTGCCACCTGGACTCTTAAGTACCTATGCTCTACCACTGCACCAGGTTGTTTCCCGTCTCCCCTGCTTTTGATGGATTTGAAGAATAGCGAACGATCTCTGGTGGATGAAGATATCTATGTCGCCTTTTTAACCGCAAAGGAAAGAATATGTGTCTGTGAAATTCTGCTGCCGGGAACGAGCTTTTGTCGAGAATGGCTGGGTCTAGTACAACAGGAAGATGTTGAGGACGATGGAGACCGTCAAGATGGAAAGCAATGTCAAAGTCGGGAATGGCTTGGAGTTGGTGACGATCTGCCGTTGTTGATTCGGCGACAATTGAGACTTCTGGGACTCTGGGATGCTGATCGAGCTGTCGGTGCTGTTGTCATTGGAATGAAATGTGGGCTGATCGTGTGTAGGTTCCAGCTCTTGGTTTGATTCCAAGTGCTCGGTGATGGGTTGGAGGCAAGCTGAACGACACTTGCGATAAAAGGAAATATCGTTCTGAAGATGTTCAATGACCTCCCCCAACTCTTCGAGTGAATAGAATCCGTATTGTAGACGATCACAGACTGTAGGTGATGGCTGAGGATCTTGCATGAGCTTTTCCAGCTCTTCGAATTCAGAAGCGCTTAGATGGAACAGCTCAACGGTATCCCTCAGAACTTCTGTACTTTTCCGGATGTCTGAGTCCAATGGTGGGTCGAACCACGAGCCAGGGTCCAAACATGTCATGGCTTCCCCAATTTCTGACACCCTTGGGGAGAGTAGTTCGTAGGCTGCGCAGCATTTCTCCTCGAGTATGTCGAAATCCATTCCATCAACCCCGTTCTCCACGCCGCTTTGCGCGTAAGAAGCAAGATCCGACACGCTTCTCAGACACGAGTGGATTCCGGGCAGTGTGAAAACACGATCGACGATCATGCGAATGCTAATTAGCACTTCGTTCCTTGCATCGGCCAGCTGAACGGCCCTTTGAATCTCATCCTAATACAATCTGGTGTATTCTGTCTTGAGAATGATACGACCGTGTTCGTCGATGCCGATGTCTTTGGCAGTGACTGAGCGCGTCCCCAAGCGATAGAAAAAGTAGTCCGCGGCCTTGCCATTGAGGAATATGACCTCGTCTGAGAGCACCTTGTTGTCTGGAACTTCTGGGATGCGATGAAGATTGCGAATTCTCTTCGTCACATGGTCGGGGCTCTCGTTCACCCATTCCTCAAGCGTCTGGTATTTCTGCTTCTCGGAAGCATTATCGTGCTGCTTAGAGGTCGACATAATGGCGACGTGACTCTTCTCTGCTGAAACCTGAGTTAGATGCGATCTCATTTAAGGAACTCACTCGCAAAAAGTCCCCAGGGCAGAACTTCGCTCTAGGACAAGCGACAAGTGAAGCGTGTCTGAAAGAAAAGATGGTTACCGATGTAGAAAATTCCACTGAAATGTAGTCCTGCCGCGTGGCATGCCTTCCGTATCCTCTCAAACGCAGAATGTGGCCGGGGCAGTCGAAGGCTCGAACGAATGAGGTGCTGAGTGATGTCCTGGTGATCAGATTCTCATGGGTTGTCGCCAAAGACGTAATATGAGCGAGTTGGGAGCACCCAGATTGCGCAATGGGAGTGCCTGGGGATAGTAATAGGCAAGGCAGCAGGGGAAACGACCTTGGTCAGTTGAGGTCTGCTTTGGCGACAATCAAGGCTCGAGATCGTGGTTGAAAAGGGAGAGAAATTTTTGTTCTGGTTCGAGGAAAGAAAGGGTCCTTTTATGGTGCACTTCGACACTGCAAAAACGAGCGACAGGATAGCAATATTGAGATGAAAGAGGAATCCAACGTTTGCTTCCTGTGAGTGTCGGAACGTCATCCAACTTCATTCAACTCCATCCACTTTGAATTTGATTGCGCAGATTTCGTCTCAGGACGGTGAGTTTGATAGACTCACCTCTGGTTCTTCAATCTCATGCCATCTGTCCGTTTTGCTCCTTTTCAGCATTTCGCTGCAGACACTGCCACACATTATCGAGGCGACATTCAACACGGTCTCCTGGATGGGATGTATGGATTCCCCAAGTCTCCGGATATGCCATAACAACAGGTGTTGCCTGGAATATTGTGACCCTTTGCACCCCAGAGCTCTTCGGCATCCAGGAGAAACTCAAGGAGAAGCGATAACACGGTTAACGGGGCACTTCTCGTATCCTTGACTTGCGTGAACTCTTTTGCGAAGCTTCCGCACCCCGAGCCAGAAGCGTTATCTGAGAGCCTGCTAAACTGGTCAATAAAAAAAATAAAAAAAACCCTAGTAGCATTTCAATGCCAACATGGAGTTGCCCAAGTTGTTCGACGGCACGTTGTCCATTCAGGATCTGGGCTGTGTCGATGTAGCCTCCTTCTCGGGCGTTCTGTTGGATAGGTAAGTCCTGGGGTCTGAGATGTTCTTAATCCTGACGAGTAGTCGGACACCTCCTTTCAACTCTGCATCCGCAAAACATACGGTAAGCGCGAGTCGACCCTCGCATTAAGGAAGGAGGAGAGGACGTGCCGGAAGACAGTTGCCGTCGGCAAAAGAGCCAAAGAAGACAAACATAGGCACAACGACGCAAGATGAACGAGAGAACTAGCAGGCAAGGCATCTCGGGTACGTTCTGATTCAAGTAACAAACAAAACAGAGCTTGCAGATGGTGGCGCTTGCCAATAGTATTGTTAGGGCAGACACTTGATGGAGCGATTGATATTCTTGGGCTGATCAGAAAGAAAAGACCTCCCTAGGAAGGAGCAACTACCAACTAGCTGGTAGCATGAAGATAACGACCCGAATACCGTATCGCGCTTCCGTGAACCGTGCACCTAGAGTAACCGCTAACCTCACTACCACTCTTATATCATCATTGCACCTCACTATTCAGCTGACCCTCCTCAAGATCTTCACCAGTGCCTAAACAGCATCACCTTTCCATGTCCTCAGAAAACTCCCTCATCAAGAGCCAAGACCGCCTCCCTCAAAGCCATCGCCATCTCACCCACCTTCTCCACCGCCCTCAACCTCTCCATCAAAAACTCGGCAATCCCTTCGTTGTCCCCCTTTTCGCTCATCTCCAGTCTCAAGTAATCCTGCACCCCGTTCAGCCCCAGCGCCTCCATCACCTTCTCAATCTCAAAGACATTGATAACCCAAGCTGCCTCCGGCAGCACAGGAACCAAAGCCTCAGCTTGGTCACTGACCAACCCGATGACTTGGGTGTCAACGGACCGGTAAAGAGTGCGGCTTTGGGTGGCGAGGTCTTGAAGAAGTTCTTGTTGTTGTTGCTGCTCATCATCATCGTCGAGAGAAGACTTGTCCGTCATAAGAACACAGCGGCAGAGGGCGATGAACGAGATCCAGTTAAACTTGAGGTAATGATCGTCAGGGAAAACAGGCAGGGACCCCAAGGACAGAATCTCCTCTAGCAGCTTCTCGGTGAGGTCAATGACCCGTTCCTTGGCCCTGTGCTCCTCAAGTGCGATCTAGAAAGCTCTGGCAAAGCTACCACCATGGTCGCCCTCTTCTTCTTCCTCGCCGCCCGGCTGCTTGTCACCAGGCAACTTGAACAGCCGACCGGACTTGTTGATCCCCCAGGAGTCGGTGACGGAGTCAATGATGTCGCTGTGGTTCTCGCAAAGCCAGTCAAGGAAGTTGATGGAGACGATGCCGTTTAGCACGCGAGCTGCGTCGTTGTCGTCTGAGTCTCCGGCTGTGTCGCATACCTTGCCCTTGCCAACCTGGATCAGAAGCGGCGATGGCGGCAGTGACGAAGCTTTCGGATATCCTTGACGTTCCGCTTGCTCCGTTCTTTGGACCTCTCCATGGCGCACCACTCTTGGAAGGTTGGGCCCTCGAACTCGTCGTCTGTGTCGAAGGGGGGGAAGGTCAGGCTAGGTTCTTCCAGTTCCGGCTCCGGCTCCTCGAAGCTTTCATCCTCTCCTTCTGCGTCGTACGAAGGATCGGACGGTTCTTCGTAGTCGTCCAGCTTACGCTTCAACGAGGCGTGATGGTTAGTGGTGCTGGCCGACAGCTCGAAAGTGTTGCTGTTGTTGTTGTTGTTATTTTTAACGTCTACTTCCGCCTCCCGTAGGGCATGAGACGTAGTGTCGCTGTTGTGAGTGGTAGAGTCGACCAAATCGTCGAGTGGCTGTGGCTGGGCCACCTCCGGCTCCATATCTTCGAAGATATTGAAAGGCATTTTGTCGAGTTTCTATCAATGATCATTATGTCAAGTTAGCACACTGATACAATCAGTGAATTAATATTACTGAGTGATTGAAAGCTTACCGGTGGAAAAAAATTAAGACTTCAATTCTGCTCTGTAAAGGCTTTCAAGTGTTGTTGGCCAGGACTTGGCTCGAACAACAAGAGACTTGTGACCAGATCCCGATGTGATAAGAGCCTCCCCGATGGAGAGATCGTAGGGAAATAAATGCGAGCGACACAGGTAATTTGCCAGAGTAGAACGCCTGGCCTAGCAGCGCAACGCTGACGAGGTAGTCGGAGGACGAGGCTGTTGTAGTTGACTGAGGAGTTGAGAGAAGATGGTGTCGATGGAAGGACGACACTATGCGATGGTAAAAAGAAAGTCTAACTCGAGACTCGACAAAGACTGGGAAGTTGTCGAAAAGAAGCCGATCAAGAAGTGAGGTGGACGGAGTGTCGCTGGCTGTTAGCTCGGAGTGAGTTCGAAAAGGGAGGGAAAATATAAGGGGAGAGCCACACCCAAATAAATATTAAATTCCCAAGCCAGTTGCTGGCTTGTAGAATACAAACCTTCAATTAAACCGTATAATCCCATTGTTCCCTATTCACAGGCTGCCAAGTAGAACCTTCAACAAAACTGCACAATACGATTGTGGTTCTATTCACAGGCTGTCAAGCATGCATGAACCGAGAACCTGCGATTTCATCCCAACTCCAAAACCACTCATTCACTTTGCCCACCCTTCACCCTCTTCAGATCTCGAAGATCTCACCGATACCCTCACCACCGCCCCGCCTATTCTCAACCAAGTCCAGCCTCCATCCGTCCCAGTTCTTCAGCGCCCTCTTGAGTTCCTTAATCCGCTCCAGCCTCTTCTTCTGCTCTTCCTCATGTGCCCGACGGAATGCCTCCTCGTCGAACTCCTCATCGTCATCCTCAAGTAGCTCATCAAGAGCACCACCATGGCCATGATGGTGATCACCGCCGGTAAGCGCATTAAGGCCACTAGTGAAGAAGTCACCCAGTCCGCCGCGGCTCTTGTGATGCTGGTGACCGTGCGCAGATGACGAGTGAAGCCCACCGCCAAGATCAACAGTCTCGAAGGCCTCCGGACCGACTTGCAGCTCCTTCCTCTTCTCATGCCAGATGCCCCTCCTGAGATCAGTATTCTCAGCTTCCAGCTCTCTGACACGCTTCTCCAACTTGAGGCGGCCCTCCTCCTCCAACTCATCCAGTCCTTCCTCTTCACCGCCGCCCTCCCGGGCATCCTTCTTTCTTAGCTTCAGGTTCTCCTCCTCCAACTTCTCAACCTTGGCCTTCAACTCCGCCACCTCCTTATCCACTTGCTCCTTATCCTTTCTCAGAGTCTGTGTCCTTCCATCCTGCTCCTTATGCAACGTCGTAAGCGTCGCAACCTTCTTCTCCAACCCTTCAACCTTCTTCGCCAACTCTTCTTTAGCCTTGTTCGCCTCCTCAACCTCCCTTTCCAGCGCCTTCAGTTTCGTCTCCGCCGACGCCCGCTGCGAACCCTCCTTGACCGCCTCCTTCGACACCCTTTCCAAATTCTGCTTCAAATCCGCCAACTCCTGCTGCGCCAACCCGGCCGCCTTCTCCGCCCTCGCCAGCTTCTCCTCCAGCGCGGCGATCTGCTCCGAGGGTCCCGACGCCGAGGCGGCAAGCTTCTCCACCTGCGCGCGCAGCCTTGACATTTCCAGCTCCATGGTCTCAATCGTCGCCGACTTGCTCTGCAGTTGCGCCTCCAGTTGCGCCGTTTCGGCCGGCGGTGACCCGCCCGCACCAGCACCAGCACCAGCACCAGCACCACCGCCCACCGAGATAGACGGCGAGCGGCCGTGGGCGCCGCCGCCTGCTGCGCGCGTCAATTGCGACTGAAGCTGTGTATTCTGGCGCTGCAGCGCAGCCAGCTCGTTCCTGAGCTTCTCCACGTCCTCGGCAGACCCTAGCTCCCCGCTTGGTTTACCATCTTCGGCCTCGCGGAAATCAGCCAGTTCCTCCTCGGCTTTCTGCCACCGCTTTTCGGTGTCGGCGGCCTCTTTGGCCAGTCGCTTGTTTTCTTTCTCAAGCTCTTGGATGCGGCTGACGTGCTTGCGGTAGATGTCAGGGGCGGTCTCGCCTTCTGGACTGAGGAAGCTGGGCGATAGCGGGCCGGAGGCGGCGCCGCCCGAGATGGAGGCATTGCGGAAGGAGGTTGAGCGGGCTCGGGATTGCTCGGCGAGAGAGGGGAGTGTTGGTGTTTGCTGCAAGGGGGCCGGGGATTCGTCCTTCTCCTTCTCCTCTTCGGCGGCGGTTGTTCCGGTAGCAGTAGGCTCCTCGGCTGTAGGTTCGGCAGATGTTGGGGAAGTGACTTCTTCGGATGGTTTCTCTTCGGTCTCGTTCGCTGATTCTTTGGGACTCGAAGGAGTATTGGCAGGGGCTTCTTTGGATGCTGGCGGGTTGTCTTCTTTCTTCTCCTCCTTCTTGGATGCGCCGCCCGCCTTCTTGGCTTTCTGCTTCTTCAATGCTTCGAGCTGAAAAAAACCATTGTCAGTACCTATATGCTAAGCGTTGAGTAATACAGGTTATGATCAAGAACGGTACTATACCCTCTTCTTAGCGGCGGCGACCTTCTCGGCCTTGGCCTTGTCCTCGTCCGCCATAATGAGCTATGTCTAAAGTGATTAACTGGCAATTCCCGATGACAGAAGTAATTCCGTCCGGATCCGACTAGCTTGAAAGTAATTGTAGTTATTTGGAAGCCAACAGTCGATGAATTCACGCGCTTTTGAATTAGTTGGTAAGAGTAGGAAAGCTGGGCAAGTTGTGGTTGTATTGGGTGTTGTAGCTTCCCAAGCTGTCGCAACGCGGGTCGACATGCTAGGGAGCTGCAACAGCACTTGAGCGGCCAGCTGGCATCTGGTTGCCGCCACTAACATCGGCTGGCAGGGGTATCCGATTTAGCGAGCCGCAGGGGTTCTCACAGCAATGTCACGACTCCAAACACCCCTCCCCCTTTTTGCTACGATAAGCTGACCTCACATTCGATACGGATCATGAACACGACACTTTTGCGCGACTGCTTGTCCGTCGGGATCATCAAAACCACTCCTATTACAAACGCTATGTGAACTTTCAAATGGATTCTATTTTTCATAACATTCGTATCATGAGGGCGGCGGTTTTTGTTGCCGCTTCTGACCCCTTTAAAGCATGGACTGACACTTCTCTCCTGATAGAATGTCGCCCGTGCCCTAAATGTTGCCTTATTTATAAATCCGTACCGAGATATCCCTTTCCTTTCGTTCCTTCCATTAACCCGAAAACGACGCCTTTTTTTCTTAGATGAGCTGCTCGAAAGCCCTGTTGATGGGAGAGCGGATGTTGGAGACGGGCTTCCAGAAGTCGATGGTGGCAAGCGCGCGCTTGGCAATGCCCTCAGGGGTGAACTCGAACTTCTGTAAGTCGCAAAGAGGTTAGTAAATGCTCCGAAGATAAATACAAACACCGAATTGAAAGGGGAACTTGCCTTGTAAACATCAAGGTAGGCACCGGAGGCACCGAAGCGGTTGAGACCGAACTGCTCGTGAGAGTACTTCTCCCAGCCCATGGTGCTCATGACCTCAATGGACAGAGAGGGAATGCCGTCGGGAAGAACGCTGAGGCGGTAGTCCTTGGGCTGGGCATCGAAGACCTCCATGCAGGGCATAGAGACGACACGAGCCTTGATGTTGTGCTTCTCCTTGAGCTCCTTGACGGCATCAATGGCGATGCAAACCTCGGAACCGGTGGAGATAAGGGTGATGTCGGCACCCTCAACCTCGTGGAGGACGTAGCCACCCTTGACGGCCTTCTCGATGGTCGAACCCTCAAGCTGGGGAAGGTTCTGGCGGGAGAGAGCGAGGATGCTGGGGGTGTGCTTGGAAGTAAGGGCGACATAGTAGGCAGCGCTGGTCTCGTTGCCATCGGCAGGGCGCCAGACCATGCAGTTGGGGAGGGCACGGAAGTGGGCCAGGACCTCAATAGGCTGGTGAGTAGGGCCGTCCTCGCCAAGACCGATCGAGTCGTGGGTGGCAACCCAGATAGCGCGGACCTGAGAAAGGGCAGAGAGACGGACGGCACCGGCAGCGTACGAGACGAAGTTCAAGAAGGTACCACCATAGGGGATGATGGTGCCATAGGCGGCCATACCGTTAAGGATGGCACCCATACCGTGCTCACGGACACCGAAGCGGATGTAACGGCCAGCGTAGGTACCGAGACCAGTGGAGGGAGGCTGGAAGTCGATGGCACCCTTCCACCTGGTGAGGTTGGAGCCGGTCAAATCGGCGGAACCACCAACGAGCTCGGGAACAGCCTCGAAGATCTTGTTGAGAACAGTCTCGGAAAGCTTGCGGGAAGCGACGGCGGAGTCGGCGGGGGTGTAGACGGGGAGGTTCTTCTCCCAGCCCTCGGGGAGGTCACCCTTCTGGCGGCGGACGAGATCGTCGTGCTCAGCCTTGAACTCCTCAGCGTACTTGGCGAAGAGCTGGTTCCACTCCTCCTCCTTAGCAGCACCCTTGGCGGAAGCCTTGTGGCAAAGGTCATAGACCTCCTGGGGAACGGCGAAGCTCTCCTCGGGGTTGAAGCCGAACTTCTCCTTGAGCTGCTTGATATCGTCAGCCTTGAGGGGCGAGCCGTGGACACCGTGGGTGCCCTGGGCCTTGGAGCCGAAACCAATGGTGGTCTTGAGCTGGATAAGGGTAGGCTTGTCAGTGACCTCCTTGGCCTTCTGGAGAGCCTCGGCGATCTTGTCGAGGTTGTGGTCGCCATCCTCGACGGTGAGAATGTGCCAGCCGTAGGCCTCGTAACGCTTGAGGACATCCTCAGTGAAAGCCTGGTTGGTGTCACCATCAATGGTGATCTTGTTGTCATCCCAGATGGCAATGAGGTTGCCAAGCTGGAGGTGACCGGCCAGAGAGCAAGCCTCGGCGGAAACACCCTCCATCAAGCAGCCATCACCAAGGAAGCAGTATGTGTAGTTGTTGACAAGGTCGTAGCCGGGCTTGTTGAAGACGGCAGCGGTGTGAGCCTGTGCAATGGCAAGACCAACAGCGTTGGAGATACCCTGGCCGAGAGGGCCAGTGGTGACCTCAACACCAGGGGTGTCGTGGGCCTCGGGGTGACCGGGGGTGATGCTGTCAATGTGCTGTTTGCGCGATACTGTGTCAGCCTTGTGTATTCTTTTTGCCAAGCCAAGAAACAGTGGAAACTTACGCGGAAAGCCTTGAGGTCGTCGATGGAGAGGGCATAGCCGTAGAGGTGGAGGATAGCATACTGGAGCATGCAGCCGTGGCCGTTGCTAGGAAGAGGAACAGGCGTGTTAGTCAAATTCTTGCTCCCATGGAGCTCGCTAAAGCTCCGTTTTCGGCGCGGGGCAATTTTGGACTTACGAAAGAACGAAGCGATCACGGTTGAGCCACTTGGGGTCCTTGGGGTTGAAGTTCATGAAACGGTTGAAAAGGACGTGGGCAACAGGAGCCATGCCCCTAAAGAAGATGTCAGTACATATTTGCGCTGGAGAGAAGCACGCAGTCTTCCAGTTGAGCTGTCTTGTCAGCGCAACTTACATGGGGGCACCAGGGTGACCGGAGTTGGCATGGGCGGTGGCATCGGCCTGAGTGGGAAAGCTGTCAGCATGAAGGGTTCATATTGTAGAGATCCCGTAAAGTTCCCAATGTTCATCATCGCAAACCCATTGCTCGTGGTGTTGAGGCCCAAGAAAACTGGTTCTCGCGATGATGACTCTTAGTGGGGTAAACCTCGCGCTGCCCATGAAGAGGCGCGGGGAAATTGCAAGTGTGCTTTGTTGGGATTTTGGAGAGCTCTGAGAGCGCAAAACACAGGGCATGGGTAGCACTTACAGCCAACACACGGATGGTGTTGATGGCGAGCTGATCTGTCTCGGTGAAGGACGACATGTTTGCGATTATGGACAAAGATGTCGGGTATGGTATGGGAGAAAGGGTATCAGGAAGAGAATTTGCAGAAGCAGAAGACAAGAGAAGAAGATAAAGACAGGAACTGGGAGGCGGGGTCGAGTTATGTATCAGACGAGCACCTGGCAGGGACACCTGGGACACCACAGGCTAAGGAGAGAGCGTTGGGGGTCAGTCCAGGACGAGCAATCGAGCGTTCATCGAGGTGGAAGATTATTCGACACTTGTTGAACCGGAGGTGGGGTATTGTGTGGTAATTGACCGGGACCAGACTTGTCCAGTGGAGGTATGGTCAGGTACTGCCCGCTACAATGAGGTACCTTTGGCGCTTCTTTACCTCTCACAAATTCAAAGTCCCAACCGCTTTGAAGCCTCATCATCACCATCACCACCCTCCTTGTCGGCTTCTTTACCATTTACTGTCATCCGCGCTCACGGTTCATCATGAACAGTGCCCACTTGAAACCCACCTATTACTGGCCGGGTGCCGTGCTGCACGATTTGGCTGATGTGGTTCGCCGGATGAATTGTTTTAGTGGAGTTCACCACTTTACCCAGCGAATTCAGATCCAACTTTGACAGGCCGAGACAGGCCCTGGAATCAAGCTACAATGCATCAGCTAGGACGACATCAGGGTCTCCTGGCGGATCTTTTCTTTGAGATATCAATAATTGGGAACTTTTACATTCTTTTTCTGTTGTGTAAGTTGTGACTCTAAAATCGACTCTTTGGAAGCCCGTCTTCTTTAGACCATTTGGCCCCAGAGTTACACCGAGACGGATGATGCTTCTTCCTAGCATCGGAGCTCACTGGTCCAGCACTGAAGCTTGAGTGGGTTTTCCAAATAATCGCTTGCGTCACCTGAGAGTGCCACTCACCGGGGTAAAAGCCGGAGATCTCGACTGAAGGACAACTTGCCGTTGGATGCTGGGTTGCAACCTCCGACTCTGCCATTAAGAGACGGGCTTCTTCGCCTGCCGGTCTGTTTCCCGTGCCATCCGCCATCCGCAACAACCGGGTCAAGCACACACACCTTCATTCCATCCCAAGCGGCGAACTGTCTCGACCGCTCTCAGACCTCCATGGCTTTGTTAGCTATGAGAGCCGGTGCTCCCGGTATGAAACAAGAACTTTAAAGTTGGCTGGAACATTGATCGATCAAAGCAACAGACGCCGTTTTATTCCAGGTATGAATGAATGAATGAAAGTACCTGCTGATGATTCCACATTGTTTCCCATAAACGGTTACCATGTGGCTGCGCTCGGCTGCGTTGTAAGTCGAGGTAAGCCGTACATTTGATGGAATTGCCTTCACACGTCCCTTGCGCTATGAAAGCGGGTACGACAAAGCCTCGTGGGTTATTGGATATCTCATCCCATAAACTCGGGATCAGATCAAAGTGCTTTCATCCGGATTCCCCCACTTATATGGCTGGCGATATCGCCATCATCTGGTGGTTTTGGCGCTCCAGAGGTTGCGAAAACGGCGATACCCCTTGAGTCGACGAACGATGATTGGTCGCTTGGGGCTTCGGATTCATCAAAGCAATTGAACCCTTCAACATGGATCAGGTCCCTTCCCCACGAGGTTCTGCTCCCCCACGGACTTAACCACCAGCGGGATGGGAGAGTTCAGCCCAGTCCAGCCCATCTTGCCACACCTTGCATATTATCAGGCACGTCTTCATTGAGATAGGAGACAAAAAGACCCTGAACCTGATTCTCTGTGCGGTGTCGAGAGAGTCCGAGTCACAATCGTCGTCCCTGCGGCATCAAATGGGGTCAGCAAAGTACCTACGAGCTACGTCAGAGAAAGGGAGATGCAGGGTTAGGGTAACGATAAGAGGTGATGCCGATAAGATAAATAATTTTGGCGGGGTTACATTGCAAATGTAGCTGCACTAACTGATGCCGCCGGCATTTGATAATGGAGATAATCAACAAACTTACAACTTCAAGGGTTGCCAAATTCGAACTTAATGTGAAAAGCTAGTAATACCAGCCACGACAACAACAAATTGAAAAAGTCATCAAAATGGTCCAGGGAAATTGTGCCGCCAAAGGCAACAGCAAGGGTAACCACGGCGGAGGATCCCGTCGTCCCTCATCGCACAGATCGCGAAAGTGCAATCTTAACCGGAACGGCAACGACGGCAGGAAAACACAGCAACCGGGCAGTAAGCAGGGACAAGATGCGATCAAGGAAGAAGGGGATGAAGAAGAGCAGGAAAACTACGAGCCCTTCCCTCGGCTTGAGAAGAAACACCAGCAGATTATTCTGAACATCTTCCGGGATACCTTCTCGGACGTCCTCTTTTCCGACACCTTCACCTCCACCCTGCAGGCCGTGAAGCAAGCCCTCTACGAGCGCGAGTTCGCAAAGGCGTTTGGCGACCCGGAGTACCTGGCTGTTTATGCCACGAGATGGAGTCCCACGAGGGCGTTGTGCTATTCTTCTATCTTGGGCGGCATTAGGAAGCATTTGGATGGTGTCATTGTTGAGGAGGAGGCCGAGACTGAGACGACCCCTTCAGGAAAGACTACCACTGAAGAACCCAAAACAACAAAAGAGGACAATACCCCAGCAGAAGAGGAAGACCCCCTCGCCTCCCAAACCACCAACCTCTCCCTCTCCGAGCCCCCTTCTCAAAAAACAACATCAACCGTCATTCCCAAACTCAACATCCTCAGCATAGGCGGCGGGCCCGCCGAGCTCGTCGCTCTCGGCTCCTTCCTCAACCAACAAACCCCCTTGTCTTCACCTAGTCTATCAGGTAGCATAACCCTCCTGGACTCCGCCCCCTACGCTCCCCTCCTCACCCGCCTGGAAACATCCCTAACCGCCACGCCTCCCATTTCCAAATATGCCAGCGCGGCCGCCAAAGCCGCCAACGTGCCTCTCCTGTCCCCCGCCTCGCGAATCTCGTCAAAATTCATCCAGCGCGACGCTCTCGAGTTGGGCAAGGAAGGGTTCACCTCCGTCTTGGAAAGTCAGAAAGATGTACCAATCCTAGCCACCCTCCTCTTCACGCTGAACGAACTCTTCACCTCCTCGGGCATCGGCGCAACGACCAAGTTCCTGCTTGATCTAACGGCCTCGCTTCCGCTTAACTCCCTTTTGTTAGTGGTCGACAGTCCCGGTAGCTACTCGGAGACGGCGGTGGGGAAGGACGCAAGCAAGAAATATCCCATGGCGTGGCTTTTGGACAGGGTGTTGTTGGCTGCTGATCCCAAGACCGGGAAAGCGACGGCGGTGGTGGACGGTAGGAAGTGGAGGAAATTGGAGACGAGGAAATCAAGCTGGTTTAGACTCGCTGAGGGACGCGGAGGGGAGCCTGGGCTGGATTACCCGATTGGGTTGGAGAATATGAGGTATCAGTTGCATTTGTATCGGTTGGTGGATGAGGATGAGCCCGAGGAGGAGGAGGAGGAGAAGGGTAGCGAGGAAAGTGACGAGGAGTGACCTGGAGTCATGAAGAGTGATGGGGATGAGAGCAGAGTGGTTGATATGGAATAGGGGGGGTGGGAAACCTGGATTCTATATGGATGAAAAAATACTGGTGGCTGGCTGGTTTCTTAATGGGCGTTTCAAGGAGTTTCAAAAAGGTCATTGCGTTTGGTATGAGTGTCCGATATCTAACTAACTATCCTCCTGCCTGTGTGTGTGTGTGTGTGTTCGTGCTCCTGATATCATCCTTCGACGGATCCTCCCACCTATTAGCAGAAAAAGGGAAAAAAAAAAGAGAGTAACTGGTACCTTCGTATGCCCGCATGTACGCCGGTTATAACCCTCTCGAACAACGTACATCAAGCCCAAACCATCTTCTTGAGAGAATGTCCCAGTTGCTCCAACAGCCCGGTATTCTTCTTCGCATCTGCCAAAGAGATGATGTCCCCTTCTCGATCAGCCCGGACTCACCGTCCTTCTTGGCCTGAAGCTTAGGCTGACTCCTGATCGCAAGTCTCTCAATCTCAGAGGCAATGAGAATGACTTGCTGCATCTCAGACAGTCTTGTGATCGGCCCCGGCTCGTCGTCTTTGCTCTTGGCCATGGGGTCAGCTGCCGACGTGATACTGTGAAGCGCCTTGAGGGCAACCTTGCGGGCCTGCGGTTCCTGAGGGCGGGGAGTGAAGAACCCTGCGATGCCTTCGGCAATACCAGCTATCGGGGCTGTGGCAGGTGCCGGCTTATCTTCGGCGACAGCAGCGGCAGCTTCCTTCGCCGCCTGAAGTTCCGATTCCGAGGCATCGATACCAGAAGTTGGCTCGCGGCCCATCTTGGACGCACCGGACACCGAGGTGGATAGTGAGCGCGTGTTGACTCGGGTGATGTCTGTGGCGCCAGGCTTGTACTCGACGACAAGTCCTACGTTACGCATCTCATCGACCTGGGCAGCTGAGATCGTCGAGGTGATGTACGTGCCAAACTTGATCTTGGTAACATGGGCCAAGTCGACGCGTTCGAATGAGGAGACCTTGTCGAGGTTCCAGTCGAACCGGCAAAGATACAGAGCCTTATCGGTGAGCAAGAGGACTGCTTCCTCGAACGAGGAAGAGCGAATAGTATCGGGCACATTTGGCGTCAGGAGAGTCCAGCCACCTATGAACTCTTCGGACTCGTCGGCAATAACTCGCTTCTGTGAAAGCTCAATAGCCTGCTCCCGCATCTTCTGCATGGACATTGCCGGATCCTTGGTCATCATGTTGGCCTCGAATTCTTCAAACACTAGGGAGGTCACATTGCCCAGGAGGAAATCGATGGTTGTCTGGAGGAAGAAATCGTTGAACATGCTAGCACAAAGAAGTCAGTACGCGTCTACTTTCGTTTCATGGGTTTTTAGATCTGTACTTACCCGTTGAACAACCGAGTCAAAGACAAGCCGGCATCGGTCAAAGCTCCGCGGTAGTTCCTCTTCCGTGTCCGCGTGTAATCACCCTTCATTGCGCCCGTGGAGGCATACTGCTTGGAGATTGCATCTCCGTTATCAGCCCAGAGAGTGTTAAACCAAGCGTTCTCCTGGTCCTTTTGCAAGTTCATATCGAAGCCTAGCTCCTTGAGCTGCGTGTCCAGCATGTACTTGGCAAAAGAGCTTTGGCAAACGTTGGTGCGATCAAGACAATCCATGCAGTTGGTTCTGAAGGCACCAACCTGTTGACTTTCAATCTGACCATTCACCATGACTGTGCTTCCCCATTTCTCAAGCCGGGGGCCCAAAGTCTCCAAGAGAACCGATACGTTTTCAAACTTCATCCCGCGACAGACATGATGGAAGTCAAACCACTCGAATGCGATCTGATCATCTTCGGGCTTCGATTCTTCCTCGTTAAGTCGCTTGATGTTCTCCTCGTATCGCTGTCCTATTGGCGCTTCAACCCCATGCTTTTCCACAAGGTTGATGCACTGCATCAACCCGTACTTCTGCCTGAGCCATTCGAAATGCTTCTTGAGTGCCGCGTAATTTGTGTCGGGTGAGTGCTGTAGGACTGGTGCTGGCTTCAGCGAATATGGGGACTGTGTGAAAAACACTGGAAAGCTTCCCCTGATCTGAACAAAGGAGTAGATCTTGGCACTGGGATCGGATGACTCTTCAGCAGGTGAGAGGATTTGCTCGGATTCAACGCAGTTGGCAACGTTGCCTCCTTCGTCAATACCGCGACGGAGATATCTCAGTCCTGCTCTCTTGGTTGACCTTCTGGAAATGACCGTAATGTCAAACTTCTTCTCCGTGGGGCGAGTTTCCTCAGAGCCTCCTTCTGCACCGGTGGGAGTTGGCTTAGTCGCAGCTTTGTTGTCACAATCCATGTCCTTCATCTCGAGCGAGTCCTTAGCAGCATCATCGACCTGCGGCGGACTGCTGTCGACGGTGAACGTACGTTGGCCTACAAAACCCTGCATAAGGGGTAGAGCCAAAGAGTCCACACCAGCATCAATGAAAGGCTGGAGGACGTTCTTGTTCCAGAAGAAAGTCGGGTCAACATGGTTAACCAACGGTACCAGGGGTATAGAAGCAGGTGCCAGGTTGGCTGCGCTACGAGTGATATCGTAGTCATATGAGAAGTAGAACGTGCGACTCGAGCCAAACAGAATCTGGGTGGTCCGCAGCAGCTTTGGCAACAAGCTCACTGCAGCCGAATCGTTCTCGACGGCATCGCTCGGCAAGGGGAACTTGCGAGGTACGCGCTTCGCAGCATCCGAGCCCTTCTTGGCCTCGGCCTTGCTGGCATTGGCCCTCTCAAGCTGCTCTGCGCTGAGACCCATGTTCCTCTTCTGATCCATGGTCCAACCAGAGCGACTAAACCAGCTTTTCGCAAAACGACCATAGCTTCCACGACGTGCAATGACATCCTGTGCGACACTGCTACGGGCGATGGTACTAGGGCCTGCTTCTCCCGCTGAATCCTCTCCCTCGGTCGGATCCAGAACATCGTCGATGGCCTCATCGTTACTGCCAGAATCCCGCGGGGCGTCATCCTCGCTCGCCGTATCGTCGTCCGAGTGAGCTGCCTCGCGGTTGCTGAGGGCTAGGGAAGTCTTGGCGACAGCCTCGGCGGCATCGCTTTGTGAAGTACACGGCGTAAGGGCGACTTCGGTTACGACATAGATGGGCTGGCCGCGGATCTGAGCGACTTGCTGGCGTCCGGTAATGGAGATGAGGTAGCTGTATCGGAAAACGGTAAGGATGCCTGTAAGATGCGCCAACAATCAGCCAAAAGTGTCGCAAAGGGTCCCTGGGTTGCGCAAGACTGACCAACAATTCCAAAAGCTTCGAAGGAGGAGTCGGGGTTCGATAGTTCGGGTACTGAGTCTTTGGAAGTATGCGATACCAAGGCAGTGCCGTACTTGATCTTGACCAGAGGTGAAGCGCGTTGCTGATCTTTCTTGGAGTAGAGAGGTTGTAGGATAAGGCCGTCGACCGCGGCGCATACCAGCACCTTTCGCGCCAAACCTGGCATTTTGGTTCAGTTATGCTTCTCCTCTCATGAAGTAGTTGAGTTGATGGTCGAATGGGACCTCCTTCCTACGTCCTGGCGGTTTTCTGAAAGAGGTTGAATTCGGATAACCAGACAGAGTAGAGAGGGCGCGACGATGCGCAAAGAGTGGATATCGAGAAGCGACTAGTTGGTATAAGATGGAACCTAGGAGATCTTTCAGCCGATACTTGGGATGGAAACAAGATACAGTAGGAAAATCAGGGGGGAGAGTCCAAAGTTTGGGGAAAAGAACGGGGTCAGTATCCGGTCGGTTGGGTTGGATGCAGTGCTGCCCTGGGTTCGGGCAGTTCCTGGGTCGTCCTTCGCTCGTTGGACGGGTGGAAAGTGACTGCCCACTGGTGCCGATGATGTCGGGTCCTGACAGAGCGTGGGGCACATGCGCTAGAGTCGATGGAACCCGACGTCATTTTCCACTCTTTTCAGCCAGGGGTGTATGACCCGAGGGTGTCTCCAGACCCCCACTTTCATGGTTCTGGCCAGCAAGGGACTCTTTTTGACGTGTCGCGAACCGCAAAAGTTTTACACCACCTATAACCCAAACCCTGAAACTGCGAGGTCATGCTGAAGGTATCACAGGCGCCGTAGCCAAAGAAGAACACCAAGACACAGTCACCACTGCAGTTGCACATGAACGGGGCCATCGACGTTCAAGCCAGAAGTGCAGTTTGAACGTTTTTCCAATTTTTTTTTCCCGCTTCTAAGTCGCCGTGACTGCCTTCCAGCTAGTACGAGACCCGGGGTATTATCAACCTAACACAAAATTCTCCTATTCCACTATATCCTTTCCAAATAGTGTTCTGCGCTTACATAGCGAGACGCTCGACCTTGTCACGGAGGGCACGGATCTTGGAGTTGAGATCGGAAGCCTCGTTGGAGGTGAGGGAGACGGCAATGACCGAGCGGGAGACACCGCAGGCACGGCCGAGGGCGGTCTTGGAAGGAACGTAGACGTAAGGGACGTTCTTGTCCTCGCAGACTGCAAGCACGTTAGTGAGTGTTCAGATCAAGTCGATGGGCTTCCCCCAGGTTGGGAATAGACGTACGCAGAGGAATGTGAAGAACGATGCTCAAGGGCTGGGTATCAGCAGCGAGGATGACCAACTCGCTGGTACCACGGGAGACCCTGTTATTTGTGTTAGCTGAATGCCGACCAAGACAAGCCATAAAGAGAGCTTGCGGTGCACATACGACTTGGTGGCCTCGTTGGCGCCCTTCTTGAGCTGTCTGTAGTGGCTGGCCTGCTGGACGCAGTCGAGGAGCTCCTGGACGAGAGCACCGTCCTCGGCCTTGGGCCAGGCAGCAGATTCGTTTTGACCAGACATTTTGATAGGAGTGTTTGTTGTTTGAGGATGATTGATTGGAAAACTTAGACACCAGGGTTCACTGCGTTGTGCTCGCCCTGGGGAGATTCAACTGCAAAAGAGATGGGCGAAAAGGTGATTGAAGGTGGATCGTTTTAGCTGGAGAAAAAAAAGCGGCGATAACGAATTGACTTCGCGCGCCTGCTACCGACTCGGTTTCAGACTCGAAAATTTCGGGATCAGCCACAGCCAAGGTAGCCACGAACGGCAAGCCACACTCGCAATTGTGGTAGCCCCGAAACTGCTGGCGTTCAGCACTGCACAGCGCTGGACTTGCTGCTGGTGCAGTGACCTCTCCGGCCTGCAATGATCAGATGGGGAAGAATGGGTTGGTCCGCTTCCGGATTACGTAACTGCAGCCGTCTTCCCAAGTGCTACCTGATTGGCGGCAGGAACATGATGCTCGCCCCCAGCGCCCCAGCAGTGGCCCAGTCAAGCGCCAACCTGGAAACACCTCGTTCCCAGCCTGCCAGCCAGCAACACAGTTGACACTCGATCCGTCACCAACCCATCGAACCGTAACCCCATCACTGATCGCGAGTCCCGACTCTTCCCAACAACACGCATCATCCCACACCACCACACGACGTTTCGCACGCCAATCTCCAACCCACTCTATATCCAACCTTTTGATACAGCCTCGCGCGACAACACATTCACAATGTCCGATCTTTGGTAGGTCATCCGCATCCACCCCGGTCCGCGATGATGGAGGAGTTGGAGGCCCGCGCCGAGCTCGCCCATGTTCCGAATCCACACCTAGCCCCATGGGCTATTCGGCATCACCAAACACATCATATACGTCGGCTTCAATGATGTAGCTTACAGCTAGTTATCTTTTGAGAACAGATGCGCTAACGATGTTTTGTTTACAGCCCCGTTTACGCGGTTAGTACCCTCCCGGCTCTGCTCACGAACCTTGGCGGCGACGTCAACGGCCTCTGAACTTCGACCACCAAACCATCAGATACGGCCCCAACAACCACGTCCGTATATAACTAACATTATGTGCTTCGATAGCCCTTCTTCGGTGCCATGGGCTGCACAGCAGCCATCGTCTTCACCTGCCTTGGTGCTTCGTACGGGACTGCCAAGTCCGGTGTTGGTATCGCTGCCATGGGTGTCCTCCGCCCTGACCTCATCGTCAAGAGTATGTCGAATACCCAAAAGTCAACTTGTGCTTTGGACTTACATATGCTGACCTGCCTTCTAAAGACATTGTTCCCGTCATTATGGCTGGTATCATTGGTATCTACGGTCTCGTCGTCTCCGTCTTGATTTCCGATGCTCTCACGCAGGATAACTACGCTCTCTACACTGGCTTCATTCAGCTCGGTGCTGGTCTCGCCGTCGGTCTCGCCGGTCTTGCTGCTGGTTTCGCCATTGGTATTGTTGGTGATGCTGGTGTCCGTGGTACTGCTCAACAACCCAGACTTTTCGTCGGCATGATTCTTATTCTCATTTTCGCTGAAGTCTTGGGTAAGTCCTCTGTAAATCTGTTCTTCCAGTTCCACAACCTGCTAACCTGCTTTCTAGGTCTTTACGGCTTGATCGTTGCTCTTTTGATGAACTCCAAGGCCACGCTCAACACCTCATGCTAGCGGTCTGATGATCAGTCGCCTGAGCAGCCAACGCTTTCGACCTAGGTTTCCTCGCCGGTATGGGTGTGACAAGCACGTGCACACCGACAACATAGAGCCCCATACCTGGAACCTAAACAACAAATGATTCAAGAACACGACTACGGATTCTCATATCCTCACCACACACACTTCAGTTCTTCCTGACTGTCGCTCAGCCCGGTTAATCACGCAAAATAATGGCTTTTATTTTTGCTTTGGTGGATATAAATGGCGAGCGGCGGTTCAGTGCTGGGAGCTGAAGGCCGGGAGGAAAGACAACAACGATAACAGAGAAAGAGAGAAAGAGAGAGAGAGGGAGAGGAGAGTTATGAAAACACAGGAGAGCTGGCGCATATCTTTTGGAAGGGGAAAGGCGTCACTCGCGGAGTTTGCTCAACGGGCGTCGCGTTTTTTCATGGATTAAGCATGTTACATTTGTACAATTGTCACAATTACGGTCTGGTCAAACGCAAAGCATTACTACATCTCACTTTTTTCCGGCTGTCAGTTTTCTGTAAAGGGTTTGTTTTTTCTGGACTCTTGATCGGCATCGATAGACAGGGATGAAAGGGGAGGATGAACGGTAAAAGACTGTACTGTAGTCTAGAACTAGGTTGTGTTGCAATGCTTTTAGTATTTCTTATGCATTGGAGGGTAAAGAGTTGGGTTGTTTACTTTCTTGCTTTGCCTGTTACCGGTTTTGTCTCGTTCGTATAATTGTTATCCCACCTGATAGACTGGCATAGGTAGACTATAAACCCGCGTCAACATCATTCGAGTTCACTGTCATGTACGGGATGGCAACGTGTTTACACTTTGTCTTTCTCCATGCGATTGGGTAGGCCCGGAAGTAGTATTAACGAAGTTCACTGCCATGGCCATCATGTACGGGGATCTGATATGTTTGCACTTTGAATTCTTCATTACGATTAGGTAGATAGGTAGGTTAAGGTAAGAGGAATCGCAGAACCGTACTCCTTTCCATGCCCCTCCTTTCCTTTTTCCTTTTCGCCTTCTCTTTCATCTCATCACAGCCATTAATACTGTCGTACATTCGTAGGTAAGTTGAACCCATCTCTTTCTCTCTTTCTTTCTCTTCCTTCATCTTCATTACAACATCTCTTTCTCTCTATGATTAGGGAGAGTAGTATTTTGGATCATTTCGTATAGGTTCTTGTTCTTCTTTTCCGTCTCTTCTTCTCCCTCCATCTATAAACGCCCCTCCCTCCCAAGAAATACTTTCCAAACCTCTACTCAGCTCGCTCAGCCTGGCAAGAAGGCTTATTATTGAGATAGGGCGTGAGTAGGACAAGGTTGATGTGGTAAGTAAGTAAGTCGGGTTTTAGATCACGTACTAGATGGAGGGAAACAAACGAGTTAGTTAAGATATACAGTTTTCGGCAACAGGAGTTGGTCACAGGTAGAGAGAGAGAAGAAAAAAACTCACCGGAATGAAAAGATAAGGCACTCTCCTCTCATACTCCTTCCAAGCATCACCGTACTTCTCGCGGCAGCGGGTAATGTCACGCCACGCGCGATGAGCAATCATGCAGCAGAAGAAGACGGGGTAGAACCACGGGAAGGGGCTGCTGAAGCCGGTGATCAGACCCCAGCAGATAGCAAAGTAGACGTCGCAGGTATAGTGCACCTTGCGGGCGAGACCGTACCAGCCATCCACCAGGATGCTGTCGCCGGTCTCGGTCTCGATCTTTTCCGGGTTCTTGACCGTTTGCCAGGGCAGCTGAGGGAAGGTCTTGCGGTACAGCAGCTTGCCGCGCTCCTGGGCGCGGAACCGGTTCTTTTGCGAGTTGCACGTGTCCCAGACCCAGTAGACGAAGAGGTAGCTCACGTAGAGACCGACCAGGGCGAAGCGGTTCCAGCGGTACTCGTCCGGGTGGTGGTTGGCCAGGAAGATGGTGCAGTGGCAGTAGCTGAGGGGGACGCCGGCAAGGTTCCAGAAGATCAGCATGAAGCCCCACTTCTCATAGTACATGTCCCAGGTGGTCACGATCAGCTCCTCGCCCTTGGAGCACGCGTTGGCGTACAGGTAGTGCGCCATCACCAGGAAGCCGACCTCGCCGGACACGTAGCCGTAGCGGTCCCACTGGCGGGCGGCGGCGCCCAGGGAGAGCAGCAACAAAATGTACCACGGCAGGCGCACCTCGAAGAACATCTTGAAGTCGAGAACGCCAAACATGCGTGGGTTGAGCTCGGCGCCCATGAAGAAGTCATAGATGTGGCGGCCGGTCATGCGGTGAGTGGCGCCGCGGGCAAAGGCCGAGATGTAGGCGACGATGGAGACGATGAAGCCCGAGATGATGGCGACCGAGAGCAAGGGACCGAACTCGTCGATGATCTGGTACAGGGGGGAAGATGCCGGTGAAGTGCAGGACGCCGGCGATGGCGAAGGTCACGTAGAACGAGACGTAGGCCGAGCAGTGGTACTTGAGCATCTTGCCGCCCTCGTGGGGCAGAGGCTTGCCGTAGGCGGTGACGCCGGGCATGAGGCAGTAGAAGGCGCCCTCGAAGATGAGGAAGGTCCAGTACCACAACCACGCTTTGGCGTGGGGAAAGGCCTTGGTGTAGACGAGGTCGAACAAGTGGGCGGCAAAGTCACCCCAGCTCTGGCCGGGCTCGCGGCTGGGAATGCCGCCGTTGTATTGGGTCGCGCCAATCCACATGTACCACATGAGGATGGGGAAGAAGATCATCATGGCGCCGGTGCCGTACGAACCACCGAACTCGAAGTGGCCCGAGGTGTCGATCTTGGGGTCCATGCCGGGCTTCCAGCCGTCGATGAGCTTCTCCTCCCTGGGCTTGCCATCGAGGCTGCTGCTGCTGGCGTTTCCGTTCAGCAGAGGGGCGTTCTCAATATCGGGCTCCTCCGAGGAGGTGTAGGGTGGTGTGGGCTGCATCGTTTTCTCTGCCTCGTCGAGGTGCTCGTAGAACTTGCCGGTGGTCTTTAGGTTGCGCTTCCGGAGGGTGTCGTTCTTCGCCTTGCTCGTCGTTTTGGACACGACGTTCTCGGTGGCAGAGGCACTGGATTCACCGTCGGAAGACTCTGGGACTTGGGACTTGCTGCGACGAGTGTTGCGGCGTACAGGGGTCTCCACCATGCCCTGAAAGAGTTCCTTCTTTCTGTCATGGAAATTGGACGTCAGCAATCCGCGCTTGCCTCGTGAGGCGGCCTCGCAAGGCCCTGGTAGCAGGGAAATTTGCGCTGTTGGGAAAGGGACATGGTGGCACAAGTCTGGGCCCATCGGGAGATGCGGGAAAGTGGTTTCCGGAACCTGCACCACCCGACAGCGGGACTTGCCCTAGATTTTTAATCTATGGGACGAAATCTCCAACTTTTTTGAGACGGATTCTCCAAGACCCTTCTGCAGTGCCTGCGTCAAAGGCGCCCCTGAGATCTGGATGCGCGCCTTGACCTCCCTGCGCCGCCATCTTCCAGCACAGACTGCAAGTCGCCTCTCTGGTCGCATATGCCACAGAGAGTTGGGATGAACTCCCACGCGAAGGTATTGGATGTTTGCTACATCCATCTCGAGTAACGCACGGGTTTGGGATTGGATGAAGGGAGAAAAGCAAACAAAAGGGGGTTTGTTTACACGTACCGTGGAGTTTGCCGTAGCGAGTACCTTGACGACGACGACATTATGAAAGAGAAAAAGGGGGTTTCTGGCGCACCACCCAACGACGACGGTAGGTTGTCTTTATATGAAAGCGATCGGACTCAGACTAAATAAGGCTGGCGCCTAAAACCACGGGCGGTGAGAAGCAATTCCAACAAATAAAAAGCAATCCCAACCTGGATAAACCGATAACAGAACGCAGTCCGGGGATTAAAACATGGGGACGGGGGAAAAGATGCAAAAGACAGGCCAAGAGGTGTATAAGAACGAATACGCGTATCCGAACCTTGGCGCGAACACTCCCGAACATATGAAAGAGAGGCAATCTTACTGGATGTCCAAGCAGAGCTGGTAAGCCGGGGGGGGTAAGTCCAAGCTGGGAGGGTGTCACTGTCACCAACAATCTCCCTCGGGATGTGATGAACTGAGGAAGGAGATGGTGATGTGAGGCAGAGGCACACAAAAAAGACACAAGACCCAGGGACGAAAAGCGGAAGAGTTCTTGAAAGACAAGACGGGACCTGAAGAACCCCTGTTGTCTTGGGCTTGCTGTCAAATGCATCCACTTCCGAGACCCGATACGGTGTCATCAACACGAAAATCCACCAGGACCACCACTGATCCAGGATCCAGGGGCACAGAAAAGAGACACAAGCACCACACACAGCAGCATCTGGCAGAGAGGATGGGCGGGAACGAAATTGCTGACTGCAGCACGGAGTCATGATGCAAAAGGGCCGACATCCATTTGTTGACAAAATATCAAAACTTTGGGTTCGTTGGAATTTTGGAATTTGGACATAAAACATTCCAGCCAGTGAGCGCTCGTCCTGAGGTTCCCATGCTCCGTGGAATTGGGCTAGCGTCCCAACTTTTGGGTTAATTGGTCCCAACCTGGCTTGTGCCGGGATCTTCCCCAGAGTCGCTTGATTCCTCAGTCGGTCCTTTGCGAAACCGAGAATAAGATTTTAGTTCCCTGACAACGGGAGCCACGGAGTGCGAACATCAGATCATCGGAGTCCAAGGACATCACTAACATGACTGTCAGGTCATAAAATCCAAAAGACTTTGACGGCGATGTTATTGTTCAAAACTTCAAGCCCTCATCTTTCCGTATTCAGAAGTCTGACTTGTTCCCGAACCGTTAGATCTCTTTTAGCAGGTCGATCATGCATACCCCTATTTGGTCGGCCGAAACCCGGGGATGGACAACACAACGACAACATCACAGGTTGCGTTGTGCGCTTGATCCTCTTGATCGACCAGCACCTTCAAATTGTCTGTATTCGTATTCGCTATAATCCAGCAGGATTCGGCAGGATTCAGAACGCATCCGACTATGGATTTCAAACCAATTCGCTTCGACGGTAGTCGGCAAGTTCAGCGCGTAGTGAAATTACAGTCAGCTTCCTCCGAACTATCGATTCTCGATAGGTATTAGCCTCGAGTATCGCTCGGACTTAAGAACCTCTTGCCACTCCGCGATACCTACCATAGCAGCACAAAACCAACATTTGACCCAAATCATCCAAGCAAAGGCCGTCGTTCCCTCTGTCTCTGGCCACCACCACCACCGCCACTCTCACCACCCAAAGCCCTACCATACACATCCTCAAACGGCAACACAAAAGCCGAAACTATCAACCCAGCCACGCACACCATGGAAATCAGTGCCCCAAACATGCAAAGATACCAAGACGCACCCAGTCGGTACCCCGGAATCTGGTTAAACAGATCATCGTGATGAAAGAGATAGGCCTATGCAAGCAAGCAAGCGCTCGCCAGTTAGCGAGCGAACGTTAGTTAGCCTCTGTACTGCCTCTTTACCCTGTAATGTACCCTGAAAACAACAAGGGGTATGAAGCGAGATTGAGTATCCCCATCACCGTCTTTCTACCATAAACATCTCCTTCGTTACCCAGGTAACCATCAAATCTTCGTTGTCCACATCCCGTTGTCCACATTCCATCATCACTACCGTTGACATCACCACTACTCCCATCGACTTTACCCAGTACGTAGCAAAAAGGGAAGAAGAAGGGGAAGAAAAAAAGAAGAACTACTCACCACCAAACCACCCGCTAATCCCTCCCCAACCCCCACCGCCCCAATCATCCAAGCCAACACCTTCCACCCTTGTTTATCTTCTTTCCTTGGGTTTGGGTCTCTCCTCCTCGAGTCCCTCAAATTATTCCTGCTCGAGACCCTGCCTCTGTCTATCCCGCTCCCTCTCTCTCCCCCACTTTGCCCCCTACCACCACCACCACCACCACCCAATATCAATAACACAACCACAAACCCAACCAACGTAGCCGCCTCCAAAACCAGAGAAAGACTCATCAGAAAGGCTGTGGATTTCCATGTGTTGCAGAAGAATCTGCGCTGTTCTTGATGGTTGGGGTTAGGGCCGAGGCTGGGATTGATATTGGGATTTCTCGGGTCAGGACCAGGACCAGGACTAGGAGGGGGACCAGGAGAGGGAGGAGGGCCGAGACTAGGACCTCCGGAATTGAAACCGGAGCAGAACCGGGGGGAGGGGAAGGGGATGCATTTTAGCTTTTCCCTCTTCTTCTTCTCGTGTTCGTCGTGGTTTCCGTGGTGGTTGTCGTGGCTGCGAACGGTGCTGCTGATGCTGCTGCTGCTGGCACTGCTGCTGCAGTTGAAGCAGACGGGAGTCTGACAGCGTTGGTGGAGGCCGAGTCGATCCTCGAAGATGGTGACGGAATTCGAGTGGGAGGTAACGGAGTAAGTAATCCAGCGAGGAAGCAAGATGGAGGTTAAAGTCATTGTTGTTACTGTTGTTCGTGTTTGGTGCGAGGAGTTAGTTGGTTGGTTTATCAGCTTGGATCGATCCAGAACCAAAAGGACAACAAAGGGTGCAAGCTCACCGGCGATAAAAGCTGCTAGAGCCATGATATACACGCTTCGTCGGGTCATCGTGGAATATCTATCCCATCTCCCGCATTTAAATGTGATATTGCTGAAGGAGAAGATGTTCAGGATGGATGGAAAGGTGGAAAGAAGAAGGTCGACGAATGGATCGCATCAATAACAGGACCGAACTCCCCACCGACAGAAAAGATGTCACCACCATCCCGTCATCCCGTCATCCCGTCCGTCACTGTGCTGTGCGTAGGACATCTGCCATGCAAGCGCTCGTACATGCATCTCAAGCATCTGCACAAGTACCTACCAGATGTAAAATACTGGGAAAGTCCCTGCATTTGTACATAGATGGAAGGTGGCTAGGCACCAAGCAGTATGCACAGACGTGGAGCTGTCAGTCCAGCTCCCACGATGACTTTTTATACCTAGGTATATACCTCCTCGCCAAGTACAAATACTCCTCATGAATAAAGTACGTAAAGGTAGCTTACATGCCTCGTATAAAAATACCTACCATATACAATAAAAATGTGCTGGGCCAGCGAAGCAACACCTTTCATACTCCCCACTCCCCTTGTCTTTTTGGTCATCCCTTCATGTCATGCCTATGTCTCTTTTCTTCTTCTTTGATCCATAATACTATTCTTGTCTTATCTTATTTTATCTTATCTCCTTCTTATTCTATCGTCATTTCTAACCGCCGCCGCCGCCGCCGCCGCCCTTGAAGCAGAAGCAGAAGCAGAAGCAGAAGCAGAAGCAGAAGTAGAAGAAGAAGTAGGAGTAGGATACGAATTCGTCCGAAGACCAGCAGACAATAATAAGCCCCGCCGTCTGGTCTGTCTACTATGCCGAAGATCACCACCAGTAACTCCAACAACTCCATCACCAACCCCATCACCACCACTACTGATGATACCTGCTGCACCACAAGGAGAACTAGGTCGGGGAATAATACCCTCCTTGTTACCACCGACACCAGAAGCAGAAGCGACATTGCTACCACTAGCAGCAGCACTCTTTCTTCTCCCACAAGCACTAAGCGGAACTTCCCCCTTCCCACCGCCGCTACTGGTAGTGGTAGTGGTGGGTGTACTCGGCGCCGTAGTAGACGACGAAACAGAGGCAGACGCTCCCCCCGCCTCAGAAGCACAACTCCCTCTCGCACTACCAGGACGCCCCTGTTGGCTTTCGGAATCACCAGGCTCAGCGCTAGTCCGCCTATTATTCGGCAACAAAGGATGACCGTCCTACGACCACCTCATATCCGAACTAGGCGCTCGACTTCTGCGCTTAGCGTTTCCTGCGGCGGCGGCGGCGCCCGCACTACCACCACTGCCACTGCCACTCATACCCGTGACGGAGAACGATGACTCCCTCGCTCCGTAGCTACGTGAGAAACCATTACCATCACCACCACCTCCTCCACTACCTCCTTGAAAACTACTAGACAAGCTCACCGCGCTCCCCGTCGGCGAGACCGAGTACAACCCTCCTCCTCCTCCTAGGATCCTCGCCTCGGGGCCCGCAACTGATGATCCGGATCTTATCCGCCCAAAGTTTTCTTTGTGGTGGTTACTCAGCGAGCTATCACTTCGTTCCCGCTCACGCATCTCGGCGCGACTGCTCGCTATGCCCGAGATACCTATGCCCATGCCCGTGGCTGAGACCGCCCCGGGCGCCGTGGCGGCAGACGATAGACTCGGTCTAGGAGAACTGTACTGCGTCATGGACATGCGGGGCAGTCGCATCCTTGAGGGTGTCCCTATACCGCCGCCGCCGCCGGCCGAACCCATGGACGAGGACGACGAAGTAGTGCCCGCTGAGGTGTCTTGGCTGACTCGGCGGGGGATGTTGATCAGCGGGACACCACCGTCTCTGCTGTGCGGCCGGAACATGCCTTCGCGCTCCTGAGCTAGGGAGATACCGGAGCGTTTAGGCGTCGATGCTACTTCGATGTATGCAGCCGAGGAAGATTGCGAAGCTCGATGGCCGTGCGTTGGTGTGGGTGGCATGGACATGCTGGCGTGCAGGCCTGGCGGTGTATAACTAGTATTGCGCCGGGGGCCAGACCGCGAGCGTGGTCCAGAATTCAGGTTGTTGAGGGGATTGAGCGGGTTGACATTGACAGAAGGGCCAGCACCCATATTCAGTGCACTCAAGGCTGCTGCGTCGTGCTGTAGGTCGATGTCGATATGGCTTCTAACGATTTCCGATGCCAAGTTGCGCACCAGTACTGCTGGATCCTTATCTGCCAGTATTTGTATATCGTCAAAGAGAACATGCAGAGCACGGCCCGCAGTCGAAGTGGCCAGGGTTGCCATGGGCGTGTTGTTGGCTTCGCAACCATCCATGATGCTGCGCACGAGGCGGAGCAAGTTGAGCCGCACAACAGCCTTCTTGTGGCTCAGTTTTTGAGCGATGCCGGCATACATCTCCGCCTTGGCAAGCGATGCTGCCACGGAGGGACTCAGTCGCACAAGCTTGAGAAGGGGTTCGAGAAGGTTGGCGTCGAAAGCATTTGCTTTGTTGGTGTTGAAGCAAGACGTGATGGCCGCGGTAAAGTTGCCTTCGAGCAAGTGGTGTTCGACCTTGGCCGTCTCCTTTTCTAGCCAGACAAAGATGGCATCCAGCGCGGTGACTTGCCAATACTGATCTGCCAACAGTGAAACATAAAACTCCAGCCCATTGTTCTGCCACAGATATCTTCTACCCTTGCTGCCCGAGTGTGCCATGTCACACAGAATAGGGAGGACAAATTCCTTGGGTGGGCGATCAGTCTTCATGATCTTCAGCAGTAATGGAATGATACCATTGCTGGCAGCGTATTCTTGACGCTCTTTACTGAGCCGGCATAGGTTGAACATGGTGTTGAGTACTTGGTTGGAAATCTCGCGGAAATGCTGCTGCCCCCTCTTCATTGAGTTGCTTAGCACGTCAATCAAGTAGTCAATCGCGTCGGCAGAATGTAATGACTCTAGCGTAGTTGACAGCATGGACAAGTTCTTGATGAACTTGAGCATAGTGATCTGGTGAGCAGGTGTCATCCGCCTGAGGTCCTTTAGGACAGCTATAGGGGTACTTGTTAGCAGTTGACTCGGCATCACTATGGACAAAGAGTACATACTTTTGAGTACAAAGCGTTCGGAAACAACTTCCTTCACATAGTTCTCAGCTTGCGAGAAGAGATAGAAGATATTGACGATGCGAGCTTCGATCAGCTCGGACAGCTCATCCCTGTCATCTTCATCCAAGACCTTGTGCAGCACTGCAGCCAATGGGTCCAAGATTTTGCTCCGCGAGAATATGCGGCAGAAGTCGTTCTTTGGTGTTGGGCCCTATAGGGATTGACAAATTAGCACGACTTCTAGACATCAAGGCAGGTTGGTGTTCAAGAACGGGACTTCTTACCTGAAGCTCAAAGACGTTCCAAATGCCATTCACACCGATGAGAACAAGGTCTGGGGACATGTCATAGTCTTCATCCAGGAACTCTACCAAGACATTGAGACCGCCTGCACTGACGAACATCTGCAGGGTCAAGGTAGAAGTTTGGTACATCTGCCGAACAAAGGCCGCAGCCTCCAGGCGAATTTCGTTCGAATACTGGCGAGCAGCGAACTTGGTAATGATTGGGATACCGCCCACGAAACATAGGTTCTCTTGCAGCTCGACGTCGTCCAAGATAATCTGCTCTTAGTCAGTATACAGACAGTCCTAGCTTTTCAAATATCAACAACACCGATATGGGTACCTACCGCATTGACGATCTTCAGCAGCTGCAAGATCATATGCTGACGGCTCTTCACCGTGCAGGGTTCCAAGATCTCCAGGATCGGGAGCAACCCATGTGCACTGATGATGAGATCCTTGACCTCGGTGTTCTCCCATAGTAGGGCGAGCTGTAACCACATTGATCTGTCAGCCACTACCGTACCAAAAGCTCAAGACAAACAGAAAAACTTACCAAGTCTTCAGCCAGATCAGCAAGTATGTCCTCAGCCTCCGTCGGCTTCAAAGACTTGACTCTCTCTTCCACCTTCTCAGCCAACCTAGCATGTCTATCGCGAGCGATGTTTGCCTCGAGATCCATCTCATCCCAACCTGGGTCCATCATGGCAAAGGGATCATCTTCATCTTCATCGTCCCCAAGCCAAGAGTTGTTGGACAACTTGGAAAGGAGCATAAGTTGATGTTGGCCATCCTCCGAACCCTCCTCGCTCTTGGGCGGCTTCGTGAGGCTTTCCGGCTCAGCCCCGAAAATGTCCGAAAAGTCCTCATCGCCCTCATCTTCCGCAAACTTTGTGATCTCCACTGTTGTCCTTGTCCTTCTGACGGCGGCGGGCTGTTCAGGAGCTGATGGTGGCCGCGCGGAAGCCGACTGCCTCCGCATGCTGCTGCCATTAACAGGTGATGCCGTAGAGCGCGGTAGACTGGTGAGGTCCGAAGGGTGAAACAGTTGTGGGGCGTCCTAGAAAAACAAAACGATCAGCAAATTGGCGACAGGGATCAGGAGACAAAAGATGACGGGAGAAGGGTCTTACCTTGACGGAAACATTAAGCCGACTGTTGAACACCGAGTCCGTATCGCCAAAGAGATCAGAATAGTCCTCGGTAGACTGCTCACGATAGATTGATTCAGGACGAGGCGGAAGCTCAAACTTGTTGCCGAACTGCGTCCTCACAGGCGACTTAGTCTGCGAGGCGCTTGGAACCGTGGTCTTGCTGCTTCTTTGCCGCCTATGTCCTTGCTGAGAAGACTTTAACTCGGATGCCCTCTCGGACCGTTTCGGCAACGGACGAATCGTTTGCTCGAAATCTCCGCCAAAGTCTTCGTCCCAATTTTCAGTGTCTTCTCGCGAACTGTCAATGGACGCAAACGCCTTGAGCCGATCGCTGGAAAGAAGTCCTCCGAAGTTGTCCTGCCCTTTGATGTGAGGGAGGTGGAGCGCACTAGGTGAAATTGCAGTGGCAAAGTCATTGTCCCAGTTATCATCATCTGTTTACTATAAGTTAGCCCACCCTTCTTTAAGCTTTATGTTTATGAGACTTACCAGCTTCTACCCCCGAAGACCTGAAGGCCTCTGCACTCGGTTTAGGCTTCGCTTGCTGCTGCGGAGGTACCTTTGTCGAGATGGCAAGGTTTGGACGATGTTGACCAGAAGTATTCCTATTCTGCGCGGAAGGATTTCCGTGGTCTGAGCCAATCGATGTTCTTGGGTTGGCTTCCGATGACTTGAGCGCCTTGTTCCATTGCTTGACTTCCTCGACGGCCTGGCTAAAGTTTGACGGTGCTTTTGATATCGGCGCATCACTCCTCCGACAGCCTTGGATCCAGGAATGCCTCAAAAGCTTTTTTGCCGATACTCTGAGGTTGGGGTCCTTTTGAAAACATTGCATCAAGAAGTCACGAGCAGCCTGGACTCATCGTCAGCATGCATAATCCACAAATTTTGAAATATAGGGACTTACCGGTGATACACCTTCTGGAAGGGGAGGGTGGTCATCGTTAACAATAGCAAAAAGAGCCGGCATCGCGGCCAGGTGATGATATGGAGGCTTTCCTTGCAGGAGCTCGATAACCGTACACCCGACGCTCCAAATATCCGAGGCAGAGGTAGCACCGGACAACTGGATGATCTCGGGGGCCATCCAGTAGGGCGTCCCTACTACTTGTGCCTCCTTGTCTTGGCCTGTTAAAGTGCTGGTTGACACCCCAAAGTCTGCCAACTTGACGGTGCCGTCCTTGGTAGTCAAGATGTTGGCACCTTTGATATCTCGATGGATGACACCCTGGTCGTGTAGATACTGTAGCCCCTGGAGGACCTGGGTCATGTATACACCGACGAGATTTTCCGGAAACTTGCCGTAGGCTTTACATATCGAATGCAGCGAGCCATTCTCGCAGTATCTGTCCAATTCGTGTTAGTATCCTCAATGTCTCATCACGGCTAGTGGAAGCCACCTACTCGAGGATGATATTCAAGCAATCCGCCGATTTTACGAAGCCGATGTACTTGACGATATTGTCATGCTAGATTGAATTAGTACGTCTCTCCATCATGTTAATAGCCACCGTATTTGCTTACATGAAGGTTTTTCAAGAGATCGATTTCGGCCTACGCAATGTCAGCGAGAAGCAACCAGGAATTTCTTAGTAGTTAGCCAGCCCACTCACTTCGATCATCCGTAGCTCGCTTTTCGGTACATCGACCAGCTTGATTTGCTTGACGGCCACGGCCTCGCCGGTTCCCCAGTTGAAGGCCTTGTAGACCGATCCAAAGGCTCCTTTTCCAATGCAATCACCGAGTCGCTAGATACACACGTATGTAATCAGAGGTCAGCCATGTCTCGCAAAAAATCAACTGTGTGATATCGTTTGACTGAAAAGTCGGGTCACTGTGGCCCCATGCCGGCCCTGCTGGACAAAGAGAAATCAGACGATGCAAGCCACTGAGCATGCCGAGAGGTGCATATGTAGGCAATGTAGGTACGGGCCGGCCGCTTCGCCACGACCCTTCCGCGCCCTGGGTAGAAAGTCCTCAACCTTCTGGAATCCAAGGCCTCGCTGGCTAGGACTTCAAACCCATTCAAACACAAATATCTCCTACAAGAATCATAGCAAATCACCCATTACGGACACACACCAGGGAGAAACGGGACGGGGGGAAGGGAAAAAGAAGAAAGACGTACATAGTCCTTTAGGCCCGGATCCTGAACCGCCTTTTCTCGAGCATGGCCGCTGCCAGCCTCCCGACGCGGTGTCCCCGGCATTTTAGTAGCCACGACTGCTGCCGCCGTTGCCGCTGTTGTTGCTGCTGCCTTGCTGCCGTTCCCGCCATAGTACGAGCGACCACCACCTTCGGTTGTAGAGGAGGAGCCCGGCGGGTTCGGCGCCATGCCTGCGGCGGCCCCGTTCCGGAAGGCTTTACCGATCCAGTCAAAGATTCCCCCCACTTTTGAGATTGTATACCCTCTCTCCACAGAGGTTTAATATGTTATATGTTCCCAAGTTTTGGGTCTGCCCGTCTGTCCGTCGGTGGGCAGGTATATGTGTACACGAAGGAGGCCCGAGGGCCTGGAGAGACTCTGTTGAAGAGAGTCGAAGCTGACTTGACTAACTGGCTGCCTAGCTGGTTGGTTGTTCAAGGGTTCTTGCCGAGAGAGATTGTATAGGGGTGGATATCGACGAGGTGGTAGTCTGTTGTATCCCATTCCCAATCCCAGGGTCACCAACGGAGGGGGGGGGGGGTCCGCTTTCCAGTTGTTGATTCGCAATATGGAAACCCGGGGTGGTCGCCGGCCCCCAAGTTGTAAGTAGTAAAATGGAGTGGGCGTCGTTCGGTATAGTGGGTGCCCCGCTACGGATGTGATGCCGAACGAGATGCGCCGGAAATCTCGATGCGAAAACAAGATCGGATCTGTGTGTGGGGTACAGAAAAGAATGTTTGTGGAGGAGCGCGACGGGAAGAGGTCCGTAGACTGGAAGCTGGTGACTCGGAGTATACAACAGGTTGTGTTGGTAAATAGCGAGAATGCTTGCTTCGATACGGCCGGGGTATCGTCGGAGTCGTGTATTCTTTTCGTTTCTGCGAGACTCGCGGGTAGACGTTGACAGCGTTGAAGCGGTAGACGGAGGATGTTATTGATATATGAAGGCGCCGAGAACAAGGCCGAAGGTTCAGCGGGACAAGGCGAAGATGGTGGTGCTATTCCTTGCTGGCGCTTTGGAAGATTAAGTGTGGAGAAAGGCCAGGACAAGGGCGTTGCCGTTAGACGCCGGATGCTGGGTGCTGGAGAGCCTGGATGATGCTGGATGTTATTGTTTTTATTCAGGTGCTGGATCCGGTTGTTGTGGTGTGTCAGTCAGATCGTTCGAGATGGCGTACCGCGGGGTAAAAGTAGAGACGAAGGTACCTTGATAACCCTGTTTATTGACGAGTTCATCCGGCATCTATTAGCCAAGGTTGATGAAAAGAGAAGGAGCAAAGGAAAGAAACGAAGCTACCCCGGGGGAAAAGATGTAATGTGTAATCATATCCACGACGAAATAGGCGGACTGTTTGCGCTGCAACAACTTGACCATTCACACATCCACCACAACAGAAAGCTGGTAGAGGTAAAATGGAAGTGTTGCAAGTGGTGCTGCAGTGAAGCCCTGGATGTCTTGGACGCCTCGAAAACACTGCAACAGCTGAAAAGAGTGGATCACTGCTAGAGGTAGTGTTTGGCATATATGCGCTGGGCCTACCGTAGACTAGGCATTTTACACTAACAACGGGTCGATAGAGTGTCATCACAGAAGCACCAAAAAGAGACAAATGACAGAATCCCAGGACTGGACCTTCCCGCCCCAGGCTTTCCACGCCAATGCGACGACACTCATCTTCACTTTCACCTGCTTCCGGCGGTAGGCATTCCTATCCAGTCACGCAGTGCATCCAATGCAACTTCATAAAGCTTGCATGAAGTTTAGCAACAGATCAATTCCAACGTGCATGCAGCAGCTGCTGTGGTGCGGAGGTACAGCTCCTATAGACGCCATTTCTAACATGCCTCTTCTACCTAGGTAGACACAGCATCTTATCAACATCAACATTCCAGATTTTGACCGGTAAGTCTAGAGGAGCTTTCTGCTTCCTTCATATCCCTCCACCGCTAGTACGTCTTTAAAGCTTTACACATGGCACCTGTGTAAAATCATCATTGGGTCCAAGCTCTTTCTTTGTGTTTCAGAGTGGAACCTCCGCCCATGTTTTATCCTCTTCGGTACCATCTATCTCGTCGAGATCGTCTCTATCTCAGACATTTCATTACCGACCAGAAGATTGCTTGATACTGTAGATACCGGCCCGATGAATCTGGAACACTACCTGACGCAACCTGTACAGGTAACCGCAAGTGATAAAACCTCATGCATCATCATTCTTTGACATAAAGAGTCAATCATTACCATTCATTAACTTAGTATCCCTCGGCCGCTCCAGCTCCCGATTTTGTCTTTCTTTTCCTTCCCCGGTTCGTTGGAAGCTTCGCCTGATATGTACCGGGCAATCGTATAATACATCAGCGCAGCGCTGGCAACTCTCAGTCATACTATGTTTTAGCAGAGTCCTCTTATGAGGAAACTCCTTTTTCGTCATGTCTGACGGAATCAAATAATGAACCATGCTCAGGCGTAGGTCGATGGAAAGGACGAAAGAATCGAACGAGAAGAAAATAGACCCAGATAGACCACAACGCCATTCACCGTATGCGCCCAAAAACAGGGGGAAAAAAAAGACCCGAAAAATATCGGGAACCAAGTGTGCACCACTAACTGCACGAGCAAGTTTTGCTCTTGAGAGCAAATGCCACGAGTTCAAAACATCCGCACAGGCACTGAAGTAGTTCCGAGCTCAGTTTCCAGATGCTCGTGAAAGCATCCGGCTAAGCCCAGCCTCAGCCCACCACTCATCAGGGACATCATTGCGCGTGGCAAGGTTGCGCACGATGCGCTGCAGGCCTCCCATACCACCCAAGATCTCCAGAGAATCATCACTGCTATCACTGCTGCGGGTAACATCCGCATACGACCGTCGAATGCTGTTCAAGCTAGGGGGGAAACGAGTAAGCGGGTTCACGTCCGGCTCGTCCTCCTCATCACCTTCCGTGTCGGAATTCTCACTTTCCGACTCACACAGCTCTACTACTTCCACAGCTTCTACGGGCGCATCCGGGACAGTGACAGAAGTCCCGACAGAGGGTGCCGCTGCATTTTGCGAGGCAACCGCAGATGCCGATGCGGAAGCGAACGAGGAGCCAGAGCTGGGTGTTAGTGGATCTGGCGTCAGGGTGGTCGTGATAAGGTCCCACACATGGTCGCCCTCGGGACTGAGGCTCCGGTTGCGATCTCCCAAACCATCCAGTTGCGGCGGCTCAACAGACGGTGCCTGCTCACCTCGGCGGCGACCAGAAATTGGGCCAGGTCTTGGATAAGGGTTTCCCCACGTGCCGTACAAAGACGAGGCCCGGTCCGCGATCCGATCCCTGATGCGACGCAAAGCTGCGCGGTCTCGAATCTGCTAATTGTCAGTTGGCGGTGTTCAGTTGACTCGGACGGTGAGTGGGAAGGAAAGGTGAGCGCATACCGGGGGAGGTGGACCCCGATTCATCTGAGACGATGTACGAGGTTCTACGGGCGGCGGTGGCGGCGGCGGCACTCTACGATATAGAAAGCCAGGTTCAACGGCCATTTGCCCAAGGTATGGGTCCGCCGCCCTCATAGGCGCGAGGAAAGGATTAGGCTCGTTATCCTCATCGTCGGTGAGGGCGCCGGGGTACTGGGACATGGGATGCAGGTGAGCCAACCGCCTGCCAAACAAGGCAATGACCTGGTCATCGAGCATACCACCTAAACGACTAGCTCCGTCGAGCGCAGTGTCGCGACTAGGTTCCGCATTGTCGGGCGCATTGTTGCTATTGCTGTTGCTGTCGCTGCTGGAGCCGCTTGATGGTTCGGCCGGATGGGATTGGCGTCTGGAGTTTTCATAGTTGTAACTCGCAGCAGCAGCAGCATTGCCACTGTTAATGGCAGCAGTGATGGCGAGGCGACGTCGGCGTTGCTGCACCCGTTCAGAATTTTGGAGGCGGCTGCGTCTAATGGAGGATCGAGCTTCGGCAGAGCTCTTGTCCGCGGCCGACTTCGATTGGATGTCGGACTCGACGGGCGCTTGGTACAATCTGATTGGGAGGACGTGGCAGGTCAGCGCAAGCCTACAAAGTAGAATAGGGGAATGCGACTGGGTCGATTACCCTGACGGGGGCGCATCATCGGGTTGATGAAAAGCACCATCTCGAGCATGTGCGAGAGATGAAAGTGACGAAATCGTGGTGGATACAGGATGGCAAAGGAGGATAAGCGCGAACGCGAAACGCCTTGACGCGGTGTTCTTACCGGAGACCCATGGTGTTTGCTTTGAGGCGCGATGTCGCGACAGACGGACCGCTTGGGATTTAGCGATAGAGCGACGCTGGAAGCAAGGGAAGATAATAACGGGCGTGACGGGTTGAGTAAGCGAGAACTTGTTGGTGATGGCGGGGGCTCGTCAATGGATAGGTAAGGAATTTTGATGTTGCGATGAAAGAATGCGCCCCGGCCTCCGTCTGTTCTGGAATCCTTGCCGAGATGGCGGTCGTGGGGTTTGCGCTGCGGAAAGCGGATAGCGGATATCTGATTCAGTCTGGTTTGGTTTGATCGGAACGAGCGAAGGGGCGACGGGATTGCAGGTGTCCAGGGGGATTGGGGTTTTGTGACAGCCGCAGGGCGGGAGAGATGAAAGCGGCTGGGCGGGTCTTTCCATCTCCAGGTTGCAACATGCCCCATTGCAATAGGGCTTAGTGCGCTGAGGGCATTTAGGGTTAAATGCATGCTATCAATTGAATATGCAATTATCCGGTTTCCCCGCCCTCAAATTTCGCCCAAGCTTCACACACCAGAAAAAGAATCAAAGTCTCCTAATCCACTCAGTCAGGATAAATGAATCAAGGGTCTTCCTTGCCCCACGCAGATCGACTTTATGCGCCCCGCCATAAGCATCCGCCGATAGCGGGCCAGTGTCCACAGCTTCTGGCTCTTCTTGGAGTTCTTCTGGTGACTCTGAGTCTCTGTAGAGGTAATGAGGGTTGTTGCATGTTAGTGAGTTCATCACCAGTTCACCCAAACATCGCTATGATCGATCTCGGACTGGCCCGCATCGGGCATCTTCTTAGGCACACGCCGCAGACCTGGAAGGCCATCCACGTTGCTGGCACCAACGGCAAAGGCTCAATATGCGCCTATCTCTCAGCCATGCTCAATGCCAGCGGCGTCTCTTGTGCAAGGTTCACCTCACCCCATCTCATCGATCGCTGGGACTGTATCACCATCAACGAGAAGCCGGTCCCTGAAACGATATTCCGTCAGGTCGAGGGCTTGGTCAAGCAGCGGGACCAGGACGAGAAGATCGGGGCCACCGAGTTTGAGCTCCTCGCTGCAACCGCCTTTGAGATCTTCCACCGTCTAAAGGTTGAGTATGGCGTAATCGAAGTTGGTCTCGGCGGGAAGCTGGACGCAACCAACATCATGGAGCACAAATCCGTTACCGTCATCGCGAAAATTGGTCTTGATCACCAGTCCTTCCTAGGAAATACCATCGAGGAGATTGCACTGCAGAAGGCAGGCATCATCCGCTCTGGCGTTCCCTGTGTCATTGATGACAGCAACGAGTCCTCGGTCCTGAGAGTCATCCAAGACCACGCGAAGGAGGTCGGGAGCCTAGAGCTGCATTATCCCTCGTCGGATTCGGCCCTGGTCCAGGTTCTCACCGAAGAAGGCTACGAGCTGCATCAAGTCCAGAACCTGGCGTGCGCCTTCTTGGCCTTCCGCTTGGCTTGTCCGGACCTTGACCACTCGATGAGCCGTCTCCTCCCTATCGTTAAGCAGCTGCAGTGGCCCGGTCGTCTGCAAAGGATCGATCTCTTTCCGATCATCGGGAGACATCAAGAGGCTCTGTTGGACGGAGCTCACAATAGCCAGTCAGCCGAAGTTTTGGCTGAGTATGTCAACAAGCACTATCGCTCGCGGAGTCAACAAATCACCTGGGTGCTGGCCGCTTCCAAGGGCAAAGATGTGGACAGTATCATGTCACATAACGTCCAGCCGAGTGATCAAGTCACGGCCGTGCAGTTTGGGCCAGTTGATGGAATGCCGTGGGTTAAAGCTGAGGACCCTGTCAACTTGATCAATCAGGCAATCCGTTATGGCGTCGATACTCAGAACACGCACAACTCGGGAGATGATGTGCGAGCTGCCCTGGAGTGGGCGTCCAAGGCGGCGGGAGACAGCCCGATTGTCATTGCGGGAAGTTTGTATCTGGTCTCCAGCGTTCTACGGCTTATGCGAGAGGCCGAGTCTCAAAAAGTATGAGGCATGGACAACTGGAAAAGAAAAAGTTTGGATAAAGGAAAATTTTGGAATCGTGGCCCGTGGAGTGGTTTTGTTGTGATTGAAAAGGGGCTCACTTAAATCCCCCTGAATAAATCTTGGCCAATGTTTTCAGACCACCATTTTCTCCATCACTCTCTTTACCTTGCCATATCCGCTGCCTCTGCCCCAAGTCAAAGCTAGAATCACATGATCACTCATATATCAGAAAAAAAGCGGTCACCCGCCAGCAGCAGATCCATCTCTTCCACAATCTCACACTCGCCATCACCATCCCCATCACCAATCAACATGCCATCACCACCACCACTACCAAACCACCTCATCATCGTCTGCGGACACGCTATCTGGCTAGACGGCCCAGCAAACGGTTGGGACGAATCCGAATGGCTCATTGAGCCCTACAAGAAGGGTGAAACGCCCACGTTTATTGCCCACATCAAAGCAGGCGTGGAAGAACTAGCCAAAGATGACCGCGCGGTGTTGATGTTTTCCGGGTTCGTCACCCAACTTTTGACCTCTATCTACATATGGCTAACCACCACAACAAAGTGGCCCAACCCGGCCCGAAACCCCCCTCTCCGAAGCCCAAAGTTACTACAACCTAGCTCTTGCCAACTCCTTTTTCGGTCTCTCACCTGCTTCTTCCCCCTCTACTACTGCTGCTGCCTGCTCCTTCACAGACCGCATCCACCTAGAAGAACGCGCCCTAGACTCGTACTACAACATCCTCTTCTCCCTGATCCACTACTGGCGCGTCGTACACCCTCAGCACGCCTGGCCGGAGCGCATCACCATCGTCAGCCACACCTTCAAGCGGAACCGGCTGGTGGACGGCCACTGCGCCGCTATTTTCGGTCTTGATCCTTCGTCGTCGGTACTGGAAGAAAGGGTGAGGTTTGTGGGAATTAATCCGCCTGGTGTCGATGCGGTCGGGGGAGTTGCTGAAAGGGATGGGGATGGGGGGTCTTCTGACGTGAAGAAGAAGGAGGAAGCTATGCAAGGGGTGCAGTTGGCTTTGGGGCAGTGGGCTGAGGATCCGCATGGGGTTGGGGAGGAACTGGCTGGGAAGAGGAGGGCGAGGAATTGTTGGGGCGTGGAGCAGCGGCTGTTCTTTAGTGAGGAGGAGAGGAAGATGAGTGCAGTTGAGACGAGGATTTTGGAGGATGGGAGTGAAGTGTTGGTTGATGGAGAGAAGCCGAGGCCTTGGGCTATTTAGGTGAGAGATAGTGTGTATGTTTGTGCTTGTTATTGTTTGTGTGGTCAATTAAGGTATCCCAGTCTGTGGGAATTGTAAATCTAGAGGTGGTGACTGGACGTCTAGTGAGTGAGTGCTGTGAATGACCGAATATTCAAATCTTCGACTTCCCATTCCTTGCTTGAGCAGCTATATCCGCATCAGCGCCCTTGACAACCTCCCTTACCCACTCAACGGCGTCCTTGACCATGCCTACGCTGAAGGTGTGTCCTACTCCCGCATAAGTCCTCTCATCCACCGAGATCCTCGCCTCTTTGTACTTGTCCGCGGCCTCTTTGAACCACTTTGTGAATGCCTCACCGCATCGAGGGGGCACGAGCTTATCTTCTGCGCCATTGCAGAGAAGGAACTGCTTCCCCTGAAGACGTTCAATAAGAATCTGCCGTCTTTGACTTTCCTCTTCGTCTGCTGAGCTGGGAGAGGAAGAGCCCGAGGATGAGGACGAGGGAATGGGAGAAGTGTCAAACAGGATTCCCTTCGGGTCCGTCCTGCAAGTGGCCGCGACCAAGGAAGGAGGGAAGTCCTTGCTCCCCAGGAAGGTAGCGGCGCCGGTATCGGCAGAGTAAGTCGATAGCTTTGAGAGACGGGCGCGGTCGGTGATGAGGTCTATGTATCAGACGGTTAATTATTTGCTAGGTAGGTAATTCAAAACGCAAAAGAAGTAAGAAGCATAACTCACTCATATAATCGGGACACCCAATAACCGCCACGCCAGCGCGCACTCTCGGGTCCGCAAACATAAGCTGCCACACGCTGTGTCCGCCCAGCGAGACGCCCAGAGCAAGGTGGTGGTCAATCACCTTTCTCTGCTTCCCTTCCTCTCCGCTTTCATGAAAGAGATATGACTCCACGACGTCCCTAAATCGATACCATCAGTCACACAATCCTCCCTGCTTCCCTCTGAAGTGTATCAAAAACTCACAACAAAACCCTCTGATCCCCAACCATCCCCACAATCCCCCCCAACATATCCTGCGCATGTGTCTTATTCCCTTCCCTCCACGCTCCGTTCGCCGGATCATGCACCAGTCTCGTCCCGTGGTTTCGTTGGTCGTAGGCAAGTGCGATTAACCCCCTTTCACCCTTCTCACTTGAGGTACCGTTGAGTTCGTTCCAAGCACCAACACACCGCGCCGCAATCTCCTTCATGTGCTCCTTGTTCCGCGTCCGCTGGTGGTGTAGCCACAAACACGAAACGCGAGTGACGCTGGCGGGAAGCTCGTCGAGGCCGTAGACGTCGACGAGAACGCCGGCCATCGGGATGGTTTTGAGGGAGATGGGGGCGACGGGAGGCAGGCCGTCGGTGGAGATGCCGCCGGAGTTGGAGGCGGTTTGGACAACCATTGTTGCGGTGGTTGGTATGGCTGTTCCTCTGATCTTGGAAGTTGAATATGTAAGTTCGGATCAGGGGCGATTTGTTGTTGTTGTTGTTGTTGTTGTTGTTGACAGGGAAGGAGACGTTGCACGGTCCTGGCGGGATATCGGACGGGCGGATGGACGGAGCTGAAGATGATTGAGGGGAAGGAGAGGATGAAAGGTTGAGGTGGGATTATAAACACAATGTGAGAGGGGAGATGTTATGAAGGAGAGATTAACAGATTAAGACCACTTTGAAACATGAAAGTGAAGATCAGTTTGACAATTCGGTGGCGATGAACCGAGGCACCGGGACGCTAGCGGAGGGAGTGCGGGCGGGAGGTCGTGCTTACCCCACCTAAACGGCACCGGTACGGCCCACGGGAGGGGCTTTACAGGCGGGGTCGGAGAACCTCTTTGGGCTCCCCTTACCTTGGTGTTCTTCTGCCGCATCATCCGCTGCAGGAATGATTACGATGGTAGTTATCGGATATCAAGCGATGAACTATAGGTACTCAGGGTCTGTATGTAATTTTGCAGTTCGTTTTGAAAAACAGTGCCATCTTCGGGAAGTGTTTAGTCGTACTTATGTCAGTTTGGCACGATGACAGCAACTTGAGTCTGGACTTGGTCATTGATTGATCTGTGGGAACTCACTTGCCAATTTGAAGAAGATCTTGAGGACGTTTCGAAGGCTACCATGATGAATACGCATGAACATGCCCAGTTCATCCAATCCCGATAAGACCGGCGAACGGGACCGGTCCAGACACAAACGAAGCGGGGCCCACCCGGCGCTGGCCCCGCTTTAATTCGGGGTATGCTACGGTCTTCCGGCCGAATTGTAAGCGCTCCGCGTTCCGTAATCAGCGTTGCTTCCCCCCCAGCCAGCCGCAGATAGGCATCTAGGCAACAGTAGGCAGCCACGGGCTTCAGAGTCGTAGTTCTTCTTCATCACTGTTTGTTGAAGGTTCAATGATTATGAATCATCCTCAACAACTTCTCTCCAACATCAATGGTTCTATAAAATGTTTTAAAGATTGCTGAAAGCATGCAACTCCGTAGACTTCGTCCACTCCAAGTCCTGAACAACCATCAAGTATACACCAGTTAAAATGGACACCTTCCACGATGACCCGCTCGTCCAAGCCGTCACGGCCTACGTAAAAGACTACATGAGCAACTACGACGCGTCCCATGACTGGAGCCACATCGAGCGTGTCGTCGGTCTTTCGCACTACATCTACGCTAAGTCCGCCAACAAGGACTCACTCAATCTTCGCACCATCCACCTTGCAGCCCTTTTACACGACGTCGGTGATAAGAAGTCAGTTCCATATATACCGCCCGTTCTTCCTCACTCATTCTCACATGTCTTGAGCGTCACCCAAACCTTCAACCCGTCTAGTCCAGTCTTGAACTCTCTCATCTTTCAGTCAACATCCCTCCACCCCGACCCTCATCTCACCCTCATACCTACCCTCGCTAACACAACTCAACATTATCCAGATACACCAAAGAAAACGAAGACCCCACAACCCTCATCCAAGCCCTCCTCCTCTCCTTCTCCTGCCCCTCAGACCTAGCCTCCAAAATCCAAACCATCTGCCTCAACGTCTCCTACAGCACCGAGACCAAGAACCCCGCCAACCCGGGCTTCATCACCTCTCTGATCCAGGAGCACCCAGAGCTAGCGGTGGTGCAGGACGCAGACAGGCTGGACGCCGTCGGCGCGGTGGGACTGGGACGCATGTTTACGTTCGGCGGAGCGAAGACGGGGAGGGACATGGCGGGCAGCATGGAGCATGTGGATGAGAAGCTGGTGAGGCTGGTGGACTTGGCGAAGACGGATGTGGGGAGGGAGCTGATGAGGGAGAGGACGGAGCGGTTGGGGGTGTTTCAGGGGTGGTGGGAGGAGGAGGTTGGGTTTGCGAAGGGCGAGGGGCTTTGAGAAGGGAGATGGAGTGATTGAGATGTTTTAGATGACGAATAGACAGTCTGCTGATGATAGGATCTTTGAAAATGCATGTCACAAGTTCTTTTTATTACTGGATGTGCTACCTCTATGCTGTCCGCTTTTCTTTGTATACCTTAGTACCGATAGACTGCGTGCGAGTGACACTTTCATCATGCTGGCTTTACATCTGCCACTCCGTCGCCTTACCAGACCAGACATATACGCATCAGGTTATCTCAGCTGATTGTGTCAGTCAACGAAAGAATGACTGAAGAGCTTGGGCAACGTGGGCTGCACCAGAAGCAAAAGCAGCATACCTACCACCCTCTAAAAGATCTCTTTCTGATATCAAGGACTGGCTGGGGCGGCTGAGGCCCGCTTGACCATCGTTTGCGATGTTTCCGAGTGAGGCAAATCGGGATGACTCGTCGGTTGCCGTATTAGCTGAAACACTCGAGCAAAGGGTTGCCTCCAGCCTGGTTAAGTGACCTGCGCTGCATCTTTCCTCCGTTCCCAAATGGCCTGAAATGACTTTGTTCCAAAAGAATAACGCCTTAGCGCCGCCGTAAAATGTTGGTATCGTTTTCCGTCAAAGTGAAACCCAACTGTAAAACACCAATTGAATGAACCTGAAGCTTGAAGCCGTGAATGTCATGTTCGCTTCGGCGATGTGTCCCAGCTGCTATGTTGTCGTGCCTTTTCTCAAGCTACTCTCATCGTACACCAGTCTACTTCACCTCTTGTCGGCACCCGGAGGCCCTTGACCAGGGGCACCAAAAGGGGGCATACCGGGGAACCCACCTGGCGCACCGGGAGGAGGGAACGGGAAGTTGCCTGCTCCAGGCGGGGGAAAGGCGAGACCTCCAGGGGGTGGGAATGGCAGACCACCGGAACCGGGCATCGGAGGTGGTACGCCAGGCATACCAGCAGGAGGCATACCGGGGAAAGGAGGCATTGAAGGCATTCCACGAGCTCCTGGCGCTCCCGGAGGCATAACGCCTGGCGCGGCCTGGGGGCACCAAAGGCTCCAGGAGGGGGCACTGCGGGCATGCCTGGGAACGGAGGGGGCATGCCGCCAGGGAAAGGCGGGAAGGGGGGAATGCCAGCGCCCGGGGGCGGGAAGACACCGAGACCGGGAGGAATTCCGCCGGGTTGGTTCTGAGGAAGCATGGGGTTGGCGTGGGCTTGGCCTTCGGCGGCGTACGAGGAGGTGATCGAATCGATAACGGATTGGGCCTTCTCGTGACCGATTTCTGGAAAACAAAAGCGCGTTAGTAATGCGGTGAAGTCGGCAATGGTGGATTGGGGGTTGGTAGTTCCATACGTTGGTAGTAGTCAACAACGTTTCGTAGATGGTTACGACCGCTGTTGTGCGCCTTGCGGACGCTCATGGAATCGTGTGTGAGGTACACATCGCAGTAATCGCAAAAGACTGTACAAGATGTTGTTAGTATCGAGTTGAAGATTAGCGTTGCAAGCTTTACTTACATTTCGGCATTTTGAAAGTATGCGATTGCAAATTACTCTAAATCAAAAGTATTCGAAATCGTTGGTGTTGCCCTCGTGGATGATTGTGGGTTGGATGGCAACAAATGATGCGGCGCGCGACAACGACGAAGACAAAAGAAGGTTTGCAAGGCTGAAGAAGCACTGGGACACACTGCACTGGAACGCGATGACCAAAGCGGGACCAGGTTGGCCCTTGAGGTTCTTGGCAACAGTGGACCCCCCAAGGCTTCCCCAAAAAAGCTCCCCTGAATGCGATTTGTGGTTGCTGATTGGCGGGGTGGGGCACACCTGTCAACCGTGTGGACATGCTCCAGACCTGGTGTCCCAGCTGTCCTTGCCTGCCCAAGGAGAAGCCGCCAGATTTCCCCTAGATCCAAGTCGCGGAGCTTCCCATCAATCAATACAGCCCACTACGACACGACCAGGCCATTGCATAGCTTAACTGGACGGCGTTGACATCTCGACGACATTTCGTACTTCTCACCGGCCACCGCCAAACCCCCGTTAATACCCCGTCACACAGCAACCATGGCATCCATAAAGTCGCTGCTGAGCGGGTTCCTGCTGCTCGCCGGCGCTGCGCAAGCTCTCAAGTTCGATCTCGAGGCCACCTCTTCATACCACGGCAACCAGCGACGATGCATACGGAACTTTGTCAACAGGGATACGTTGGTGGTTGTAACGGCTACGCTTGATGGATACAAGGGCGATGGCATGAACGTCAACATGCACGTAGGTGCTCTCCCTCCTGGGTGGTGGTGCAAGTTAAAGGGGCTAGGGGATGGGTGATAGGGCGGTCAATTACACGGACGAACCTGACTTTGGACGCGACACAGATCTCCGATAGCCATGGAAACGAGTACGGCAAGGCCAAGGATATCGCTGGCGAGCAGCGCATTGTCTTCACCTCGCATCACGACGCGGCTTTCGACGTGTGCTTTGAGAACTACCTTACTGGCTGTACGTACAACCCCTGGCCATGACAACAACAGGGCAAACACCATACAGAGGATCGGATGGAATACTGACAAGATTGCGATGGTTAGCCAAGTATGTCGAGAACCCCCGCCGTCACGTCGAGCTCGATATCGATATTGGTGCCGATGCCAAGGACTGGTCCGCTATCCAGGCCACCGAGAAGCTTAAGCCACTCGAAACCGATCTGCGCCGTATCGAGGAGATGGTCGGCGAGGTTGTTAGCGAGATGGACTACTTGCGTGCTCGTGAGCAGAAGCTCCGTGATACCAACGAGAGCACCAACAACCGTGTCAAGTGGTTCGGCATGGCCACTACTTTCCTCCTCATTGCTCTTTGGGGGTGGCAGATTATGTACCTCAGGGCATACTTCAGGTTTGTTCTACCTCTCAAGATCCTGAACTGGCTTTTTGAAGGTCTCCGCGACTAACAAATTTGTGTCACTAGATCCAAGCATCTTATTTAATGGGTTGGGCGCGACCTACAATGGCGACCCACAACTGCCACTGTCCAAACCACCTTACTATTTATACGGCTTTTATGGTAACGACGGGCGGGAGGTTTTATGAACTCTTTACTACACGCAACGCAGGCGAGCGAATGGGATACAATAGGTTGGAGATCTCGGGTGTAACTATATACGGTAATGTGTTTCGGCCAAAAAGCTATGGAGTGAAAAGGAGAATTGACTGCATGCTGAATAAGCCGTCTAATTCGAGGTTCAAGAATAGTTGGAACGCAGTGTTCGTGAAGTGTGCTTGATGCATTGCCACGACAAATCGCATCCCAAAGGTGTATGGTAATGAGTTGAGATATCAACATCTCACAAGATACATAATGGAGACGGTGGCGATGTCATGAATGGATATGAACCGGAACCGGCCTGCCCCGGCAACAATTTTTCGGCCTCGGCCCCCGTGCATTGTATGATGACTAGGTTGCCAAGCCCGCCGAACTAGTGTAAGGGACGGGGTATTGTAGCGTCTGTAAATCGGCCCCGAACGGAATCCTACAACAATCCCCAATCCGTCACTTCGACATCCTCATTTATAAGCCGGAGCAGTCTAGTTCGCGTAACGGCACACTCTCCACATCCGCCCCATCCGAGCGATTTATACACCTCTATCCGTCTCTCCCCGGTTACGGTTCATCCATCCTCGATTGTTCAAACAAACAAACAACCCGCAACCACGATGGCTTCCTCTCTTCGCGCCCTCCGGCCCGCGGCCGCCACCTTTGCGCGCGCCTCTGCCGCCGTGCGCCCCGCCACCTCTGTCGCCAGCAGATACATCATTGCCTTTTCGCGATCGGCCAGCAACGACAGCACGGACAGCCAGCAAAAGAGGGATCTCGACGTCGGTGAACTGCAAGGCGCTACTTTCAAGATCGAGCCGCTCCGGAGAGTCGGCGAGGACCCGGCCACCATGCGGGCGCGTCTTCTTTGTACGTCCTTTCCTGCTCTACCATACCTATCCTTTCACTTTCTTCAACAACAACAACAACCATCAATCGAAACAACAGCCAACTAACCCTCTCTCAAAAAACAGACCAATCCCGCAAGCGCGGCACCCTCGAATCGGACCTCATCCTCTCCACCTTCGCCCAGTCCCACCTGCAATCCATGACTCCGGAGCAGCTCAAGCAATACGACCTCTTCCTCGACGAAAATGACTGGGACATTTACTACTGGGCCACGCAGGAACCCCCCTTGCCGGGCCAGGAGAACCAGCACTTGCAGAACAGCGAGGCCCTTTCAGAGAAGGAGCAGTTGCCGCCCAACCCGCGCTCGGGCGAGTGGGCGCAGACGATCGGCACGTTCAAGCCTGCCTACAGACCGGTGCCCGCGCGGTGGAAGGGGAGCGAGATTTTGGAGCTGTTGAGGCAGCATGTTAAGGATAAGGGCATGGGGAGGAAGGGCGGGATGGCGTTTATGCCTAGGTTGGAGGAGTATAAGTGAATGGTCAGGAGATGGGAGGAGGCCATATGGGGGGGGCAGGGTGAGGTTTAGGAGGCTCATGGTCGTGAACTTGGGCATCTGGAGAGACAAGAGTTAGCAGACTGTGGATTTCGGATCTCGAAGAAGAAGCGCGACATACCCTTCTTCTTGTTGATGGTGTTCATGATGTAGAGGTGAATGCTGAGGATGATGACATTGCTGAGCGCGTAAAGAGCGCGGCAGAGGTTGAGAACGTTGGGATCCTCGAAGGGGATCTTCTTGGCGACCTGCATCATACCAAGGATGATGACCAGGTTGGTGCTGCACGCATCATGTTAGCATCTGGAATGCGTCTCCGGATCGCTGTCTCGAGGCTGGACCTGGACCTGGACCTGGATGAGGCTGGGTTAATCTAGTCAGATGTTCGTGAGACGAGCTGAGCCAGCTACCCGGCAAATGAGGATGACGAAGAGGATGGGAACTGTTGTACGATATTGTATTTCAGTACGATTGTGTGCCAACAAATGGGCCAAAAAGACAGACAGGGTACATATTGGATACGTGGTTGGATGAGCATATTGAAACAGTGGGAAGGTGGTTATCAGGCTTTTGGGTTAGATGTCTGGGTTCTGGCTCAGGAGAGATGGGTTGGCCTTATGGTAACGACGTTGCTCGGCCTTTACTCTCTCCCTCTATCAGTTTATGGGCTCCAGTAACATATTAAATGCTAAAACATGTACAGCACAGTGAATGATGCTGAATTGGGGCCAAGGATGAAGCCGCTGAAAGCAAAACACGGAACAGTCTCCCTGGACTGTCCAAATGGTGGTTCTGATGTACTACATAGAAAAGACATGATATGATGTTGGACACAATGCCATTGGACCAGTGAATGCTGGCCTCAGAACAGAGTCACACGCCCGAGAACGCTCTCAATTTAATGCTCCTTCGCCTTCCGACCTGAATGCCAAAACTGCAAGCCCATGGTACACTATACGTACTTGAACGCCGTCGCATATGCTTTCAAACAAGAACCCCCCGCCCCTTGCCGCCCAGTCACGGTCTTGCCCTAAACCCTTGGTCCTATGAACAAGAGCACAAAGAATCAACCAAGGGTATCCGCACAACCATCGGAACTTTCAGTCATGTTTCCTCTGCTCTCTACAACCGAACCGGACTTAGCCCCCCTCAGCAGGTAATATCCTCCCCAAACTCCTCAACACCTCAATAGTCGGCAAATCCCTCGTCCCGACCTTACCCTTCTCCCTCTCCTCGCGCTCCTTCAGCCGTGCCGCGCTCAGCGCAAGCACTCGATCCGCCTCCCGGCCCGCCGTCGACACACGCATGTCCAGCTTGTGCACGCTGTCGGCCAGGTGGTCGATCTTGAACTCGAGCGAGGACTGCACGTTCTGCAGGCGCGACCGCGTCCGGCGCCGGAAGGAGCTGAAGACCGTGTCGGATTCGGTCAAGGAGGCGAGGATTTTGGCTTCTTCGGTGTCGAGAAGGAACGGTTCCGGTAGTGGTGCCTTTGTGGGGTCGGGGTCGGGGTAGAGCGGTTCGAGGTCTGGGAGAGTTTTGGCGAGGGCTTGCCAGGCCTTTTTCTCTTCTTTTAGCCTGTTGTGGGGGGTTGTTTGTTAGTTAAGAAGTTGGTAACGGGCGGAAAAAAGTGAGGGAAGCTCATTCATACCTCTTAATCTTCGTTTCCAGTTCGGCAATCTTGGCGTCGTGCTCGAGATTTCGCGGGTTCGGTTGTAGCACCACTGGCGGCTTCGGCGCTTCCTCCCTGGCAAACCAATCCGAGAATTCTGACCTCGCTCCAAAGTCCTTGAGCAATTGGTCTTGTATCGCCCGCGCTGTGATTGTGTACCGTTAGCATCATGCCCCACGCGCTCGCTCGGCTTTCAAATCTTCTTCCGCTGCTCCTTACCTCCAAGAATTGCACTGGACCCATGACTACCATGCGGTGGCTTCTCACTAAGAGCCCTTTCACCGCACCACGTCAAAAGCTGCCTCATCCGCCTTGGCTCGCTCAGCCCCTCAGCTTCGATATGTTTGTAGAACTCGGACGGGTCGACCTCGCGATGCGGTATCGCACTATGTCCGTTCTCGATCAAGGAACTGGCTCGTCGCCCTCTCATCCCTAAGCTGCTTCGCCGACTACCACCAGCACCGCCCTTTTTCCTCATCTCTTTGTTCCGGTTGATGATTGGCGTGTCGCTGAGTGGTAGTACGATTTGCTGTGGCTCGTTGGAGCTCCCTCGCCCTGTTCCTTTTCGGCCCTTAGTCCTCGCATCCGGTCTATCGTCGATGTCCATTGGCGTCGCGCCCACGAGATTCGGCCCGTCACCATCGTCCTCGTCCTCGTCCTCCTCTTCGGGTACCGCGCGCATGCCGTTTACTGGTCGCGGTGCCTTATTCTCCTTCTGTTGTTTTGGTGGGCGGCCTTTCCTCCGACCTCTCGGTTTGGGAGCAGCATCCTCTTCATTGTCGGCTGGTGACGCTGAAGGTGCAGGCGCGGGTGCTGGCGGGGCAGCAGCACCATTTGATTTTCGTTTCGACGTCCTCCTCGGTATCGGTCCGGAAATTTGCTGCTGTAGTACAGCTGGTGGTGGCGGAGGCGACTGCTCTTGCACAGGGGATGATGCGTGCTTCCTTGCGCTGTTCTTTGGTGGTCTCCCGGCGGGCTTCTTCGCGGGCACCGATATCGGCACTGGTTCGTTCTCGGGCTCCTCTATCGTGGATGCTGGAGCTATCGATGTGGTTCTGGCTCTCTTGGAACCGCGCGTGAATAGGAAGTCGCCATCTTGCTCGTCATATACTGCCTCGGCTGCGTCACGTTTTCAGGATCCTATCAGCTTCAGGTGTCTGGGTCGCCTAGAAGCGCCGAACAAGCGAATAATGGCATTGAATTGAAGGATGGATTGCAGCTTACCCGCAAGGCGTTTGCTGCGCCTCTGGTTACTGCTCATGCTCAGGATTTGTAGCGGCTGACGGGTCCGTACGACAGTCGTCATGGATGGCGGGTTTTAGAGTACATGAACTCGAATAATTCGGAGCTGGAGAGAAGACTGGGAGGTTAAAAAGGTCGTCGCTGGTTTCGCAGGTTCTATCGTAATTTGGGCGGTGGTGACGCTAATTTGTAATGGTGATGTTGACGTTGGGTTGCGACCGGGCCAAACCGACGTGAGCGGAGCGCGTCTCCTCCTCCCCAACTTGGGTGTGACACTCGAAGAATTGGTGTCAAATGGCGATCTGACTGAACCAGGGGGCCTGGGCGGCGGCCGGGTGGGCAAGCGAAGCGGGCACGGAGCACGGTGTCACGGACGCGTCGATTCGGGGGGGCTTTGGCTTTGGCTTTGGAAACTGGGGAGCAGTTGGACCGGTCGGGCAGGTATGTTGTCGCGATACGGGGATGCTTGTATGGAGATCGGGCGTCGTCAAAAATGACTGTAATCGGGTATATCGTCTAAGGTATGCCGGTATTGTGCAAATTGGTCGTATCGTCGTACCGTCGTCCTAGGGCCTTCAGTCTTGTCGCTGTGCCGCAAAGTTTCGCAGGTCTGAATGTGTTCTTGGGCGTCCGGGCGCGACCGAAGTTGCGACCCTTTCGGTTGGTTTGTTTATCGCGGGCAGGCTGTTCCAAGGAACGCTCGGACCACATCCCGCATAGTTTATCCCACGCAGTGGATTGTTTCTTCACTGCTACCCCACATTCTGCGAGGCTGACACATTTGACAACTCATTCATTCTCCAGCTTCATTGGGGCGATATCATTGGCTTAAATCCATCACCAACTCCGAGCAGTTAAACCGCCTGATGATGGCCTGCACTGTGCCCCTGCCGCCTGCGAGATGATGCTATCGCCGTCCGACTTCCGCTCCTTCCGTGTTCAAACTCCAGCTCAAGAAAGAATGTGCATCGATAAATACCGTTAACTTCCTACGACTTCTGTATCTGACATTCCTTTCTTCCATTGTTCGCTAGATCGCACACTCAATTCACTTTTGCCTTTGTTAAAATGATGGGTCCATCTTGCATCATGTATCTATCTGTCCGCTGCATAGTTCTCACCCATGCAACTCCTCCATTTCTCGAATGATAATACGGACGAACGGCAAGTGTCGCCCCTACAGATTTTTGCAAGAGCTACCTGCCGTGTTCCCAGCGAGCAATTCTCCTTGTGCTGCCCCGGGCATGACCGACCCAAGCGAGGAATACTGTCGTCCTGTCGTACCTGGCCTTTCGTCCCCAGGTTGTGCAATGTGCTTCAAACAGCGTCCGTACGCTTGACGTATCAATGGGACGGACTCCCGTCGATCATCTTAACCCGCTGGACGACCTCAGATGGCCCCTCCGTTACTCACCCCGATGATGCCTTTCGCCGCACATTCAGTTTGTGAAGCAGTTATTCGTACGGTTTCATTACCGCCATCACCAGCGCAAGTCTTCTCAAGGTTATCATCGTTGTATGTTTGTATGTTTCTCTCCTGTCTCGTGTCTCCCAGGATGATTCAGTCCTCATCACGATTACCAAGTATCTTAATATGTATATGCCTTAAAATTTCCACGCCAGCTTCCCTTGTTGCCTGCCTACCAGCTGCTAGCTAACCGTTGCCAGAAAATACCATGCCATGGTAAACCTACTCATATCGTGAGAGGCGCCTCATGGCAAACGCCAATGATGTACACGCCATATAAACAAAGGATAATAACCGGTTCCCGCTTGAGGCGAGGACTGAAAGTCAAGGTCGCCAAATTCCCCAACTCTCGCGTACTTCTCGCGGCCTTCGCCGTGACCAGATTGAAGAGAGCAAGCAGACCCCGAACTCACACCCTTGCCCTTCCGCCTGGTACCACTTAAAGAAATCGCTTTGAAGAGAAAACGCCTCCCCAAGTTGCCTCCCTCCTCCCACCCTCCCTTCATCCCTTTCCAGCCGTGTTCAGGTTCTTCCTCCCCTACCACACCAAACTGAAAGGAAAAGCCAAGAGAAAAGCAGCCCTTAACACCAGTGACGCCGGTTTTTGTATGCCCTTAGGCCACAACATAGATACACAGACTAAAGGCCAGAAGCAATGGTGCTGCTCCAGCTCAGGAGACCCCTTACCGACGACCCCTTGGACTCCGTGAACTTGGCTAGCAAGATGCCCACTGACAAGAACTCATACAATGCAGAGAATGGAAATGACTGGCCCTTGTCGGTTATAGCGCAGTCTCTAGAATCCGAACGTCGTAAGATCGTCGCTCCCTCCTTTTGCACGCCGCCCAATGATTTTAACAAGAAAGGACAGCCTGCGGATAGTCGAGCGCAGTTGATGTTGAATGGTGATTATGGTCAATATGGGTGACGCCCGAGAGGTCAAGTAGGTTAATAAGTCGACCTTTGTTGGCCAAGGTCGTTGCCTTGTTGTTCATCGTTTATGGCCTCATCCACCAAAGTCCCTCGCTATGAGAATCGGCGAGGGGCAACATTGGGCGGCATGCCGACGGGCTGATTAGGTATGCCAGCTCCCATACCGTAAGGGTTCATTTGGTGGCTGAATGGCTCAATGGCTTGCTGCATGTACGCACCATGATGGAGACCTTGCTGTGCTGTCACTGGACAGTCCTTGTGTGCGAGCAAAAGTGTCTTGAGATTGACCACTTCTTCTCGTAGCTGTGTTATTGTTGCAGTAAGGGCGTCATTCTCTTGACTGAACATCTCCACCTTCTGCTGAAGGTTAGCGAGCCACTGCTTCTTTCGCTGACGACATTTCAAAGCGGCAACCCTGTAGACAGTCAGTATCAAGTTTTGTCAAGTGGCCTACCAAAGGCAATTAATGCACACATACCTGTTTCGCTCCAAGAAATTCTTGCGCTTTTCTTCTTCCGTCATCTTGGACTTGGGACCCGTTCCATCATCCTTTCCAGGCTTGTCCTCATCTTCCGAACCTGAGTAATCCATGCCGTTGAGTGAAGATACCGATCCGTTCGTCTTGGTCTTTTTGCTGGCTGGAGCCTTGCCGAGGGCGTCGTCAGCCTTACGACGAGAACCGGTCGCCGGCGCGCCTGTGGAATTACGCTTCCCTTTGCCACGGGTATTGGGTCTGGCAAGTTCACTGTCGTCTGATCCGATGCTAACTTCACTAACACCACGTGCTGAGCTTCCTGCAATAGATGCGTTCCCATTCATCTGTGGTGAAGTGTTGACTGGCTCAACAGGAGGAGCAGGCGCTGTGTGCGGGTGAATTGGTGGAGGTGGGGGAGGCGCCGACACTACGTTATACGATTGGCTTGGTGGCTGGGATGCGTTTCGTCCCTGTGCTAACATGAAAAGACCATTTGCCGCGTCGTTATCATGCGGGTCAAAAGGTCCAGTTGGTGGCTTCGTCTCTGGCTTCAGAGGCGAAATGCCATTAGGGATATCGGAGGCTGGTTGTGACGTAATCGATGGCGGTTGTGGCTGTTGTTGTTGTTGTTGTTGTTGCTGTTGCTGTGCTGCGTGTTGTTGGGCCTGCGCTTGAGCTTGGGCCTTGGCGGCAGCGGCACTGATGGCGGTTCGGTGAAAGTCAATGGTTCCAGGCGTGGCAGCAGAGCCGGCAAGCTGTGCAAAGAGAGTCGAGTTAGGACTCGGGGCAGGGAACATAGACCCGCTACCACCAGGCGTCAATCCTGTTCTAAGGGAACTCTCGTTTGGTGTCGGGAAACCTCCGCGAATGTGGTCGCCGAAATAATCGGAGGTCGTAGGGCCCGACAGCATTGCCGGACTCAATGGGCCGGATCGCAACGAGTTGCTACCGCCCCAGGGGAAAGGTGTTGAGCCGGGTGGCAAGATGGATGATGGGGATGCTAGAGCGGCGACGGGCGGGAGTTTGGTACCGCCAGGAGTCTCGGGGGCACCGCCGAAAGATTGCTCAAAGGGATTCGGCTCCAGGCTGAGCGAACCACCGATGGGGTTCTGGGAGAAGTAGTCGGAAGGGCTGTTCGTAGACTGCTGTTGCGCGGGACGGGGAGGAGGCGCGAGTGGTTTGGCAGGTTCGGCATTGGTCGTCGTCGACTCGGATGGTTTCAGGGGAGGCTCATGCTTCGATTCGGGATGACCATCTAGGTGCAAGAAAAATTGAGTTGGCAACGATGTCTCTTTGGGTATATGGTGTATGAGGCTTTGACTCTTTTCTCTCTTCTTCCTCTTCCTCTTCTTCTTCTATCTCTCATGCCTCTCTGCAGGGACGGAACGCGGTACCTAGCAGACGGCAGACAAGGTGCTCGACAATGGGGGAATAGGTGATGACGGTCGGGACAGGGAAGCGACTCTACTCACCTAGTCGCGGTGGGGATGTCTTGTTGGATTGCTTGGGTGATTTGGACTCACCTCGGCCGGCGGCTCCAGTAGACGACCCCATGATGTCAATCCAAAACTTGCGGCGCCTTCGTGCTGCAATCGGGTGCGGGTGCGGATGCGAGCGACCAGAGGCCAGAGGGACACGACGGGGTGGAAAGGGAAAAACGCGGACGACTATGAGGTCACAAAAGCGCAAGAGAGAATGCGTAGGTAGAAGGCTGCACGCTTATGTTCGTAATGCAGCGTCTTTTCCGCCTCGCGGCTGCGTTGCTGGTATCGGGGATCGTAAATACCTTACGTAGTTCCTCGCGACCAGGTGTTTCGTGGGTGCGTGTGTGGAAGGAGAAAAGTGGAAGGTCAAGACTGGGACAAGACGTCAGGTATGACGTGGGAAAAGAGATGGCGCAAGGGAAATAAAAACGATGGGGCCCGCTCCCGTCTGCCCACGACCCAGTGAGTAAGCACTGCGTAGCCAGCTGCCAGAGGTGCCAATCAGGGCAACCAGAGGGCAGCGACGACCGAGGACTGAAAGTCGGGTTGAAGATACCCGA